GCAAGGTTTCAGGTTGGTGGCGGCGCTCATGAATGGATCAGAAACTCCCGCTCTTCACCAAAACTAGATCATTGTTGGGATAGGATTAAAAATGTACATTTTTATTCCTTATTGGGTTTAAATACCCATAACATGTGAAATGCTACCCAACTATGACAAAGATGACTCTCGTCATCACGCATCATGCCGATTGCTGCTACGACTGCACAGGCCTGAAGTCTTTGGGTCGTTTTGCTTTACCCCACGCACCTCAAGTTTGGACTCCGGACACCAGAGGCAATTTTGGGCCTCTGAGTGCTTTGCCGATATCTGTGGCAAGAGCACTAACGACACAGGCGGTTACTGCGGCACAGCAATGCTGGTGACTGCTTGTCTGTCCAGGCCAGTCACGTGAAACACAGAGGGAGAGAGAGAGAGAGAGTAAATGAGAAATAGAGAAATAGAGATAGAGAGAGAGAGGGAAGACATACGGAGACAGCGAGAGATGGAGCAAATGGCCAACCAACCCAACCGCATACGTCCGAGTAGCAGGGCACGGAACAGACTAGAATAAACTGGAGAACCGAATTGTAAGACATGAATACAGCAGTTGTACCTGCAGTATGGCAAACCACCAGAACCGCACATGTCGGCACAACAAGCTGCGAAGCTAGCGCACTTAGAGTGCCAACCTACACCTGGCCATCTGTCAGCAAGGAATCTGGCTTGCATGCATCAGCACAGTGTAACCACTGTCTTACACCTAAAAACCCTGAACCATGAAATCTCAGGCCCTATACTTACCTTCGGTTAGTAAGGAATGGAAGAATGGTAGTAATAGTAGTTATAATTGTACTCCATTCCTCCATTCCCTACTAACCAAAGGTAAGTATACATGCCACTGAGGCCCTCGAGGTTTCTGCCAATTGCAGCTTCTTGGACTGTTCGGATGCGGCACTTCATCAGCAAGCCCGCCCCGACCCTGAAAACTTCAACTCCTACACTTTCATAGTTGGATAACATTTTACATTTTCATGGGTACTTAAACCCAATAAGGAATAACAATGTACATTTTTTAAATCTATCCCAACAATGATCTAGTACAGTAGAAGCAATGGAAACCCAATAGCCTCGATCCTGAAGAGTGATGTATAGGGAATCTCAGCACTATTCGGCCTTAATCCGGTTTCCAACTTTATGAGGTTTACTGTATCTCCATGTAGGGTCCACAAGAACTAGAATAGGACAATAAGGAACCCTATTCCTATGCTATTACTGGCAATTATTTGGGGGCCTAGTTTGCCGATTCCTCGCTCAGAATCAGGACGCACCGCCATACTTTGTGGCAGGGTGCACGAGCTGGCCCGGTCGTAACGGCTGAAAGGGCTCCAAGACATTCAAAAATGGCAATAAGAATAATAGTAATACTTACAAACATAATAACACTAACAGTAGTTTTAAAAAACAATAAAATAATCATAAAACAAAAGTACTAGTAGCAATAATAAACTATTGTCACTGTTATTGCTTTAACGTGCCGGCATTGGCTTTTGCAGAAGACTGGACGCGGCTTCGACCTCCGCTAACAAGACCACAACCCACTACCACCCCACCCACTACCACCGCGACCACGACGACGACTACTACTACCACTCCCCCTCCTTCTCTTGCTGATGCAGGATGCAGCGTCGTTGCGGTTGTTGCTAATCCTCATGTGTACCAGTGCTGCTTTGATTCTCATCGTCAACAGCGAGCGTTTAGGGTGCAAGGTTTAATGCTTAGGGTTTAGAGGGAACTCGACTCCAAGTATTCAAGCCTCTATGTTATCTTCGCTATCATTGCAGCTGTTTGGGCTTCTTGGTCGCAGGTCCTCATAACCGTAAAGCAAACTCCACAGGCCCACCCCCAGTGCTGAGAATGAACCCAAAACCCTTCAAACTTAAATCTGTAAGCCCCCCAACCCCTAAACCCTCACATAAAACCCTAAATCCCTGAATCCTAAAGCAAAAACCTAAATGCCCTAAACCCTTAACTCGTGACCCGAGAGCTCCCGTAAACACCCCCAGCCCTCCTTGAACGTCGAGCTCTACAGCCCTACGGCACTTGCAAAGCCGATCTGATTTTCAGCGCGGCGAACTTGAATTATCTTTTCGGCCACACCCCGGAGCTGATGGCTCAGGGTCCACGGTTTAAGGCTTAGGGTTTAGGGTTTAGGGTTTAGGGTCTAGACTACAAGGCAAAGAGTTGTCATGATCGGATCTCCCCTAAGTTCCTACATTTTTCCTGGGGACTGGCCCAACTTCTGTCGCAGAAAGCTGCGAGATCAGAAAGGTTAAAGCAGTGCCGAAGCTCAAAGCGGTACACCTTTTCAGGCAAAGCGCAAAGCTTCCTTCAGATTGTACTACGGCTGTCGGGACTTATTCGGTGGACATATCTGAAAGAGTGCGAAGCCATTACAACTGTGTGTATATCTATATATGTATTTTCACATATATGTATATACATATACACACCAGTACATATGTATATCAATGCACATGTTTATACCTGTGTATACACACACATATATATATATATACATAAACGCATATATACATATATACATATATACATACATATATATATACATACATACAACCAAACATATAAGAAAATACATATATATATATATATATATATATATATATATATACATATACATATATACATATACATATATACATACACATATATATATATATATATGTACATATATGTATATGTACACACACGTATACAAATATGTGCGTGTATATATATATATATACATACATACATACACTTACATACATAACTAGCCCTTCCGGCCCCCGTTTTGTGGGACGAGAGAACTTGAGCTACGCAGGAGTCCGGCTTTAGGGCTCCCGTGCTTCGAGGTTCCGGGCTTGCAGTACCAGATACTGACAGGAGGGAGCATAGCCTAGGGTTTAGGGTTTAGGGTTTTTTTTTTAGGGTTTAGGGTTTAGGGTTTCAGTTTTTTCTTTAGAGGGTTTGCGGTTCAGGACTGAGGGTTCAATGGGGTTTCCAATTTATGGTTTCGGTTTTTCTTAAAGTTGGGGTGACGTCCTTCTTTGTCTGTCTGCCTGTGCGGCTCCCAACAAAACGACCTTGGGATTCAGGGTTTACGGTTCAGGACTGAGGGTTCAACGGGGTTTATAATTTGATGGTTTCGGGTTCAGGGTTTAGGATTAGGCTTCACGGTTTAGGGCTCATCCCGAAAACAATGAGGTGCTGGGCTCCGTGTGGATATGGGAACACGTACTCAAAGAACAGGGGTGATGAATCATGAAAAAGAACTTGCAATACCACCGCAACAACAACCATAATAATAATTGGTGACACTAGTCATAGCACCAATACAGCGGCCTTATGGACAGTAGTACTGCTGGTCATAGCAACAAGGCGCTTTTGTTTCAACTTTCAGAAACTCAGCAACATTGAATCCTTAATGTATGAATTCGGCTGCTTGGGGTGGTCTACTTACTATACTGCATACACAAGTCTAAAAAGAAAAGAACCCTAAACATAGTATTATCTACGAATTATTCGGGCTTCTCTATCAGGGAGCCTGGCACCCACAGACTCCAATATCCGTTAATTACGGAATATACCTTGAAATATAGTAAGATCCCTAATATGAACTAAGGAATCTTCTTTGATTAAGGGATATTGGAGGCTCTGGGCAGCCCAGCGCGGAGTCGGCACTTGCGCAATCATCTTTCACTCGTCAGTATCACTGAGGCACCTGCACCGGGTTTTGGGGGCTTCGGGCTCCAGGGCTTAAGGCTTCTTTTTTCAGGGTTTAGGGTTTAAGGCTGTAGGGTTTAGGGTTTAGGGATTAGGGGGGCTTAGGGTTCAGGGTTTAGGCTTCAAGCGGTTTAGGGTTTAGTCGTCTGCGTGCCGAAAACCCGAGGATCCGAATGAAGGAGGCACCGCGAGTGTTCGACCTGCTTACAGCCCCACACAACAGACTGCTTTATAACTCCATGGTTTTGCATTGTAGCGAAAATGAGAAGTGATTCCACAGAGGGCGCAGTCCCTCCCAATTCCAAGCCGAAAGAGACTGAACCTACCGTTGGGCGTGGCATAAGTAGAGTAAGTCCCAAGCACTATACCATCATCGGCACCATCCTGCTCATCATCATCATCATCATCGCCATCGTCATCGTTATCGTCATGGTGTCATCGTGTCATCGTGTCATAGCCATCGTCATCACCATCGTCATCGTCATCACCAGCAACAGCAGCAGCAGCAAAGGCGATGACAATACCACCAACATCAACACCGCTAACATAATCTTCAGCTTCTCAGCAACAAAAGGAAGAACGACGAACATCAAAACAACAACAACCACGAGGGCGACGGCAAAGTTTTGTTTGTTGGGATGCGTCGAACAGAATCAGAAATTCAAGATCTCTCGGATCGGGTCGTTAATCGCAACCCAGGTTTGGGATTTGGTGTCTGAGCATTGAGCTGGGCATCGTTGTACGGTACAGTGATATGCGGGGCGTTCATAATTAGACTAGGATTTTGTGGTATACTGTACCAACATTATAGTAAGGAACCCCCAACATAGTATAGGTAATCATTTAAGCCCCTCTATTCATGTGCTGCGACAACCGATTCCTTGAGCCTCCGAAGTAGGAATTCCTCGTCCTCCGCTGAACTCTCCAAGCCCTGAACCCACTGGACCCCAAACCCTCTCAGCCCTCTGCCCCTGAACCCTCTGAGCCCTAAACCCTGAATCCTAAACGCTCTCAACCCTCCCAACCCCACCGCCGTCTGCTCCAGGTCAGATTGCACAACGGCCATGAGCTTTCGCAAGACCTCCACTTCCTGTCCAAAGCGTGTTCTGCAAGGTGGGGCTTAGGGGTCTTAGGGTGTAGGGTTTAGGGTTTAGGGGTTTTCGGGTGCAGGGTTTAAGGGTTTGCGGGTTTTAGGGTTTAGGGCTTACGCGGAATACAAGGGCCGTAATGATTGGAATAAGGGTTTTGGGTATGTTCTACTCTAACTAACAAGGAACTCGAGGCAAGAGTCGAACTATTCCGAGCTCTATAGTTCTGGTTGTTCGGAAGGTCGGATTGTTAGAGGTTTGGGATTTAGCAGTGTTTGGGGGATAAACCCTATAGAACCCTTTAAAGGACCCTTTAAAGGAATCTTTTAAGGAACCCTATAGAAGCCTTTAAAGGACCCATTTAAGGAATCCTTTAAAGCGGTCTTAGGGGCGATTGGAGTTGGGTTTCAGAGTTTCTCGGCTTCGGGGTGTCGGACCTTGGGATTTTAGGACAATAAGACTGGGGTTTTGGGACCCGGTAAAACTATAATTAAAACAAGGAACCCCCAAAATAGTACTGGTAATTATTCAAGCCCGCATATTAACCACAGTCTACAGCCACTCAAAGAATAAAGGGGCCTCCACAACTAGACTAGGATTCTGGTTGAGATTCGACTATGATTATGTTAGGAGTATAAGCAGATACGACTACTAAGTAGTCAGACCCCTCTATGTTCTTGACTACCAGTACCAGCCACAGCAAAAGGAACTTCGCCGTGGCGTCATTTCCGGCCGTAGTAGAATGGGCAGACGAGATAGACGGGGAGCCTCCAGTGGTGTACGCTCCTGGGTTTAGATTTTAGGATTTAGGTTCACAGGCTTCTAGACTATTGCTGTGCCGGGAAAGCGCCAACATGCCTATCATTAACAGGACCACCCTTCTCACTGCTTACCATCACCATGGTAGTCATCATCTTCTTCGCCGTCATCACCATCATGCTGAACATGGCCTTTCTCTGGACTTCAATTTAACCAGGGAGAAAAAAGTATAGACTTTGTTTCATAATGGTTCCTGAAAGGAACAGGAACCAAAAAAAAGAATTCAAGAATGGCACTCCAGAACCCGGTTCTGCTTTGCAGATCCGGCTTGGCCAACTGCAAAGAAAGGGCGGCGCCAGCTGTAGGATGATCTCCAAAGCAACTCGCTCAAGTGGTTTATGGTTTAGGGTTTAGGGGTTTAGGGTTTAGGGGTTTAGGGTTTAGGCTTTAGAAGTTTAGGGTTTAGGGTCAATTCTCCTTCTTAGCTGTCCAGCATCCTAGGGGAGCTACAGTTTGAGCGTTGGGGGTATACAGGCCTTATAGTACACCAACAAGATTAACGGTTAGCTACTGTGCTACTGCCACTAAGACAAACTTGGCACCTAAGTCGTAACGAACGTAAGAATGGCCGTCATGAGCAAGAGTTTCGGGCACACCCTGAAACTTTTGACAACGACGGCGTGCTCACTCGTCACACGCCAAGGCTTGACGGCAAGCAGACTACCAGCAGCAATGGTCAAGAAACAACCGATAATCCCTGGTACTAGGAAGCATGGGCCAACCAGCTCGACCAGCAGATTCCTCAACTAGACCCTGAAGTTAGGGCTGAATGTCCCGGAAAGGTTTGGAGTTTAGCATTTGGGGCTGAGGGTTTTGGACCGAGGTTGGGAACTAAACACGACAACGAAAGACCAGAATTGGTTCAAGAGAATCAGGAAAGAGCCCCAAAATGCATGTGGCACGGCCTTGATCTGCACCTGCACTCCACGAGGGTACTTCGGGCTGTCCGGGTTGCCAGTGCTTCGCAGAGTCATGCTGTCTTTCAACATGGTGGACGTGTTCATGTTGCTTCTGCACTTGTAGCATGCGAGAACGGTGCTTAGGTTGCATTGCTACTGCACTGCGTTCATGTTCTGGCGGCCTATGCAGGTTTGTAGCTCAGCTTGTTTAAGCTCTAACCCTGCGATTGAAAAGCACCCTAAACCCAAAACCATTGACCGAACCTTGAGACCTAAAAAGGTTTTGGGGCCCATTGTACTATAGACTATAGATATAATAAGGAACCCTAAGAATAGTATTGATAATGATTTAGGCTCTATGTTGTGTTGGCTGCGGATCCATCAGGTTCACCCTTAGGGGTTGGTGTGGGTTTGTGCAGAGGCGCGCTATGGTTCCGTCTGCTTAGACACCCAAATCACCGGAATAGACTGCCCATGTGAGGGTGGATTTAGGGTTCTTTCTGGCACTTTTGGCTTAGGGCTCAGGGTTAGCAAGATGTATCGAAAAATTTTACAGCTTCGGGGATATTTTGTGCACTTAGCCGAATGACTAGGGGTGTGTTACTCAAGGGCTGTACAGGTGTCAAGAGTCTTGAGAAACAGCGAGATCAAAGCAGAAACATCGAAACCGTAAACTCGAAACCCAAACCCCAGAACCCAGAAGTCTGCTTGCTCATCGGTCTCTACATACTGCTCCTCAACAACCCCGGCACCACATCCATCAAAACGAACCGAACAACACTTAACAAAAAGCCTAACCTGAATGCTCAAAGGGAAAAAACATGAATGTCAACCCAAAAACCTCCACCTGTAACAGCCCCAATCTGGGTTCTTGTTAAGGCACTCAATTTGACTTACCATAATAGGGATCTATAGTGAATACAAAGGTTTCCTCACCATGGTAACTTAGGTTAAACCCTTTAACAAGAACCCAGCCAAGCCCTCAGCCCAATCCCCCTAAGTTCAGTCCCACAGGCAACAACTCGGGGAACGGACCACCAAACCCTCCACCCTAAACCCCAAACCCAAAGCCTCAACCCTAAACCCCAAACCCTCAACCCCAAACCCTAAACCCCTATATACACCGCAGCTCATCGACTGGCCTTGGTTTCACCTCGGGCAAGCTTTTGTTTGCGCATGTATGTGTTATTTATACATGCTCGGTATTAGAACCTGAGACTGCACATGGTTCGCATGGCTATAGAAGAGACCTGCAAGGCATCCACACAGGGCGTTATAGTCCTGCAGTCGGCTTTGCACGGATTTACCAGGGCTGCTTCAGGCCTGTATCAGGTTGTGGATTTTTATGGAAGCCTACAGGTAATCCCGAGATATACTCACCCCATCGCTGAAACTAATTTTGTGAAATGAGCGGTACTGTGCCCCACACAAAAACAACCCAAAGCCCAAATCCTCCAAACACCACCAGCAGGTGCAGCATGATGGAAAAAGCACGTGCCAAGTCAGATCTTGGTGCCCGCACGGGAGAGCATCTGCTCCTGCAGAAAGTAAGACGGCGATGACAGTGACGAAACAGAAAGACGAGGAAGACGGCAAGCATGAATGCATCTATTATGCAAAAGATAGCGGTGCTGACAATGACTCCGGCGAAGTTGTTGCTGATGACAATGAAGAAGTTGCAGGGGTATCTGGTGATGAGGATGCTGTTAACCCAGCTGATGATGACGATGATGAAGATGATGCCGATGACCCATAACCCCCGCCCCCTAAAATCCATATTATAGCCCTTTCAAGACCGGCTATAGACAAATAGATGCATGTATGTATGTATGATGGACAGATAGATAGATATCAGTCCTGTTGAAACCTGCCCTAAACCTCAAAAATTCCCCTGAATCCTAAACACCCTAAACCCCCTCCCCCTCCAAGAAAACTCCGAAAGACACTAAACCTCGAACCTCTTTAAGAAGCCCTTAAAGAACTCTCACAAGAGGATCCGAACCGAACCCTTCCTTAAGAACCCCTTCAAGAACCTTCGAAAAAAAAACTGAGTCTCCCGGTCGGACCTGCTCGGGATCCTCGCTTCTCGAGACAATCTGGGCATCCTCCAAGAGGTTCATCACGCGGCTCACCAGCCCTGGACAAGATACGGTTGATGATAAGAATCCTGCATTACCCATAATAAGGAATATACCATAATTCCCATAGTTTAGCGTCCTTAGGGTGATGCCGGATTTGTATCATCAACCGTGTGTACCCGTCAGGGCTCTATGAGGGTTTAGGGTTTAGGGAGTACCGTAAGGACGTAAGGAATTAGGGTTTAGAGGCTATGGGCTCAGGGGTTTGGCGGCTGAGGAGCTTTGGGGTTTGGCTTCGGGTTTAGGGAACCAGGGTTGTACGGTTTGGGCTTCGAGTCTTCAGGGCTCCAGGGTTTTGAGTTTAGGGTTCAAAGTTGAATTACGAACCCTCACGCCAGCCATAAACCCTAGAACCGCACCTTAAAGCCCTCAACCCTGGACCCATCACAGCAAACCTTCGAGCTACAGTCGAAAGCCCTGCACCCGAAAACCAGAAACCAAAACCCTATACGAACCCTCTACACCCCAAAAGCCTGAAAAGCCCTACACTCTATAACCCTGAACCCTCCAAAGCTCTATAAACCCTAAACCCTCAACCCCAAACCTTAGCAGCCCTCGGCCCCCCCATGCCGTCAGCCCCACATCTCCTGTATCATCTTCCCGACTCTCCATGTTGGCGACTTCGTCCTACAAGGTGAACTGTTTAGGACTTAGGGTTTTTTCAAGTTTCGAGTTTAGGGCGTTTACGGCTTTGGACTTCGAGTTGTTCATAAGGGCCTTAGTGATTTAGGGGGTTCCCCTAAAGCTTCTACACGGATTGTGTAAGGCCTCCAATATGGGGGTCTAAATAATTGGGGTGGGGTTATTATTGGGAGGGCCTTCAGGGTCAGACGATTTCGACTTCTTCAGGCATCCATGGTAGGGCTGACAGCTTAATAGGGCTTAAAGCTTTCTTGGGCTTACGGCTTCGGGTTAAACCCTAAACCCTAAACCCTAAACCGTTCTGCATCTGGCCTCCTTGCGCGATCGACCCGAGAACTCGATCGGCGGGGCAGGGCTGTGGGATGTCTACTCCCGGGCCCATGCATCCCGGTTTAGGGTTTAGGGTTTAGGGACCTAAAGATCTAAAACCTGAAACCGTTGAAGGAGCCTAACAGGAACGCCTAAAGGAACACTTGAAGCACTGATGGCCTTAGACTTAGTTTAAGGGACTTGCACGGGACCCTCAACCCTAACCCCTGCCTCTTAAACCCGACACCCATGCTGTAGGATTCAAGCATCCCCACGCCGGTTGATGATATAAACCCTGCAGTATCTTCAAGAGCCTAGATTATGGGAATTATGGTTATATTCCTTATCATGGGTAATGCAGGATTTATATCATCAACCGTATCTGCCACACCCAGCGGTCCATGTACGGTCGGAGAACCGTCGTAAGATCCGGCTGCTGCCCACCGTAGCGTGAGCGCCACCTGAGTGGATTTAGATACTACAACGACGACGACGACTACTACTACTGCTACTACTACTCCTACAACCTGACTGGATTTAGGAGTTCAAAATGGAATGGGAAATCGAGGTTTTTGCGTTTAGGGAGTCAATGTTCCGAATTTCATGTTCCTTGGATTGGGGGATTGAGGGATTTAGAGCATCGTGATGCTTGTAGGGATCGAGTGAGCTGCGAAGTTTCGTAGGAGGAACAAGTACTTAACAGAGAAGCCTGAATACTTATCAACACTGGGCTGGGCTGGGCTGCTGGGTGGGTGGGTGGGAGGGAGGATGGATGGATGGAGTACTATTTCTAGGGTTCCTAATATACATATATATATATATATATATGTATATATATATGTATATATATATATATACAGATCCCGTTCAGCCCTACTCGAACAGTAAGGCCACTAATGTTAAGCACTTGGAAGTCAACCCTTGCAGCCTCAACAGCCCTAAACCCTTGTTCCCTAAACGCTAAGCCAGAAGCCCCTCTACCCTAACTTATAAAGGAGCCTCGGGGAAGTTACCATGATAGGGAAACCAATATTAGTTGCTGTAGCTTCCTATTGCGGTAATTAAAGCCAGGTTCCTCAACAAGAGCCCAGAGCATCCCATCCCTAAAACGGGTTTATGATTTGAAGCTTTGAGGGTCTAAGTCTTACTATTAACTGCTTCGCATTCAGCGAGCAGGAAAGGCAAGCTAAAAAGCTAAAGTCCTCCGTCTTGCGTGGGTTTGGGGTTTAGGGTTGAGAGCCTGTTGTGTTTTGGACAGCCAACCTTCCAACAGTACGCGACGGTTTAGGGACTATAGGGTTTAGGCCTCCTAAACCGACGAGGAAGCAGCACAAACTTTATATCTGTCTGGTGCATCGGGGTGGCAAATATAGGCCCGTCTCAAGAGCTCAAATTCAGATCTTGCAACCTTGGCCCTGCCTACGCTCCACACCCAAACCCTGCAACCCCAAAAACTGTGCAACCCCAAACCAGCAGCGAGAGAGGTGCATCAAGCATCTGGGCCCTAGGATTCCCTGTTTTTTGAACCCCAAGACCGTAAACCCCAAGCCCCGCCCCTTCCAAAAAACAAAAAGAAGAAGCTGCTGGGGGTGGCGCATCAAATAGAGCTGCGATCGGGGATTCGGCCGCCGGGGTACGACACTGCACTTGTCCTTCCGCGAAAGGCAAAAACTCCAGTATCCCGGAATGAGGGCTATACTAGAAACACCGTAGATGACAGCGATTGCCTTATGATGATGTCTTCAGACATGACCTTTAAGTTATCACAATGAGACACCCTCTATCACTTGAGGTACTTGGAGGTTCATGGGTAGTTAGAAGCGACCAATGCTGTCGGACTTTGGCCAGTACCTTAAGGCTCCTGGACCCTTGTAGTGAGATCCCGGACCCTAGCCCCCAAAGCCGAAACCCTCCCCCAGAAAGCTTAGGGTAGGGTCTAGAGTGAAGCGACAAAGGCCGCGAGAAAAGGCAGAGAGGCGGCATAAGAGGCTTGTGGTAAAGAGCACAGAAAACAAATCAAATATTAGGATAACGGGTAGCCTTATTCTTAAGGGGCTACTATAGTGTACTATGAGGGCTTCCGCACTAAGTCTTGAATCCACGGCCTAGGCTTTTTCGGGCTTGGGGTTGTCTGGTCGATGTCCAGACATCGGTAGAACCGAGCCCACGAAAGTCTCATAGACGGCTGCCGAAGGTTCAGGGTTTAGGGCTTCGGGGTTTGGGGGTTTGGGGCTTACGGGGTTTTTTAGGGTTTGGGGTTCAGGGTTCAGGGTTTGGGGGTTCAGGGTTTGGGGATTTAGGGTTTAGGGTTCAGGTTTCAGGGTTTAGGGTTTATATAGGGTTTCTGAAGCAAAGCACAGCCACCGGTCCCACATCACTTCGCAGAACGACTCGCAGGTCACGCACCTCGTGCAGCAGGCACCTCGCAGACGGAGGGTTCTGTGAGGGTGCTGTGGTTCGGGGCTGATAGGTCCCCAATAGCCCCCTTTTCTGGTATATTATACAACTGGAGTATAGTGTAGTATGCTGTAGTATGTTATAGTACAGTATAGCAGACCCCTTAGGAATAAGGGTACCCTTTCTCCTACAACAGCTTTGGTTTTGGCAATTCGAACCTGGTTGGAGGTGGAGGGGTACTGCGGTTCCCTGATTTGGTTCTACGCTTGGGATTGCAGTAAACCCTGAACCCAAAAATCAAGAGAGTCCTGTGTTCGGAACTTAGGGTTGAGGGTTCGGGGAACCCTAAACCCTAAACTTACAAAAAATGTCAGGGTTCGGGTCGACACTTTGTCAGAATACATGTCGGTCCATGACATGTCTCAAAGCCAGAGGCATTATTCAGTCCGGCATGAGGGCATATGGTTCAGGATTTCAGGGTTGCAGCTTGGGGTAGCTAGTCGTATTTCTGACATCATGTCTGAAGAATGGTAAAAGTATGAACCAATACCGTACTCTCGCTAGTATCCTACTACAACTCATGGACAAACATTTGCAGTACCTTAAACTACGGGACCGAGGAATTCCTGCTTCATAATGAAGCAGTAATGCAGGATTTTGTCCTCTAGCAGTAAGTCCTATTTCTCCTCGATTCAGCATGTTTGAGCTTTAGCTCAGCAACATTGCCCCCTAACCCACATTGTAACTTACCCAAAGAGGAACCTCGTCCTATCATCAGGACCACAAAGAGCCGTGGGGTAGACCCTACCGGCTCGAGTCTGAGAGGCCGCACAGCACTCATCGACGCAGGGGCAATTGACCTGTCTACTTCTACGTATCGGCAATGTCGGACATGCTTGAAGGTGTGTGGCCCTGAGAGCGTGATTAATTACAGGCTTCTCTGAACGCTTGGAGTCTTTAATATCGGGGCCTGAACGATTACCAACACTATGTTGGGGGTTCCTTATTACCAGGACAGTATAAAGCTCGGCTCTAATTATTAAGGCCCCTAAACTATAGTACCCTTAGAAATTCCTTATAGTAGTTCTTGCAAGGAGCCCTTTAAAGGAACCCGATTCTAATTGTTAAGGCCCCTAATATGGGCTACTTTCAGGTTCGAAGAGAGAGCTCGGAGCAGGGGATTTTTGTCTCCCTTGCGGCTCGGACGGGTCCCGCGACTTCCACCCTGGACTCCCAGAAATTCAAGCAAAGTTGTGGAAGGCAGATCCCCAACAGCCTTGGGGTTTAGGGTTTCGGGCTTAGGGCTTGGGGTTTAGGGCCTAGGGTTTAGGGCTTAGGGTTCGGTTTGGGGTTTGGCGCTGCAGGTTTGGTCGTTGCGCTGAACCCCAGACAAAGCGAGCCCAATACCCTTGAACTGAGGAGTAAATAGAAACAGCAGTAGTGATTGTAAATAGTACACCTTCAAGGAGACCCTCTTATAGAACCCCTTAGAGGGACCCTTAAAGGAATCTGTCACGCAGAGGTAGAAGCAGAAGTGGGAAGCTGAGTACAGCAAAACCTTGCAGGTGCAGTAGGGCGGCAGCTGTTATGGTGGTACGGTTGATGATATAAATCCTGCATTACCCATACTAAGGAATATACCATAATTCCCATAGCTTAGGGTCCTTAAGGTAATGCAGGATTTATATCAGCAACCGTAGCAAGCAGTTAGTCTGACACCTTGGGACCCCTGGGTTGCGAGCTTCAGGCAACGGCGCCCTGAAAACTCAAACATGCACGGCATGGCCGGTGGATGCGCAGGATTCGTCAGGAGAGGCGGATCGATCTGACGGCGGGGGAGCTTCAGAGCAATTCTTACGGTCAAATCAGAAAGTGCAACCTTGGTCCTTTATCATTAGTCCTGGGCTTTAGTGTTGCCCCTGCGAACACCAGCCGAACCCTGTGTCCTAAACTCTAAAGACATATCCTTATAGAAAAGAAGCAAATGTCAGGGGAGGATCTATCTCGCGCTGCAGCCGAACCCATGGGTCTCGCACTGTCCAGTACCCTTTTGGGGGGTTTAGGGGTTTAGGGCTTATTTGGGGAACTAGCGGCTAACTTCTGGGAGTATGTAGGCATTGTAGTTTCCCCAAAAAGATTAATCAACAACTACTCCAGATTCAGTATCTTCGCCATTCCCTCACCTCCTCTTCCTACGGGTTTTGTAGCGATGGCAATCGATCCAAGATACAAGCCTCTTTTGATCCCACTTTGGGCCCCCACCGCAGAAAAATGCTAAAAATCCTGACATACCACACCAGATTGGGCCAAATGAATGTCAAGATTATGAGTGCGTTGAGCCCTAAACCCTAAACCCTAAACCCGGGTTGAGGGAGCACCCAAAAGAGTACAGGTAATTATTAAGGCCTCTATATTACGACTTCAAGGGTTCAGGCTCAGGGCCTTAGCTTACCTTTGGTTAGCAGGGAATGGAAGAATGGTAGTAATAGCAGTTATAATTCTACCCCATTCTTCCATTCCCTACTAACCAAAGGTAAGTAATAGGATTATTAAGCCCCCTATATTGTAGTACCCTTATAGATCCCTTATAGTAACCCTTATATAGACCCCTTTATAAGGCCCCCCTCCATTCCCTACGAACCAAAGGTAAGTTAAGGCCTTAGGCCTGAGGGTTGCGGGTTTCCTTCGACTACAGTAGAAGCCAGAAAGTTGGAATATGATTATCCTAAACCTTTTATGGTAAATTACAAGGTATCCTACCCTGAAACCATATGGGAGTTTCCGAAAATGAGGGGTACCTTATTTGGGGTCCTTATAATAAGGATCCTACTATTTAGGGTACTATATTAGGGTCCCCTATTTTCGGAAACTCCCATATTCCAACTTTCTGGAGTTCCCTTTACTGCCACAGGAACCTTCGGAACCCAGATCAGGCTGGCTGCTTGCAGGCGACACGGAACTCGGGTTTTGGGCTTGATGGTGCTCTTTGGATGTTGGGGGTGTTATTTTGGGGTGGTTTATGGCCTTTAAGATGCCGGGGTTATTCCGGGGGAGTTTATGGTCGTTTGGATGGGGCGGTTTGTGGTCTTTAGGATGCTAGGGCTTTTTTTTGATGTTGGGGATTCTTTGGAGGGGGTTTTGGGGTTTAGGGTTTGGGCTTCGGAGGCGGGTGTCCAGAATCTGGCTCGTCTCAAAACCCCGCATGAAGCGCGTAAGCGCGTGCAAAACCCGCCCAAGTTTCACGAAACCAAGACCAACCCTGAACACGGTTGGTGATAGAAATCCTGCAGTACCTTAAGGACCCTAAACGATGGGAATTATGGTATATTCCTTGTAATGGGTCATGCAGGATTGATGCCTGCGACTCCGTGGAGAAGCTGAGCATGACTTTGTAGCAGAGGAAGGACATCGTGTTAGGCAGCTGCCCAGCCTGTTTCGTGTCTACTTGGAGGATCAGGGGACTTAGTAAGTAAGGTTATAAGTCCCCTAATTGGGGTTATAAGTATTTACAAGAATACCTTGTTTATAACCCTAGTTACTAAGTCCCATGATCCTTTTAAGTAGGGCTTCAGGGTTTCGGGGTTTCGGGCTCGGTCTTCGGGGTACGGGAAATTCAACAACATGTTCCGGATGGCATGCGGAAACACATGCAGTACAGCACTAACTAGGGCGTAACAAAGACGAGCGACGAGTAAATCTACTAGGTAAGATTGCATGATACCGTGCAGTACACAGTGTCACAGTGCATAGTTCTGTCGGCTGTTACCTGCGCTGTCTACGATGACAGTACTGAAAGCCATCGGAAGCGGCTGAAATCCAAACCCTGTAGCGTGAAGCAGGTCTTTTGGTGCTCCCTGTCCGATCTCCAAAGCGGGGCCCAAGTAAACCCTTAAGGAACCCTGTGTATTAAGGCCCTTGTAATTTAAGGTATATTCCTTAATTCCCTTATAGAACCCCTCTAGATCCTTTTCAGGCGCCCTTTAAGGAACCCCTAGGAACACTCACCGAATCCTGTTTCATGAAAATGCTTGGGTTGCCAGCGCTGCTATTGCGAGCTAGCGAAGCTTTCGCATAGCGGCATAGTGCAGATTAGGGTTTAGGGTTTAGGGATTAGGGTTGAGGGTGTAGGGTCTAGGGTTGAGGGTTTAGGTACACTACACAACCGCCGGTAAAGTCCTGGTTGGTAACCATCTGAACTCTACGTCTGCCAGGCGCAACAAAAGCCCGCCTCGAAGAATTTGCTCCTGAGGCTGGAATAGGTGTTTTGGGGATTCAAGGAAGATATCTTCGTATAACTATATACGGACAATGAGGGCATAGTCATGGTATAACTTGAACTGGCTCTTCGACCTGCAAGGCAAGCGGGCTCAGCGCAGATGTAGGAAACCCTAAACCCTGAACCCCAAACCCTACGCCCTAAACCCTCCAACCCTGGGGGCCCCCACAGGCATCCGCACCAGCAAGCTCCCCAACAGAGGCAGGTCTTGCAATCGAAGGACTGGCAGCCACGAAGAATTTTCCGAGCTTAGCGGCTTCTGTGGGCTTAAGGGCATGAGAATTAGAGTAGGGTTTTGAAGCCCAACAGACTATAAAGATAATAAGGACCCTAAACCCTAAACCCTAAACCCCCAAAACAGTAATTGTAATAAGGCCCCCATATTCTGGGCTTAGGGGCGGTCAGATTTTGGGGCAACATGAGCCTTGAGTTTTCTTTTTTTGAAGGCCTTTCCAATCCGCTGGGGACGGAGAGCCACGTTGGGCAAGCAGGATTCAGGGTTGAGGCATCTTGGTTAAGGATTTGGGTCGGGCTTGCGGACTCTAGGCTTCAGTTTCCTGGTGTTGGGTCGCAGGCGACGCCCGAAGCCCAAACAACTTCCTGCGAAAACGCCAGATAAATCCCGAAAACCGTCCACCCTAAACCCTTAAACCCTAGACCCCGAAGCCCTAAAATTCCTAAACCCTTCAGCCCTCAATTCCTAAGCCCTGAATCCCCAAGAAAACCCGACACCCACACCCCCAACCCTGAAACCTGAATCCCCCAAAGAAGAAGCAAGTAAGCCTTCAACAACGGCCGCTGCCAAAGGAAGACCCGGTCCGTAGTGACGATGACGTCCGTCGTGGAGTTGTATGGGGACCTACGAGGGTTTAGGGTTTAGAAGCTCAGGGGCTGGGGGGTTGGGGGTTTACAGGTTCAGGGGTTTATGGTTTAGGCTTAGGATTCGGCGGTTTTCGGAGGTGAAGTAAGTTGTGGCTTCAATATCAGGGCCAGGGCTCAATAGTTCTAGCTTATGCCGTCTTTTTTTGGTTACTTGGGACCCATAAAACGATGACAGCCGTGGCCTCATGCATAAGAGTTTTAGGCTGGGTAGGTATTGGGGTTGTATGTATGGGTGGATGGGTGTATGTATGTATGTACATAGGTAGGTAGGTAGGTAGGTAGGTAGGTGTGTAGGTGTTGGGTACGTAGGTTTGTATGTTGGTTTGCTTGCTTGTTTCAACTACGGCATGTCAAGTATGCATGCAAGTACCTAGACATGTATGGATCAAACAACCAAATCCCATTCTATGTACAAGACGGGAGAAACAGCGAGAGAGGAAGAGAGACAGCGGTAGAACTCGAGAGATATAGAGACAGGCAAGCATAAAAGGATTTCGTGACTGAAGCGGTAGACTGAAACAAAACTGCCCTGATTGCTCAAAATTGAAAACAACGAAACGTTAGAAGTCCTGAAAGACACTCTTATGCCTGAACACCAAAGAGTCCGAAGACCCATTTCCACTGACCGAAGCAACACACCCTGCTGCCTCAGGGTTAAGGGGGTTCAGATTTAGGGTGTCTTTAACAAATCTTGTTGCTGTTCTGATTCCCCTAAACCCAGTGCCCCTTTCTGAGTCGCTGGCGCCAGCACACCCGCCTCGAGAATTTGTTCTAGGGCCCACGGACCCTGAACCCTAGGCCGATAGACAGGGTTTAGGGTTAGGTGTTCAGGTTTTAGCGTGTAGGGTTTCGGCCTACACCTGGGCTATCCCTAAACGGCTTTAGGGCGTGGGTCTGTAGGCTGCAGCGGGTCAACGCCAGGCTCCGACGCTTGAAAGTTGTTGAAGGATTTCTCCAGGATCCTAGAAGGTTTTGAAAGGTCCGCATACGCTTTGAATTTAAGATTTAGGGGCTACGGTTGATGATATAAATCCTGCATGACCCATTATAATGAACATACTTCCCATAGTTTAGGGTTCTTAAGGTAATGCAGGATTTATATCATCAACAGTAGGGTGGGCACGGGGTTTGGGCTTTCGGGCTCTGGGACGGGTACCTACATCTAGGTGGGGCTTTTAGAGCCTTTGAAAAATACTAGTAAATAAGGTCCTCTTAAGCCCAATAAGGGAAAATATAAAATGTCCCAAAGCCCGACCTAGTACATGCAAGGACCATGTCCTGGGATGGCTTGAAGCCTCAGGAATTGGGTTGCAGGGTTCAGGGTGAAGGGCTCAAAAGCTTCAGGGTTTAGAGCTTAGAGTTTCGGATTTCGGGCTAAACTTTAAGAAACCCTTAAGACCCTAAGCCCCTAAGCCCTGGACCCTGAACCCTGCCGACCTCCGTGCCGGACCAGTGGTAGAGGGGCGCCTCGTCCTGTGTTTCATGGAACCCTTAGAGGGCCTCGTCTAGGGTTTAGGGGATTTAAGGGGTTGGGGCTAAGGCTTTAGGGTTTAGGGTTTAGTGGTTGAGGGTTTAAGGTTTAGGGAATGGGCATGGATAAGGTTTGGGGTTTAGTGTTAAGGGTTGGATCAGATTGGGGTTTATGGCTTAGGGTCGGAAAGGGTTCGGGGTTCAGGGTCTACTAGCCCAAAACGAAACCCCAAACCCAATGCCCTCTCATATCATCCCCAGACCCTGTACCCTCAACCCTGGCCCTATAACGGTCTATGACGATTAGAACTGCTCTTTGCAGTATGCTTGGGGGAGCTTATAAAGACTACATGTCAGGCCCCTCCTAAACCCTTTACCCTCAGCCCCCGTCTCCTCGTGGCAGAGGTAGATGTCTGGCGAGCGCCTGACCTGGTTTAGGCCACGAGCCCTGGGCCTTGGCCCTGAAACCCGAAACCCCAAAGCCCCTAAACCCCGAAAGCCTTAAACCCCTAAACCCCCAAAGCCCTGAACCCCTTAAACCCCTAAATCCTGAACGCACGCCTCATCAGGATATCTGAGTGATGCAGGTCTAACATGAGTTAAGGGTCCAACGAAAAGCCTCTGGAGGCAGGGCATCGTCTGAAGCCTTTAAGGCTACGGATTTTGGATTCCGAGTTCCTGGTAGACAACAGAATTTCGGAGTACGGTTGGTGTTCAGGGTGCTTCTTTGTCGGGTATAGGACAGGATGTGAAGCCCTGCATTACATCCTACCAAGCCTCGAACCAGATTCTGAAACGTCGTCTCTGCTTTAAAAGCCCCTGTTCTGTAAACCTTGCAAACCCCACAAATTAATAAGTACCCAAGTGAAAACCAGCAAAACCTACAGAAAATCGTGAAGTTAACGAGTCTAACTCAATCGTGATGTTTCGGGTGGTGGCCTGAAGCTCACAGTGCGCGGCAAACAGAAATATAAACAAAAAGAAGTTGTTTATTGTTTTGTGTGAGCATCCTCGACCTGGATGTCCCGCCCCTCAAACGCCTGGGTAGGTTGGGGCGACATCGTGTGTGGCACCCTAAGCTCCCTAAACCCTAAACACCTAAACCCCTAAACCCTCATGTGCTGTTTGAAAGCCGGGCCCCCGGCTACATCGGTTTCTTGCGGATGGATGTCCCAGACCCCCTTAATTTCCTTGTCCTGGCAACAGCTTGAAAGTAATGTAGGGGCCTGAATAATTAGAATAGGGTTTTGGGCTCCTTTATACTATATTTATAACAAGGAATCCCTAGGGAACAGCATTGGTAATTGGAGCGTCCATGCGCTCGAGTTTCTTCAGATTTTGGCAGCGGGCAGTGGGGGTTCAAAAACTTCGGGCTTGTCGTGGGTTTCAGAAGTCTAGGCTAACCTGCAAAGCCTGAAAAATGTATCTGAACCGATATGGAAAACCTTCGATATAACGCTAAGAACAGTTTTGGGCGTTATACCGGTAGAACTATGTAGTAACGAACCCCAGGGAATAGTCATGGTAATTGTTCGAGCCTCTATATGATGGGAGGCCAAACGGGGGGTTTAAGATTCTTGGGGTAGGGGTTCCTTCATATGAACCCTATTATGGGAACCCAAATCCCTACTAAACCCCCATATGCCAAAACCCCTTTTGGCCTCCTATGATACCCTTATAGATCCCTTTAAAGGAACCCCTATAGATCCCTTTAAAGGAACCCTAGGGATCCCTAATCCATATTACGGGCTTCGGATGTTGGCTTGGGGTGCCGGGGCTTTTGCAGCCGAAAGCTGCCTCCAGGTTCCGGCCCCGGTGACCAAGGCCAAATCATGTCGGATTTAGGGCAAAATTTAGGGGTTCCCTAAGCCCTAAACCCTAAACCCCTAAACCCCTAGCCCTAAACCCCTCAACCCTAAACCTCTGAACCCTAAACCCTGTAAGGACGTTATGCTGCCGCAACTGTCTTAGTTTTGCATCCCTGGAGGCTCGAAGACACGCACGTGCGGTAGTTCAGGCTACCGGGGGTCTTAACCGTCAACACTTCAGGCTCAAAATCCGAAATGACAACCCGGTACAACAACAACAACATGAAATCCTCCTTTTCTTCAATGCAAGGCTTCATGGAATATGAACCGACTAAAAGCATCTGCCTCGGCGTCTTTCTTCTTGAAGAGACCTTTTTCCTCGAAGTAGGCTGGGGTTCAGTCTTTGAGGTCGAGGAAAGGGCCGGCTTCCGCAAAGTAGAAAGGGAATGCAATGAAAGCTCAGGGGATTCTTGAAGGTCACACCCTAAACCCTAAAGCCTAAACCCGACCCGAAACCATAAACTCCAACCGTTCCCACTCCAAGGCCAGGAAGAGATTGCTGAAATAAACCTAGCATCTTGGGACATATGGTAATTACAAAACTTAGACAAGGATTACTTAAGATAACTTCGAAACATCGCCAAAGCTCCATTCAGGGCGTGGGGTATAGGGCTGTCCGCTCTCACACCCACAAGAGCCCCGATCCTTCACCGCAACATACCAGTCCAGACACGAAACAATAGGGCCGCGACGCGAATAAAACCCGATACACTGAATTTTATGCAATTTATATACACACTTGTGTATATCCATGTACATCTGTACATATATACACACACGTATGTAGGTATGTATGTATGTGTGTGTATATATATAGTGCCAACAATTAAAAACAGGCATAGCGGAACCCACTAAACCCGGAGAAGCCGTGTCAAATTCCGATCTGAACCCACTATATAACGGTTAAGGGTTTTGGGGCCTGGCCTCAGGTTTAAGCTTAGGAATTAAGGGTCACGTTTAGGGTTTTGTTAGGGTTTAGGGTTGGGATTTAAGGTTTAGGGTTTACGGTTTAGTTTTAGGGTTAGGGTTTAAGTTTAGGGTGTAGTGTGGGTTTCAGGTTTAGGGTCAGAATTTAAGGTTTAGGTTTAGATAGGGTTTAGGGTTAAGGGTTTAGGGTTAGAAATTAAGGTTTAGGTTTAGATAGGGTTTAGGGTTAAGGGTTTAGGGTTAGGATTTAAGGCTCATGTAAGGTTTACGTATCACTATATTCCTGACGAGCGGCGACAGAGTTCTTGCAAAGCATCAGCGTATGTTGATCAATGCCGGCCTCCGAGGTGCGGCTAGGGTTTCAGGATGGACATACACTGCTACCCAAAGACCTACGATCTTCTGGTTCCGACTTTCAGGGCTTCACGCTGGAGTTTGGCCGTCTGGCTGGGTTGCTAATGCAGGGGCCAGAATTACGAGAATAGGGTTTTATTATAGTTTTAGTATAAGATACCCCCAAAACCTACTCCAATTATTAAGGTCCCTACATTAGAATCCCAGGACACCGGAGGACACCAGACCCTGGACAGATGCTCGCGCCTGACACCCTTAACCCCAATGCCAAGCAAGGGTTTAGGTCGGCGCAAGATTTTTCAGGGTTTCTGGCTGAATCGCCAATGGTGTTGGGTTCGTTGCTTCGGGTCCTGCGAACAAAGCGAAGAAGCGAGGAATAACAACAGTCACAATCAGCAGCACCAACAAAATCCTACGAAGAATTTGCTTTCATTATCATCATCGTCACCATCATCATCATCATCATCACAGTGAGAGGGTTACTATGTGCACAGCATAGTCTTTCATGAAGGCGAGACCACCCGCAGTGGGCACTACCGTACAGCGTTGCTCAGGAATGGTTTCCTAGCATACACCACAGACGATGGCAGAATACCTGCTCTCGTACGGGACTCCGAGGCCACACATATCATGTCTAACTCGTATGTTTTCTTTCTGAGCACCACTCAAGCATAGCTTCGTTACTAGCACTCTGCCATACTGCTAATATTTATGTTGTTTCTTTGCACCCTTACGACCCTTAGTAGTGTCAAATTTTTATATGCTTTGTATTCCTCTTCATAAGTGCGCATCTGCTTGAAGGCCCCTCGGGGCGGGATGCGCTACCGGCAGAGTGCGTTTTTAAATAGGGTTGAGAGAACTGGGGCCAACAGTGCGCGTCACAGAGTGATGCCGGCCGTGCACGGCTGCCCTACGCAACACGGACTCCCTCCGTGGCGATGGAAAGAAAGACAGTGAGAGGGTACAAAACATCTGCACAAAGAAGGCAAAGCAAGTTAGCACTAGTAGCAGCAGCATCTTTGGTAGTAGTGTCACCGTGGTCGTGATTGTGGCAGTGGTAGTGGCCGTGGCAATGGCATACTAGTGCTTGCTAATGCTAGTGCTAATGCTAGTGCTACTGCTATAGTGCTCACATGCACGCACACATGCACGCACCCCTGCACAAGGGCAATCAAACGGGCACGGGAAACCCAGTGCGACCAACAGCTACAATAACAACAATTCAAAAGAACGACGGTTGGTGATGTGGTCTGACATTTTTGCACACTATGGCAGTGCTCGACACCCGCATAAAACGATGTATCGCATGATGCTATAAGTGCCCAACTTCCTGCACTGCATCTTAATTATAGTACATAACTTACTCTGCTTCCGGGACCAAAGGCAGCTGCCTTCTGCAGCTTCTCCATGCTGATGTTCATACTCTTCCGTGCCAACATCGAAACGACGTGGAAAACGTCCATAGCATTGCCTGGATCAAGGATCCTCACCGTGCGGCCTCGACCACTAGTGACTGCCTTCCTTTTCAATCGTACACAGCTCCAGCAGCGTACGTTTATGTATCGGACAAAGAAACCCTGTGAGGTTCATGTTTATCCTCAAGCCCTCAACCCGAAGCCCTTCCGAGGTTCCGGGATTTCTGCTGAAGGTGGCTAAAACTTGGGACCTAAAGCTGATCCTAGCTTAGAGAGCCGTCCATCAATATTACTAGTCGCAAGTCCCTCCCCCTGAAGACGTGCTATCCATGACATTTGCTGTAGGTCGGCCCCAAAACCACCAAAATAATTTAACTACAAAAAGCCGAAACCCTAGATCGATTCGCACTCTTTAAGCAACCCCAACGGCCCTGCGCCGCATATCTTCGCCTAAAGCAGACAGGCTTGAAAGCACGCCGGCTCGGCCGCTCTGCCGTGTGAGCTTGAGGACGCCCTTCTTGCACTGCATGTAGACCCTGTCAGACGTAAAGGTCTTGGGGCTTGGGGTTTAGGGCTTAAGGTCTGGGGTTTAGGGCATGCTTTTTCGAAGTGCAATGCTCTTCCACGATATACCTGGAATTATACGAAGTCACTTAAGCTATACACCGTGATTACTGGACTCGCTTGGCAGGCCCGAGAGTTGGTACTTGAGGCCCTACTCTGGCAGCATAGCAAAAGCCGGTAGAGGCCTCACTACTTAGGACTTAGCTCTTCAGGAAACCTCTGCAAAATCCTGAAACTTCTAGAAACCTTGGGGGGCCCAACAGAAGCAAAGAACACACACCCAAAAACAACTGCAAACCGTAGAAGCTGAAGCTAAAGCCGGATTGAGCCTTGAGTCAGAGAACAAGTGTCGCTTCAGAGGACACAAAAGACTTTTGCAGGGCCGTCATAGGGCTTGCAATTGCAGTCTCGTGCTTTTGTAACGGCTTTACACAGGACTGCAAGGGGACTCTGAGGGTTTATTTGGCCTCATGTCTTTGCCGCGATGTATTCGGGAGCCTCTCTCTAAAAGTCACCTTGGGCTTTCCAGGGGTTTAGGGTATACGTTTGCGGGTTTAGGGCTTACTCTACCATACATGTCCAAGGACAATGAGGGAATCTCATCGCAAGATTCCGGTAAGCCTCTCACGCGCATGCGAACCAAACAACTCTAAGCCCCGGACCACAAGCCCTGAACCCTAAATCCTAAACCATAAACCCTGAACCCTAAACCATAAACCCTGAACTCTAAACCCTAACCCCGAAACTTTGAACTGGGACGCTGACATCCCTGGCATGAACTTATAGCCCATGCAACGTTGGTACCAAGGCCTCGGCTCGGAGAAGGCGCGGGCTTTGAATGTGGGTTGAGGGTTTGGGGGTTGGAGTTTTGGGTTTAGGGTATCAGGGCTTAAGGTTTAAGATTTAGGTTTTAGGGCGTAGGGTTTAGGATTTAGGTTTAGGTTTAGGATTTAGGGCATCAAGGGCTGACACTAGCGAGAACTATGTCACATACCGATGCTGAGAATGCTTCTGCTACGGTCATAGTTAAGTCACAGTATGCGGCAGCAAGAACGAAGACTTGTGCCGAGAATAGCTGGCAAACTAAACACGATCGTTCAGCATCATCATGGGCACCATCAGCACCATCACCATCATCATCTTCATCATCATCCCAGCGATGTGCTGATGTACTACTGTGATTCTGCCTATCGCCGTTGCTATTGCTACTGCCACTGTCACAATGGCTTGATATTTCTTTTCTCAACTCAGGGCTTGGAGATTCTGCAGTTGGGCTTTCGACGTAAACCCCTGCTGAATACGCCCTGCTACCCTTGAAAAACTCACAAGTCCCAAGGCCCATTAGCCCTTAAGGTCCCTTTAAGTAAGGGAGCTTGTGAGTGAGGGGCCCACGTTAAGGCAGAGGTGGGGTTCAGGCTTTACGGTTTAGGGGGAATTCGGTGGAGCATAATAAGGAATAGACCATAATTCCCATAATTTAGGGTCCTTAAGGTAATGCAGGATTTGTATCATCAACCGTATTGCTCTCGCTCCATCAGTACTGCGGAAGCCCAGCAGAGAAATCAGGCTAGGGTGTCCGAAGCTACGGAGGAACAATCGAAGGGTGTTATAAGTCCCCTAATATGGGTAAATAACTTTTGTTATCCTACTCACAACCCTTCGAAGGTGCCAGAAACCCTAAACCCTAAACCCTAAACCCTAAACCCTAAACCGTGTATAACGTGGCACACCCCATGCCCGAAGCTGACGATTGAGGCCCGTGACTTGAGGCTTCCTCACGGGAGAGGATACGGTTCAGCGCTTCACATATGCTCCACAAGACTTTCCGAGCTATACCCCGCCTCACATCGCTTGATCCTCTAGCCCTGGGATTGCACTGCAGTGCTGTGACAATTGCTCATCAATCAAGTGCATGGAAACATGAACTTTATCGGCTGAAGCCAAAAACAATAAACCCAAGAAGTGCAGACAGAGCCCTAAACCCCTAAAGCCTAAACCGTAAACCCTAGAGGCCCTCGAAGTGCAGACAAAGCGCAAGATCACGTTCGTGCATCGGCCGTAAAATAGATCTCGGTCGTGGCGGAATGCATCGACCTCTTGAGAGAGAATGAGATAGAACCAGTTATATAGGACGTTAGGGTTTAGGGCTTAGGGTTTAGGGCTTATAGAAATTGTTAAGGGTTTGGGTGCCAATAACGTTTTGACCGAAAGTCTTGACCGAAGCGTGTGGAGCCACAATGAGCGAAACGTTTCTTTTTGAATTTTGGTTGCGGGAACCGGTGCACCGAGGGCTGGGCCTCAAAATTGGCAATGGCTTGGGTGCCAATATGTTTTGAGCGAAAGTTTTGAGCGAAAATCTTGATCGAAAGTTTGGCCGAAACGTTTCTTTTGCGAACTTGATTCTCGGAATTGCTGGGCCGGGGGCTGGGCTGGGCTGGGCTGTTGGGGCTGGGCTAGTTGGGTGGGAGGGCTGGGGGGCTGCTGGGGAGGCTGGCTGGGCGTGGGGGGCTTGAAATTTACGGCTTAAGGGGTTCAACGCAAGCAATGACAAGCAACTAGGGTTTAGGGCTTAGAGCTTAACCCTGAGACCTCACCTGTCACCTCCTCTCCCCAACGCCTCAACCCTAAATCTAAACGAAACCTAGAACCACAAACCCTAAACAACCCATCAAATCCTACGCTCAACGCCCAACAGATGAAGGCCTTTCTGATTAGAAAATGGTGTTGGTGTTTATCATGCTCTAACTAAGGAATGGTACTGGTATTGCTAATGCTTCAGGTCCCTAAACTCGAACCCGTAATAACAAGCTTAAGCAAGCCTTAAATGAAATCGTAAAGGGCTAAGGAATAGTCTTGTTAAGTTGGTTCTTCCAGCCCCAAAAACAGGCTCCAAAGCACCCGGTAGCGTGAAGCCTTACCCAGAGAGCCCAATGCTCCTATACTCCAGGAATACAAGAATACCCGACATACAGTTCCTCCACGTTCCTTCTTATGACTATTGCTTCTGATGTCCTACGTCTTTTAGGGTCCAGGTATACCCCAAGTCAAAAGAGGGAGATAAATCCGCGCGCGAAGATAGATCCGCAAACCCATAAGCGCCCAAAATTAGGTCTAGGTTTCGGGGGTCAACCAACTCCGTCGCCTATTTATTGCATCCCCCAAGCCTCTAATCAAACTCAAAACACTCCTTTGCAACTTTAAACCCTGAGGCCTAAGCCATGGCTTGTGAAATCCGAGCTTCTAAAACCTTCACCCTGAACGCCGTCTTCTCAATCATAAGCCGGAACCCAAAGTTCCAGCTTAACAGCAAGAGCCTGAACCTTGCAGCAGATGGCAGAAAGTTGGAACATGATTATGCTCCTGCCCTTAAGCTGAAGTACAGGGAATCCCGGCACTAATCATCCTAAGTCCATGATCCAACTTTTCGGGTTCACTATAAACCCTTGCGGTGCGAACTGGGGGCATGACGCGAAGGTCTACGCCCAAGAGACTGGTCCCAGGCAAGCGGAACTTTTGGCCTCTGGACGGTTTAGGTGTAGCTCGCATGCTTTAGGGCTTAGGTTTCAGTTTAGACTCAGGCCGCAGATTTTCGCGATTTGAGGCTTTTGGATGTTGAGGTTTTGGGCAAAGTCACAGGACTTAGGCTTTAGGTTCGAGATGGGGTTTAGGGCTCGCTGCTTCGGATTCCCATGAGAGCCTATGGGACCATGCACGTAAAGGCCTGAACACCAAATCCAGGTGCCCGACGGATGTAGAAGAGGCGCATATCAGTGACGACGACCGCATGCATCGAGTTCCTGAACTCCACGAAGAAGCCTGGATAATCTGTTCGGTCTTTCGGCCTTGGATTTCGTCCAGGGCGTACGTTTCGGGCAGTCAGGAAGGTTTCGAGGTTCAGAAAAAAGCAAACTTCGCATCTGTGGATGGTCAACATCGTGGCGAGCTGCAAGCCCCGCTAAACCCTCGAGCCTATGAGCCTATGTATGCCCGTACCCCAGGGCGCAGTTGAACATGCACATCCTCGGTGTTCGTCTGACAAAGCTGACCCTGAAAGCTGCGAAATGAAAACAATGATACGAGCAGCAGGGTGAGAAACCTTGAAATCCACCCCTACTCTCATTCAGGCCAATGTATACAAGAACCCTCAAAGGAACCGTAAAAAGACCATTGAAATAGAATCAGGGGGCGTCCTCATCAGGTTCCTACATGTTCTTGATGTTGACTTACTGTCTTTACAGTAAACTTTACAGGTATCTCCCTGTGAGACCCTAATGTATCCCAGCTGAGGCAGCAGCGGAACATGAGATGCAGGATCGCAACAAGCAGCCCTGCAGCGACTGCCTCGATAACCTGACTCATGACGCAGTCCCAGAAAGCCCAACACCCCTTCGCTGAGGAATGCCCCGTCCCGTGTATCTCAACACGCCCCTATCAAGGCCCCTATGTTTTAGATAGCGTCCTTAATTGCTTCCCTGGCTGAGTTCGGGGGCTGGGGCTTGCAATATCAGATCTGAAGGGGCCCTCGGAATGTTGAATTGGTGTTATCGGGGGGAGGGGGTATACTGCACTAGTTTCTGGAATAAGGCAACCTCGGGCATAATGTTGGCTTCTGTTCAAGCCCCTAAACTAGGGTCGACTACGTATCTCTTCGCTCGGCTTAAACGATGCCTAAGCGAAATAGAATCCAACCGCTCCGAAATTAATTACAGGAACCAGACAGGGCTTGCGTAAGGAGTTATATGGGTGGTTGTCAATATTGGGGTCCCTTTCTGGGTCCTGTTTATAATTCGGCACTTATATAATACATAGGGTACCCAAACAGGAACTCTAATTTCGACAACAGTTTCGGATTTAGGGCTTAGGGTTTAGGCGCTCTTGGTTTAGGGTTTAGGACACCAACGAAAGTCTGCACCCGCCATGGATCCCAATCCAAACCTGAATTCCAGGATCAACAACCATCCTCAAACCTATCTTCCCAAAAAGTCAGCTCTCGTGAAAGAACTTACTTTCATTTTGCCCCTAAACCCTAAACCCTGACAATGCTGTCCTTAGTATTGTTATGGCAACCTGGATGGACGTCTTCAAGTAAAAAAGAATCCCGAACAAACCAACAGTAACAGCTAGGCTGATCCATCCAAGAACCTCAAGACCCTAAACTTCGGTACTGCCCCCACCTTGTAACAGTCTATACTAAGTGACATGTGAAGGGCTTTGTTTCAATATATTACGCATATACTCTATCTGGTACGGTGCGGGGCCAATACCCGATCTTAACCCCAAACCCGATCCCTGAACTGGAAGCTCTACACTCTGCGAGGGTGAGCTGACTGGGACTCGCCCCCAGAGTGCATCAATGGTTGATTGTACAGTGCAGTGACCTTTCTCCTCGTGCCAAGCATGGGTCAATGGTTTTCTGGTTTACCTGGACCCCAAAAGTATGAAGAACAATAGCCTTTTATAGGTTTTGGGCCACTATTGTACCTAATTTTGGAGGTCAAGGTAAAGTCTAGTCAATGTCGTCCGAATGGTGCTGAGCACATGCTCCTCAACTCGGCAACCCTCCGAAACGAACTCGGTCCCCAACTCCGATCGAAACCCGTTCCCCCGGACCTGACACTTCTAACCTCCGCAACCAGAAGTTCTTATATGGTAGCAATATGGTAGTTATATGGTGGTAATATGGTAGTTATATGGTAGTTATATGGTAGCATATTCATCCCTAAACTCCTGAGCATCACCACTACGTCGCGCCTTGCTGGCCCCGACGAGAGTGTGATCTCCGACTTCGATGGTGTACGTAGGCGCGAAGAGGAGGGCCTCAAGGGCGCAAGCCAAGCTTTTCGTGGCTTGGAAGGGGTTTAGGGTTCAGGGTATGTGCTTCAGGATTGGGGGCTATGTAAGAGTTTAGGAATCAGGTTTCCAGGTATGTTCATAGCGGCAATGCATAAAGCCCAAAATGGTGACCCAGTACACCCAGGAAGTGCGGGGGGCCGGCGAGTTAAGGAAGAGATGCACCTGCCAGACTCGACTCAAACCACTGCTTGTTCTGCGGTCTGCCTGATTGTTGCTGGTCTAACCTCCAGTCTGACAGCCGAATCCGAAAGACCTGAATGCCAAGGCCGGTAGCCCCGTCCGAGAACCGCACCAGGCCCAGTACGATGAGGCCGTAGAGCACGGAGGGGCCCAAGTCAGAAAACCTGGTGTTTACGGGCTTGGTGGTCAGGGTTTAGGGTTTAGGGTTCACGGTTTAGGGTTGAGGGTTGTAGAGGGTTTCGGGTGTTCAGGTGCTTAAGGGCTTGGGCTTAGGGCTTTACCTCATGCCGTTGGACATGCACTTAGCTTAGGCATATACAGCACCGCGCCACTGTGCTCAAGCCAAACCCTAAACCCGAAGGGAGTTCATGCCGCTTAGTTCTCTGCGTTGCAAAAATAAGGCCGTTTCGTGAAACTCTTTGAGTCGCGGAGGTGTGGTGTTTAGGATTTACCTACCTACCACAGCTTATTTATTTTTCGTACGGTCCGTATGACTTCCATATTAGGGTTGATCATGGGAACCTACAAAAAGGAGATTTTGGTAGCTTAGGGTAAGGTTCAGGTTCGCACTACACCCCAAACCTCAAGCCCTACAACCTCGCCCCTTCAATTCAAAAACAACAAGTTCGAGAACATTCTTCCAACAGTATTTTGGGTTTAGTGTGTAGGGTTGGGATAACGTAGGAACCTGATCAAGAAACCCTGGGCCTATAACCCCAAAATCGTAGGATTCATATAAGGAACCCTAATAAAGACCCAGGGTTTCTTAACCAGGTTCCTACAGCATTATAGATCCCTTATACTGGCCCTTATAGACCCCTTTACAGGAACCCCCAAAAAAGGCCCAAGGTTTCTTAATAAAGACCCAGGGTTTCTTAATAAAGAACCAGGGTTTCTTCATAAAGACCCAGGGTTTCTAAACCAGGCTCCTACATTACAACTCACCGAGTCGGCGGTACGGGGTAGGATTGGTTAGGTCCTACGGTTGATGGGGTTCTTTTAAAGGGAGCTATAGGGGTACCTTTAAGGGGTATAAATCCTGCATTACCCATGAGGAGGGATATACCATAATTTCCATAGTCTAGGGTCCTTAAGGTAATGCAGGATTTATATCATCAACAGTAGGATTTGGGAAGTGGGTTGCATGGTCAAGCTCCTCTGCTGCCCTAAAGCCCAATGTTGAACTGCGCCTCCGCTTGGTACTTTGCTGGAAACCCTTGTTTCGAGCAAAAACCCGCTTAAATTTGATGGTTTTGCTCTGAAGGCTGTGCCTAAAACACGACCCTACTTTTGGGGCCTTCATAATTAGAATAGGGTTTTGGCGCCCGTTATACCATTATTATAATGAAGAACTCCCAAAATAGTATTCGTATTTATTTAGGCCCCTACGATAGAACACTTCTATAGATCGCTTATAGGGCCCCTCTTAAGGATCCCTTTAAAGGAACCCTACGAATGGTAATTACTCAAGCCCCTATATTAAATCCTGGAAGTGGCCTCATCCTTTCCATCTCGGACCATGCAGCCACCACCTGCACCAGGAGGTTAGTTTCATAGGGCTGATGAGGTGAATCCTGGGGTTCCTCTAAAGGGATCTATAAGGGTACCCTTAAGGGGATCCTTGAATTCATCTGTAGGGTTTTAGGGTTTAGGGCTTAGGGTTGATGATAGAAATCCTGCCTACCTTAATGAGCATAGACTATGAGAAGTATGGTATATTCCTTATTATGGGCAACGCAGGAGCTATGTCATGAACCATAGCGCCACCGTCTGCGAGTAGGGTGATAATCAAAGCAATAACAACGGCAGCAGAACTGCACGTCGCCTTTCCTCCCATGTTCTCTGCAGAAAGTTTAGGGTATAAAACAGGGTATGGTAATAGTTCGCAATGTTATTTTCCCCCTATACGTATACTATAGTAGACCCCAAGACGATATTGAAACTATCAAGGCCCCTATATTCGCGTTCAAGCTTTGGAGTTCATCATTTAGGGCTTGGGGCTGATGACAAGAACAACACAGCCCACAACAAAACCGCCCAAACCCTAAACCACCCAAACCCTAAACCCCCTAGACCCCAAAACCTAAACCCTAAACCCCTAGCCTAGTCCGACATAAACCTGACAAGCCCCGTCGAGGCTTCTTTGCATTGAAGGGTTTCTACCCAGTCTCTTTCAAGGCTTTCAAAGGATTTTCGTCCGGCAGCCTTGATAATTAGAGAAGGGTTTTAGGTGTTTAGAGGCTTAAAGTTTACCATAGAATACATCTACAACAAAGGAGCCCCAAGGAATACTAGTAGTAACCAATTCAGGCCAAGGAGCCTTAACAGCCAGTCATACGAGCCCTTGCATCACTATTGCAAAGCATATAACCCGAGCAGAACCGATATGACTTTCGTGTACTAAACGCCAGCGGCGCCTCCTTTTGAAGTTGAAAGAACCAAAACCAGAAACGCAGACTCTGATTGGTCTGGCCCGCAGAATTGCGTCCGAGAACGCGCTTCGCGTCCTTACTCTAGAGTCTCCCCATGAGAAGAAAGGAATATCACAGGGGCCGGAACTGTCGGAATAGGGTGATGGGTATGCGACCCTGTTCGACTCACCACAAAGTATGACTCTTGCAAACTCCATGCTCGCAGCTTTACCTGGGCTATGCTTCAGCCGGGATAAGGCTCTGAGAATTGGCTTGGGGGTTCAAAATCTTGCAGTTTGAAATCATGATTAGTATACAGAAGATGCGAAATTCCTACACCCCAAACCCTGAACCCTACTGGGCGCCTGCTCCTTGTTGTTGGCCGTGTCGGCCAGACCAAGTGCTTTCACAGGCACATTCACCTTCCTCAAATGCAGAGAGCAAGGTTGAGGGTTTAGGGGTTTAGGGCCTAGTGTTTATAATGGTTTCGGTGTTAAGGGCGTAGGACTTAGGCTATATAGGGGATAAACGCATCAATTGAAAATGAGCTTCAAGGAATATAAACTCACTGACTGCTTCGGAGAAGGGATGCCAGGATGCCCCTAGGCCCTGGACCCTGAAGATCCAAGATACCTTCGACGGCCGACCCAACCCCGCCTCTGCCTAAGAAGAAACATGTATACAATATGCTAGGTATACTGCATGCAGAATATGTGTAGGTATGTAACAGATACGTGTAAACATGTGTATAGATATATGTGTATATATATATATGCCTCTGTGTACAGATGTATATACACCTTTACATATACAGACGTGCACATGCGCATAGCACTAAACAGAAAGCGGCGAGCTGCAGGAGCATCTTCGCGAAATCCATCTCAACGATGGATTTCTCCGCCAGGAACTCCTTTCCGTAGCTCGACAGGCTTAGTGTTGAGGGAATGAGATTTGGGGAGGTTAGGCCATGTAGGTTTAGGGTTTAGATCTTGGGGTTTAGGGCCTACTTGGAGGTTCATGGGTCGTTATAAGTGGAGATATAAGTAGTGTAACTATATTTATAGCCCATACTACGGGAATAATAACTCCACTTCTAAATGCGAATGAACCTCCGAGTAGGCTCGGGGTGCTGGGCCTGCAGTTCATGCTTTGGGGTTGTAGGGTTTGGGAGTTCGGGCTCAGAGCTTCGACTTGGCGCCTGGGGTTTCGGGCTTAGGGCTTAGGGTTTAAGGTTTAGGGTCCAGGGTTTATGGTTTAGGGTTTAGGGTCTGGGGTTTAGGGTCTGGGGTTTAGGGTTTAGGGTCGGCTTCCAATTCTTTCGGGCTCCGTTTGGTGCTCTCGCACGAGCTGAAGGAATATTGAAGCCTGACGAATTTGAGCAGGGTCGAAACCCAAAGCCCTAAGACCCCAAACCCCAAAGCCTTATACCCAAAACAGGTGTCCATGCAAAGTATGTTACGTTGCCCTCGACTCCAACACCCCTAAACCCGAAACTGCGAACCCAAAGACTATAGAATCCTTCAGGGAGGGAAGGACCCTTAACAAACCTTGAATAGGTAGTATTATTAGGGAGACCCCTTACAGGGTACCCCTTCTGAACCCTACTTCTGGCTCTCTTAAAACGGGCCTTATTGAGAGGGTCTATATTCCCAAGGGTCCCCCTAATCCTAACTCCCATTCAAGATCCCCCTAAACCCTAAACCCATGGTACGAAGAGAAAACCATTAGCGCCTCCCAGGTGGGCATCTGATTCTCCAAGGCGTAGGCCTTCACGCCCCGATCCTGGTTGTTTAGGTTTTAGGGTTGGGGTTTAGGGTTTAGGGTTTAGGGTTTAGGGGTTAGGGGTTAGGGGTTAGGGGTTAGGGGTTCAGGGTTTAGGGTTTAGGGTCGGGGAGGCTCTGGGACAGGGAGTCAGCCTAAAGCGCGGGTTTAGGGCTTTGGAGTTGGGAGCTTAGGATCTGATGCTGTTATTTTTGCTACTGTACTTTACCATTGCAGTTCTACTGCTATGACTCTGAAATGCGAGAATCTAGCCTGTCAAACGCGAGAATCTAGCCACGACCAGCCTGAACACCAAGATCTGAACGCTGAGTCACAAACTCCATGCACACCCTCAGCCTACACCTATCCAGTCCAAACCCTCAGGCCTGAAACTCTACCCCTACAGACAAGATAAACACAGGGACGTTGGGGCGTGGGGTTTCCTGGATTTTCCGGATTCCGCATGATAGGGGCTGGCCATGGTTGCCCAAATATAGGATCTCTGTGTGGATCCTATCTCTGAACCCCTCAACACTACACTTCACCAAACCCCTAAACCCCTGCTTCCTTACCCGAAATCGTAGCTTAAGCCCCCAGCCCGCAAACCCTTTTAAGCTCATCAGCCTGCAACCCTACCTCCCTCAACCCTGAACCCTGCAAATCCTAAGCCCTAAAACCGAAACCCCAAAGTTAGAGCTCGAACCCTAACCCCCCCACCAAAGAAAACCCTTCCTCATCCTCGCCGTCGATGTTTAAGCTGGGGTCTGCCACGACCTGTTGGTCCTGCTCTGTTTAGAGTTCAAGGCTAAGGCTTTCTTTGTGCGGGGTTTGGGGTTGGGGGCTTGCGCCCTTCGGATGTTCATCTTGAACGAGTCTGGAGGTCTGTTGACAACAAACGAGGAGCGAGACCATACAGCGACAATACTTCTAATTCTTCAAGCCCCTGCAATAGCGTTCTGGCTTAGCGTTTCGGATATTTTGGTTAACTGCGGATGGCTCAAGATCTTCGTGGTGGAAATTGGGACTCAAACTCTTGAACTTGCTCTTACTTGGAGGGTCGGTGGACTTAGTAAGTAGGTAGTAAGTAGACTTATAGGCACTATAAAAGGGACCCTAATTGGGGTTATGGTACTTATAACTTATAAGTCCCTAAAACAACCAATTACTAAGTCCCCCGACCCTCCAAGTAGGGTTCAGGGTCAAGGAGTACGAGATTCGGGATTGGGGTTTCGGGTTTAAGAAAGAACCAACCGGGGTTACCGCACATAGACTTCTTGGAAGCTTCTCGCCGAATCACCTGGACACCAAAAGCCTGAAATCGAAAACCGAAACCCTAAACCCTAAACCATAAGCCCTAAAGCCCAAGCCCGAGACCGGATCCGTTGAAACCCTTGGCCTTGACCGTACTCGGTTCATGAACCTCCCTAGCCTAGAAGGGATCATAACAGGGATCCTAATTCCTTTATAGAAATCCCTGAGAGGAGCCTCTTAGTCTCCCTTGTAAGAATCCCCCGAAGGATGCAACATTCCTTGGGGCTCGAACTAAGCAGAACCTGAACTGAGCGGTCCTCGGCTTCGTTGTCCCAAGCCTCCAACAGGGTCGATTTAGGGTCTACCTGGACCCTAAGTAACCTGCCTTTTTTAGGTTCCCTGATATAATTTCTTTAAATAAGTCCTTAAAAAGGTAGGTTCTTCAGGGTTAAGGTAGGGTTTAGGGGTTTGGGGTTGAGGGTCTGTGATAAATAAGCCAGAATTGTAGTGTGAAGAAGACGAAATAACTATTCTTCAGGGTTTGGGTTTAGGATTCAGGGTTTACGGCTTAGGGTGAAGAAGCCGGAACAACGATTCTTTAGGGTTCCTTCTCATAGCATTACGTATAATTAATATGAAAGACTCCAAAACCCCTGTTCGAGTTGATAACGCTCCCATATTTGTTTTCCGGACCCCGTGTTGAGGTTCAGAGGAAACCCTACGCCCCAACTCCCAAACCTTAACCCCCACACGACCCCTTCTTTCAAGCGGATCTTGAAGTTGTCTGGTGGTGGCGCAGCGATGTAATATCGGGGCCCTCGCAATGAGAACTCAATTCCTCAGGGTTCTTGCTTTCTGAGCAGGATAATATGCTTCACAATCCCCAGTCCAATTATTAAGGAACCCCTGACCCTTAAACCGTAAACCCCAAACCCTAAATAGTAGAATCCTAACCCTCGGCCCGAAGATGCCCCTGAACCCTTGCTGTAGCCGTTCGGACTCGGTGTTTTCAATAGCGGGATTCAACCTTCATGAGTCAGGCCCAGAGCAAGTTTTTCGCTGTAGCCCTGCAAAGATCAGGGTTTAGGGTTTAGGGGGTGTGGCCCTGCCATGATTCGCACTCCCCTGAGCTACCGCGGAAACTGAAAATCGTCTTATAGACTAGAGAAACTAGGTTCCCAGAGACTCCAATATCCCTTAATTAAGGAATATTCCTTAAATTATGGTAGGATCCCTTATATGATTTAAGGAATATTCCTCAATTAAGGGCTATCTTTGGGTTACTGCTTCATGGTTTCGAGTTCCGGGCTTGCGGGCGCTGCGGGCGTGGGATCTGCTTGCCCTGATCCTATGCTAAACCCGCGAACTCCGAAGCCCAAAGGACCCAGAGCACCTCTGCCAGCCCCCCTTCAGAAAAAAGCGAAACCACTTAATGCAACGAACCCAACGAACTTCCTTCAGGGTTTGGGGTGCAGGGTTCGAGCTTCGGTTTCGGATTTAGGTTCTTGAAATTCAAAGTGTAGGTCAGTCCTGATCAAGAACGCAACCCCTTAACCCCTAACAAACCTCAACATCAAGCTTATGCAGATCCTGTAAAAGCCTTTAAGAGAAGTTGCGAATCCCTATCAACCCAAACCCAAATCCTAAACCCTGCACTCCCCTACACCCCAGACCCAAACCCGTGCGACCTCTATGAACAGCTCTTCCAAGAACTTGAGCGCCAGGGGCTCCGAGGACGTGAAGTCGGAGAGGGTGCTGAAAAGGGGCAAAGAGCTTGGGGTTTACGGCTTGGGGGGGGGCTACGTAGGATTTTTATTAGGGCCCTCTATTAAGGAACATATTTAGGGGCCTCGGGAGGGTTGAGGGTTTGGGGAAGGTTCTGGGGTTTGGGTTTAGGGATCTTCTTGGTATTTCTGTAAAGGGTCTTCTTGGGTTTAGTTTAGGAAAAGGCAAAGGCCGGCTTGCAGCGCTCTACAGATCTGGGAGTTTCCGAAAATAGGGGGCCCTGATATAGTACCCTAAATAAGGACGAGTAAGTCTAAAGAGGGGTTGGTTTCCCTAATTTGAAGTTAGAGTCGGGTTTGGTGCTATCTGGCTTTATGCAGGCCCCAATTTTAAAACCCCGCGTCGGGTTCCAAACTCCAAACGTTGTGGTTCACGGCCTCGGCTGTTTAGGGTTTAGGGTTTAGGGTCTAAGGCTTAGGGTTCAGGACGGCGACCCCACTACAGATCCAAACTTGTGGGACCCTGGTTTAGAGGACCCCCAGAAGAAGGTGCCCTCTTTTCGGTTGTTTGGCGTCTTTGGCACCCAAACTTCCTGCAAACCAACACTCTTCTGTTGTGAGCCAATCATCAAGAAATACCAAGAGAGCCCCATGGTCCTTGATCTATTAAGATCTAGCCTTTCATAACTTACATATTTCCGACCTTAGTGATGCCCGACCCCCTCTCCACAAACCCTCAACCCTAGGCCAAGGGCTCGGCTCTGGTGTGAAGCAGCCGCAACAGGTCGGGGCACGTTGGCACACGATCTGGACCAAGATATAGGGCTAGGGTTTAGGGAGGGCTGTGGGGATTGGGGATTCAGGGGTCTCGGGTTTAGGTTTTTGGGATGAATTAAAGCCTACTCGGGCAACCCAACCCTTCGCCTACTGCCGCTTCTTGCGGACTTACAACATCCCCTGAGACTTCGAAGCAAGAGAGCAAGTCGTCAAGATCTCTCCAAAACAAACTGCAAGCTTGTTCGGAACCCCAAAACAACACGTGGCATGCATCCAGACCTCCATGCGGAATCTAGGCCGCTTCCACAACAGCAGGAAGCATACCCTCTGAAATTCCGGAGACCCGCCGCATCTTCTCCCGCTTCGTGATTCATCAGTTCACGTTCAGGGCGGAACCGCATGTATTGACGGATCTCAACTTCTCTTTCACGGTTTTGTCGAGATTTGAGAGACCCTGGCAAGCCTCTTTAGGCTTAAACCCCGAACCCTCAACACTAAACCCTGAACTCAAAGCCCAACTAAGCACAAGGTTCAGAGCGCAGGGTCCGAGCTTGAGCTCAAGACGGAGCCTCCAAGTGCTCACTGGCTGATGACACGGTCATGGCGTACTTTGCCGCCTGGCAGAGGTCGCAGGGTCAGGGGTTTATGGTCTGGAGATTCACTGTCCGTGAACTTCACACCACTACGATAGTCACTTTGACTATACACCACTGTCACAACCACGACTACTGCTGCTGCTACTGCTGCCGCTACTGCTACTGGCTACGGATACGGTGCCGCCACGGCTACATACCGTCAAATATCAGCATGAAGAAGCGGCTCCGATTCTGGGACCCAGGTCCATGTTCCCGAAACCCCGGAGCAGGGTATCTCAAACATGCAGAAGCTGCCACGAAGGAGAAGAGAAGGGCCCCAACATCGCCCACGACCTCAGGCTTCAAAGCTTCTAGGGGTTTGAGGGGGGAAGCTCAGGGAATCGTGGGAAGTCCAGGTTCAAGGCAAGACGTGAGGTGGGGGGGTTTGGGGTTTGGGGTTTGGGGGTTTAGGGGTTTGGGGGTTTAGGGGTTTGGGGGTTTAGGGGTTTCGGGGTTTAGGGGTTTAGGGTCTAGGCTTTAGGGTTTAGGGGTTTAAGGGTTTACGGATTAGGGATCTTCAAGCCCTGCAGCCCCAAAAAGTGCCAAAAAAACCCAAGAAACAGGACCCAGGAATCCGGATCCCGCATGCCCCACCGAAAGCTTCGAAGTCACGCTCCAACCGTCAAAGCGGGGAGGCCTGGGGAGCCGAATAGGGAGCTCTGAATCCGGAAACTCCAATCATCCCTTAAGCACGGAAGACCTAGGGTTGCTGCAAGGGATCCCTTAAAGGGATCTGTAAGGCATCTATAGGGTTTAGGGTTTAGGGTCTCCAATATCCCGTAATTAAGGAATATACTTGAAAATATGGTAGGGCCCCTATAATGATTTCAGGAATATTCCTTATTTAAGGGATATTGGACTCTCTGAATTCTGAATGACCATTAGAAATATCCGAACATGGTGTCCATACGCTGGTGACGGCAGGTCATTATGAGCGTAATTACCACTCGTTTTTCACCTTCAGCTCATAGAGTTTGGTCCGCGAGTGCCCCAACACCCTACTCTCATCATGAACGCCCGTATATAGGACCCTATCCTGCACCTAGATCCAGTCAAGACAAGAAGCCGACTGTTTTCAGGTGGTGTTTAGGGGTTGGGACGGTTAGGGTTGGTGGGTTTCGGCCTCCTGTTACACTTGATGATACGGGTAATGTAGGAATCTGATTAAGGCAACCCTGCCCCTATAACCTCAAAAGTTTAGAATTCATATAAAGAACCCTAATACAGATCCAGGGTTCGTATATTATCAACCTCGAAGAAACTCAGCAGGGCTGTTTCTTCTCGCCCTTGGGATGCCTCGAGGATGGTCTTCATGACTTCATACCTCAAAAGGTTCGATAGCAGGTTTCGGGTTTGCGGGCTCAAGGGGTTCAGGGCTTTTTGGGAATCATTGCAGAGGTTCCACAAAGGGCTTAGGGCTAGTGGGGTTTGGCGCTCTAGATCTTTGGGGGCTTCGGGTGTACATGTAGCGCTGAGGCTTTCCAGGCTTCAGCTGTAGGGCTACGGCTTCCTCTCCTTGCAGGACTTAGGCTTACATGGTGGGCGTGATATTTAGCACAGGGCTTCAGGATATACTGTACTACACTTACATAGGGACTACAAGGGAATTCCGGGGACTAATTATTCCGACCTGCATAGTTCAGGCAGCTTTGGTGGCCTGGCTTCTCGTATGTTCTCCTTCTCGTGGAATGCTGCTGCGAGTCTCCCCCCGGAGTTCTGGTTTAGGGTTAAGTTCCGGTTGTTGCAACAAGGCCGGAAACCCCTCAAAACGAGCAGGAGAGAACCCAAAACCCCCGGCTGCAAACATGAAAGCAAAAACCCGAGTCTCATCACCTGAAGAAATTAGCGGGGACCTCCACTTTGAACCGAGCCCGAAGCCTGAAACTACTCAAAACCCAGAGGCTCTGATAGGCGGCTTTGAAAAAAATCATATGGTTGTTCATGGTTGCACAAGGCGTTTCTCGGTTGTCATGAGAGGTTTATGGGTTTGGTGAGGGTATTCAGAACTCCGCAAGCTCTTTTCAACAGTTCCCTGCCCTCATATGCCACCCCGGCTTGGAACCAGTCATGCACTATGCCTCCACGACCCACCAGACTCAAGATCTAAGGGTCAGAGTTGACAAGTCTTGAAGGGGACCTAGTAATCACACTCAAGGGACAGGTCTGCTTTAAAAGCAACATACATAAGCATCTGCAACAAAATTCTATGCAAGCTTACAGTTTTACAGGGGGCCTCATGCCCTATGCAACAAAGCTCCTTCAAATCTATCAAAAGCCTTAGAACCCTAGACACCCTTAGACCCCAAACCCCGCTAAACCCTCAGTCCTGAGCCCAAATGCCCAGAACCAGCTGAGCTCTTCTCCCTGCAGCTCTGAGCCGACGCCCACTGACCAAGGCATGGGCCATCCGCCCCCGAAGATATCCTTCACCGACAGCAGGCCTCGGTGTGGGGCTTACGGCCGTTTAGGGCTTAGGGTTCAGGGTTTGGGGCTTAGGGTTAGGGATTAGGGTTTAGTGCAGGGTGCGACATCTGCAGGGCACGGAAAGAGATTTCGCAGTAAGTACACCCAGAAAAACATGCTGTCTTAGCAAGCAGATGAATCCATATGTTCTCACGCCTATGATAATGCCAACCGCACGAGGTGGTGAACAAGAAGAGGACTGAAACAGCCAAACCGGAAACCGCGCACGACCAAGAGTCATCGCCCCATCAGTCCTAAATGGTAGTAGCCAGTAGCACATTGGTCATGGTCGGCAAGCATAATCGCTAAGAGCTGCGAGGGAAACACCAAGCTGCACAATAGCAAGCACCGTGTGCAATGATATTATGTTCGTATACCAGACCGCAAACTTCTGTCACACTATACTGGCATAGCCACGGCACAAAAACACCGAGCGTTTTGCAGCAGGGTTGCGCAAGCCTTTACCCTAAACCTAAACCCAAAAACCCTTGAACCCTGAAACCACTAACCCCAAAAGGTCAACCCTGAACCCCGCTCATGCCACGCTCTGAAATACACCTGTGTGACCCCAATCCGACATAGCTTGCCGAGGACCCAGGAATTCGGAAAGCATTGAAAAGCCTTCCCCGTATGGTCCCTGCATCATACTAAAAATCATAAAGAAACCCGGCTCTAAATGTCGATCTTTCACTTGAAACCTATAAAAAGCCCGGGGAAGAGCCGAATACACCTGAAGGGTAATTCAGCTCTTCGTAATGAAGCCAAGATGCAGCCGCCGCAGCAAGTGCCCTGGCAAATTGACGACTAAACCGGATATTCCTGTGAAGGTTCCTTGAAGGGCCCCTACAAGGGTACTTCTATAAGGGCACTACAGGGTTTTAGCGTTTAGAGTTTCAGGGTCAGAGCTCGAATCCTGCATTCTTTGGCGAAGACATCCTGCTAGCATGCCTCTCTACATGCAGTCCTAAATCCCTAACTGTAATCCCTAGACCCTGAACCGTTGTTTAAACGCAAACCCCCTAGAACTGCATGAGGGCTGAACTGCGAAGAAACGCCTTAAACCGCAGACCGTGCAACCCTGAACCCCATGCAGCCTGGCTCAATCTGAATATGGTGTAGGGCTTTGGAAGAGTGTTGTTCGGCTGGAGGATGCAAAGCCAAACATCCAAGACACTTGAATTTAGTTGTACAGTTGAAACTACATGGTGCTGCAAGGTCTAATGGTTCATGCCGGTGCCTTGTAAATCCTTCGGTGACCCCAGAAACCCTTCAGAAACTTAGCTTTTAAGGGCTCTCCAGGTCCAGGTCATATGATTATATGGACCTTAGTTTTGAAAACGAAGGCTTTGGTGGATACTACAATTCAACTATATGAGACGAAAGATACGCCAATTAGTACTAATAATACTCATAATACCCATAGGAACAGTTATTACAGTTGATATCATTATCATCGTTACTAGAACTGTTCATGTAGTTTCTTATTCTGCTTTATTGAATGCTCTGGCGAAGCCTCGGAGTGTCCGTACTGCAGGCAGATGGCCATCACCTCGCGCGCATCGTGTGAGGAGTGGCTTTGGGGATTCTAGAATCATCTCGGCTAGGGATCCTACTATAATTTGCGGTATATGCATTAATTAAGGGATATTGGAGACCCAAAACCCTAAACACTATAGATCCCTTACAGATCCCTTTAAGGGATCCCTTGCCGGAACCCTAGGTCTTCCGTGCTTATGGGATCTTGGAGTCTATGGGTAGCGAGTTTTCGGTTGATGGCACCAGATGGCAGCTCTAGGATAGCCTCCAGGCCCGAAGTTCAAAGTCAAGGAAGATGAGGGGGTCTCCAATATCCCTCAATTTACAATATTCCTTATATAAAGGGATCTGCAAGGGATCTATAGGGTTTAGGGTTTAGGCGTCTCCAATATCCCTTAATTACGAACATACCGCAAATTGTATTCGGATCCCTGTTTTGATTTAAGGAATATGCCTTAATGGAGGGTCATTGGAGTCTCTGCAGGCCACATGAAGATGGCTAGGTTCTTGCTGTGGGATCTAATTTGAGTGAGTTACCATGATAAGGACACCAAATTGTTTACTATAGTTGGTTTAAGTTACCATAATATGGAGACCATGTTGCTTACTGTAGATCTGTATTATGGAAACTTAACCTAAACCCTTAGCAAGAGCCCGGATGATGCTGCTACGCCCTTCCCCCGAAGTCCCGAAACTGTTTTCGAGACTCCTCCGACAAACTGACATGATATTAGAGGGCGTTCCATGGGTCCTGCTTCAATGTCTGGCAGACCATCTTACTGGAGTATAATGCTGGAGTACTGTGGCTGCAGTATGTTTGGCCATGATGCGCAGAGCTTCTGCACAACCACAAACTACACTGGGACAAGCAGCAACAGGCCCAGCGCCAGCACCACGACCAGTGATGACGTGATGCAGGGAGCACTATTGTAATCCCTCTGAAAGGAGGAGGGCTTATTCATGAAGGGTCCATTTTAGTTTCATGACAGAACCTGATGGCCTCGCTGTTGGTGACCATCTCCTCAGAAGTGTAGTCGGTCTCGTTGTCTTTCGTCTGCACATGCGGGGTTGTCGGTTTAAGGACTTCAGGAATCAGGATGTAAAGGCTCATAAAGCTGACAAAAGCCCATAAGCCCGAACCCTACACCCTAAAGGGCCGAAGCCCCCGATTCTAAAGCCCAAACACCCAAAACCCTGAACCCTGCTTTAAAAGAGAAGGCTAAGCCGGCTTCAGGGTGTAATTTAGGGGCCTTACCAATTAGACTGGGGTTTTGGGGCCCAGTATACTGTTTTTACCAAGGAATCCAAAATAGTATAGGTACTTATGAAGGCCCCCAAAAGTAGGTTTGCCTTGGATCACCGCATTGTGCATGGTTCAGTTCAGGGCTTCCGGACCTCCTGAAGCCCTCAACCGAGGCGCACAACTTCGCCTCCAGCACCAATGAAGCTTCGTTTAATATTTTTTTAAGTGTAGGGTTTAGGGAATATTTAGGGTTTAGGGTCTAGGGTCTTAGGTTTGTTTTTCAAGCGGCCCTTCTCGTCTCAGCATTGATGCAAAAGGGTCTTAGGGTTTAGGGTTTGGGGACTGAGGACCAACCTTGGGGACGGTCTTGGTCTCGTAGTACTGCACCCCTGCACAGAAATCGGCGTCGTAGTCGATGCTCTTGGCCCACTCGGTGCCTCAGCCGAGTTCGAAGCTTTGCCTCAAGCTTTGGGGAGAGAATGTGACGGCACTCCGGCCACGCCCAAACCTGAAATTTGGCCCGGCGGAGGCTCTTGAAGCATATCAGCTATCAAAACATGAAAGTAAACGGGGCTTTAACTTTAAAGTCGTAAAGGCATGATCTTACCGTGTGTCGAGGCACGGATATCGGAACCTCAGAAAAGCAAAACTCCAATATAGACCCTAAATTGCAAAATCTTTATAGTAGGCCCTAAGTTGGCTTCGGGCTACAATAAAGGTAGGTGGTGGTGTTGATGACACGGTTCGGGGTTTAGGGTTCCTTACTTGGGGGTGTGTCTAAACCCTTGTCTCTCAGGCCTTTACCTATCCTGAATCCGAAACCGACTACTGAGGGCCTATACTGGTCCTATTTAGTGAACTATCATCTGCCGTCAGGAATACCGGGTAGGGGGGGGGTACGCTGCTTGGAAAACTTCGAAACGAGTTTCTTTGGCTAGAAAGGTCTCTGGGCGCTATGGATTAAGAGGTCATTGCGACGCAGAAACAAAAGCACTGAAAGCGCGTCAAAGAGTTATTGCCGTCTCAACCAGCACTCACGACCCCAGTTCTAAGCGCACAGGGCCACCCCCAACCCGAAACCGTAAACCCTAAACCCCAAACCCTAAACCCCAAACCCTTAACCCTAAACCCTAAACCAAACCCTAAACCCTAAACCTCATCCAAGAGAACCCACACAAAGTCGTGAAAGTCTCGGAGCCAAGCATTTGGACACCGTGCAATAGGCCTTCCTCAGTTTGTATCAGAATCGGGTTCCATTAAGGATTCTTCAAAAGTAATTCGTAGGAGAGGTCCTAGAACATTGGTGCCAGTATAGGGCCTGACTTCCTCGAAAATGTCTTGGAGCATGCTATACTATACTCTTGTTAGGAACTGCACTGGTGCCGGGTTTAGATTCAGGTTTTAGGGGTTTAGGGTTTCGCGTTTAGGGCTTCCGTCTGCGAGGTTGGAGAGCCGCATTGGGCAGGCCGGTTAACTGCACTTGCCGCTTCACCCTCAGGGGCTTAGGGTTTATAGGTTTGGGTGTTGTCTGTCTGTCAGGCACATGCCTATGCGCAGCTGCGGGCTTTCCATTTAAGTCGAAAACGGAGGCTGAACGCATGTATAGGGCCTGGAATACAAAGCAACAGAGCCACCTTTTCATCAGAACAAACTATAACAGCGCAATATACCATATACCCCAGAACCCATTCCAATTAACTAGTAAGGCCAGAAATCTCTATACTGAACTTAGAACCCTCGCAAAAATTACAATTTAGCTGTTTCTTAGGTATTATAATAACCCAAAAATTACAAAATTATTTCTAAGTACCCCTAAGATCTGTGCTCAGGGGACATAAGGTTCGGCTGGCGGCTTCCGGAGTTCTAGGTCTGGTTTAGTGGAGCTTGGCGATTACGGCCTGACAGGGTTTGGAGGGTAGGGTTTAGGGCGTAATGGGGTTTAGGTATATGTCAAGTTTAGGGTCATGAAGAGCCCCAGAACCGTACAGACCTGAAACTTCCACCCTGGAACCGCAAAAGCCAAAACGAAGCGGTGACAGCCTGAAATGTGCTGGCCCCTGCACCTTGCCTTTGACCTTCTAAATCAAGAACAAGAGTTTAGGGTTTAGGGTGTACGATTTAGGGTTTTGCGTTTAGGGTTTAGGGTTTGAGTATTCAGGGTCTACCTCTATGTCCTATGCACGGAAACCCTCATGTAAACCTAAAGTACCCGGACTCAAGTAGCCGGAAACTCTCAGCTCTTCTGCTATGTTTGGATCCCAGATTGTGAACTTTTTGGGTTTAGGGTTTAGGGTTTAGAATGTTGAAGCTGGCTCTGAGCTCACCGCCCCTCCTCGATGTCCGAAGGTGCCTCCACGCAGAACTCTCGCACCTCACTGCTTTCGACCACGTTGGCGACAGGATCTCAAAAGGATTTCTGAAGCGCTTCAGGAGGATTTACGGAAAATCTACGGCTTTACGTAGACCCGAGTCCCTTTATCCCCAAGACCTTGAAATAGACTAGACCCTAAACCCTGAACTTTAAACCCTGAACCCTAACTTCTACAAATAAACGGCTTTGAGCGCTCCCATCGCGCAGGGATGCCTTCGGGATCTTCAGACCTTCGAAACTTCTGGGCCTCTGGGGACTACGGTTTAGGGGTTGAAGGGTTTGTTAGGGTTAGGGGCTAAGGGTTAGGGATCCGAAGCCCCTTAATCTTCGAATAGACTTCACACAAGAGGAAAGTCTACGGAATAAAGCTCAAGTACGAGCAAAGATGCCCTAAAACGTAGTTTCAGCTGCATGCCGGAATATGGGGCTCTCTGGATGCAGTGCGCATCTTCGGCTCCCTGCTGCGATTGATATTAGATTCTCTTGCCGCCTTGTGCATGTCGGCTTGGGTTTACGGGTCGTAGAAGGGACTAGGACTTGGTGTTCATTTCTGATGCTCTGAGTTGAGGGTTGGGGGGTTGAATAGTATTGCATATCGAAGTGGCAGGCTGTAAGGCGGCTCAAGATGTCTGACCAACCCTAAACCCTAAACCCTTGAACCCTAAACCCCTAAACCCTAAACCCTTGAACCCTAAACCCTAAACCCTAAACCCTTGAACCCTAAACCCCTAAACCCTAAACCCTAAACCCTTGAACCCTAAACCCCTAAACCCTAAACCCTAAACCCCTTAACCCTAAACCCCCTAAACCCCTAAACCCTAAACCCTAAACCCTAAACCCTTGAACCCTTAAACCTAAACCCTAAACCCTAAACCCTTAAAACCCCTAAACCCTAAACCCTTGAACCCTAAACCCCTAAACCCTAAACCCTAAACCCTTGAACCCTAAACCCCTAAACCCTAAACCCTAAACCCTAAACCCCTAAACCCCTAAACCCTAAACCCTAAACCCTCAAGATGTTTGGGGGCCTGTGGTCTTGGGTTTGAAGTATAGACCCGGTTTCCCGAAGCCCGAAGCTTAAAACCCTTGAACTCTAAACCCCTAAACTCTGAACCCTCAAAACCCTCAAAACCCCCAAACCCCCAAAACCCCGAAACCCTAAACCCCCACTTTTAAGACACCGCAAGTGCCCGAGTACGCAATGATCATATACTCTCCCAAATGTTAACCTACGTAACTACCATCCGAAACCTAAGGACCTAAGTATTTTCTCCTTCGGACCGTTAACAACCCCCTATAGGACCCTTTAAAGGAACCCTAATTATCCTAGAGTCCTTCGGACCCTTAGGGACACTACCCCACAGCCGGATCCGCTCAAAAGTCCCACGCCGTCGCCATATGCGAGATCTGCACCACCTCGGGCTCGCTGTCAGTGAGAGGCTTAAGGGTTTAGGTTAGGGGTTAGGGGTTTAGGGTTTAGTAGGGTTTAAGGTTTAGAGGTATATTGTACTATGATATTGGGATGAAATGGGATTAGAAGGGACTACCGTTAGCATGATTGGGGCAAGGTTGGGCGGTTTTAGGGTTTGAGGTTTAGGGTTTGGGGTTTAGGGTTTAGGGTTTTGGGGATTTAGGGTCTATGAGGGTTTAGGGTTGCTCCTCTGTTTAATAAGGACCGTTTGCCGACTTCAAGCTGACGGTGTAAAGCATGCCAACCGAGAAGTAAAACTTGGGTACTGCCCCCATACAGTAACAGTCTATAATGGGGCTACTTTTAAGGGCCTAATATATCTGTATTATGAATATTAGCCAACTGTTACTGAGAGGGGGCAGTACCCAAAGTAAAACCCTGCACCCCTGCCCCCAAACCTAACCCCTAAACCCAAACTACTATCAGCAAGGACCAACCACTCACGACTCATATGGTTTCTAAAGCCTGCAGGGGTTCTACATGGGTGATGTGAAGTGTTGCCAGGTTGACGTACAGTGTTTTTCCTAGGATGCTCTGTGTCAGAAAAATAGCTCCTCGAGTTCCTGGTGACTGCGTGCATGCAGAAGCCAGGCAAGCTCTGCATTTCTGTAAGACTGCAGCTTTCACGGGCCAGGCGTACCCGAGACCCTGTTACCCGTTGAAAGTATATACTATGTAGGCACATGGACCCTTACGCTTTGTCTGGCTCCACCTGGATCCGGCCAGACATGAGGGGGAGACATGCAGGAGGTCCAGAACGGCACAACACCTTTCTGATACCCTTGCAGAAACGCCCAAGTCGCACACCCGGTCGAACCAGGTGAAGCAGGCATCCAGCGTGGTCACCAAGAAGAGGGTCACCGTCAGAATTGTTACGAACCTTAGGAACCATCCGGGGACTTTCCGGCGCTTTAAAGGGGCCTTCTTGTAGAACCTTTATAGTACCCGTATAGATCCCACAAAAGTAACCCTTATAGAGCCCTTTAAATGAACCTTTCTCGAATTTACTCTTTAGGGTCTGAGGTTTATTTAAGCTGAAACGAAGACGCCTTTTACACTGCATTAGGAGGTTCCGGACAAAACAAGGCCGAGCACATCATTGCAAGACTGCAACAGCCTGAGACAAACCCAACAGTACAGGCATGGCATAGATCCTCGCAAGGTCCTAAACCCTGAAGCCTAAACCGAAGAATTCAGACCCATTTTTCTGACAAGACTGCCTGCACGTCTCATACCTAACGTGGTTTCATTCTGGGTTTTGGAACTCGATTTTGCGTAGAAGCGCTCAATTATTAGGAGCGCACGCGGAGCAAGTCTACACAGACTGAACCAAGACTTTGCTAACGTGGTTTCATTCTGCAGGTGGAACACGGTTTTGTAGAAGCACACAGCTTTTAGGAGCACGCGCGGAGCAAGTTTACAACTTTACCATGCACCTGAGAATCCGGCAGAGGAGAGAAGTTGGTGGACTGCGCTTCCTCGACCGGACTTTAAATTAAAAGCATAGGGCCTGACAAAAGACCTCTGGGTTGAAGGTCTTTTTAGGGGGGTTTATGGCTTAAAGGTTCAAGGCTTTAGGGTTTGCGGCTCAGGGCCCAAGGGTTGAGTGCTTCAGGGTCACACAATGAGCTTCGGCCCTGCGGGGGACTACTAGCATTTCGGGTTCAAGATTTATGAATGCTTTGCCGTTGACCTTCAACCCGTCAACCTTAAAGAGAACTCCAGAAAGTTGGAATATGGTTTTAGGGTAGGATACCTTATAATTTACCATAAAGGGTTTAGGATAATCATATTCCAACTTTTGGGCTTTTACCTTAGACGCAAACCCTTCCCCCAAATTCCTGGGTCCGAAGCCCGAAACCCAAATATCCGAAACCGAAACACCCTCGGTCACAAGTGATGCAGCAAGAATAAACAGCCAGAGGCATTTCGTGGAGCAGAGGGTTTTACAGGCTGTATTCGGGTTTCAGGGGGTTGCGGAGGTTGTCATTATTATGGTCCCTTTTTGTGTCCCTAGTGTAGTACGGCACCTTATATTTAAGGTACCCAAAAAAGGACCATAATTTTGACAACCGGAGGTTGTCGGGTTTGAGGGTATGTGCAGATTCTGGCTCACGGCTTTGGGTGTAAGAGTTGATGTCATGAGAGGCGGCGAGCCCCTGAATCCCAAAACTACTGTGGATGGACTATATCCTGCATGACCTAATATAAAGAATGTACCATAATTCCCATAGTTTCGGGTCCTTAAGGTCATGCAGGATTTTGTCCATCAGCAGTATGAACACCTAGAACCCCAAACCCTAAGCATCCCTGAGCCCAATCCCAAACCCGCAAACCCGACACGCAAACCTCCAAAACCCCAAAAAGCCATCCCCCAAACTATATAAGCACCTGAAGAATTACCAATTTTTCCTTACAGTTCCAGTATATAACCCAACCCACAAAAAAGACCAAAGGCTACTCTCATTATCAAGGCTCCCCCAAAGTGCCCAAACCCCTCAAAACCGTAAGACCCTAAACCCACAAAACCCTACTTGGAAGGGCAGGGGACTTAGTAAGTCGTTTATAAGTAGGGTTACGATTACGGTAACTCCATTTGGGGTACTTATAACTCTACTTATAACCTACTTACTAAGTCCCCTGGCCCTCCAAGTAAACCCCAAGAGTGCAGGGACGCCTAAACCCTAACCCTAAACCCAAAACCCCTAAGCCCTAACCCCTAAACTCTAAACCCCTAAGCCCTAAACCCCAAACCCCTCAAAACCCCAAGAGCGCAGGGACGTGCGGAGTGCCTGGACCTTCTGGGCCTTGGAGTTCTTGCCGCCACCTCGGCCGTCGAGCATTGATACTGTAAGGGGGTACCTCATTTAGGGCTTAGGGTGTAGGGTTAGGGTTTAGGCTTGAGGGCGTAGGATTTAGGTATTTAGGGTTTAGGGTTCATTGATACTGTAAGAGTAGTTCTCTGAATTAGGGTCCCTTCTTAGTTCCCCAAACTCCTGCGGCACCCTTATAAAAGGAACCCTAATGTAGAGAAATACCCATAAGAGTAGCTGAAACTCTTCGAGATTCGACCAGGCTTCTGGGTCTCTTATACTATCGCTCTAGCACCCTCTCCAAGGGTAAAAGGAGGGACCCTTAATAAGGACCCCCAGGTATATACCCTTGATATACCTATTAATTATATGCCCATTCTATAGCCCATTATAGGGTACGAATCCCCATTAAGGGTCCCTCCTTGTCCCCTTTGATCCTCGAACCCCAGAACCCCAAGCACCATAAACCCTAGACCTCAAAGCTGCAGGAGAAGTACTACTGAGTCTTCAAGCCCGTACCAGAGAGTCCAATCAATACCTCCCAATTAATTAAAGAAGATGCCTTAAACCAACATATTCAGGCCCCCATAATTTATGGTGTATGTATATATATATATATATATATATATATATACAGCATGAATTCCAAAACCGCTAGTTCCGCCAGCTCAGCATGTGTCACACGGAGGAGGTTTTTTGGACGGGTGCCTACTCGTTTTTAGACGGGTGCCTACTCGTTTTTAGTCGTGGGTGAGCAGCATGAATTCCAAGACCGCTATCCGCCAGCTCAGCATGTGTCACACGGAGGAGGTTTTTTGGACGGGTGCCTACTCGTTTTTAGACGGGTGCCTACTCGTTTCTTAGTCGCGGATGAGCATCAGCAGGATGAAAGTTTGTCGCGCTAAGATGTCGTTGCTTGGCGGAGGACTCGGAGTACGAAGAAATGCATTTACGTGGCCTGGCTAGCGGAGGAATTTCCATGCCAAAATGAACATACACTTTTTTTTTGCTCCGACGGAGGAATTAGTGACGTCCTTGCCTGACATCGCGACTTCGTGAAGGAGTCTGTGGGGGAAAAGGGTTTGCAAGTATGTGTTAGCAGACCTACCGGATGCGACGAACTTTCGTCCTGGCGCAGTATTCCTTACTCTAAAAAGGGGGTATTGGGCTCCCTGGGTCTACTATGCCAAAAGACTGCAAGCCGAAATCTGAAGACCGGAACTGCCTCTGAGACTAAGCCCAATGCCAAGACCAGCGCTTGCGGGATCAAGGTTTAGGGTTTAGGGTTTGGGGTTTTTAGGGTTTGGGGTTTTTGGGTTTGGGTTTTAGGATTTGGTTTAGGGTTTGGGGTTTAGGGTTTTGGGTTTGGGGTTTGGGGTTTAGGGTTTGGGGTAGGGGGTGCAGGGAGTTAGGGCTTTGGTGGCTCAGGGATTTGGGGGTCTTGGGCTTTGGATTTAGGATTTTGGGCTAAGGGTCCAGGGTCTATCAAGTTTAGGTTGAAGCAGGGCTTTGGGTCTAGGGCTTAGCTAGCTCACAGCTCTTTTCCTATAGAACCCTATCATACCAGCAAAGGAACCGGATTATAGAACAACTATACCACCCCTAAGGGGAACCTTATTGTGGAACCCTATATACCGTAGAACTACAATGGTACCCTTACAGCATCTTTATTCTAGAACCCCTACCCTGGACCCAGCACCCTAAACCCCAAACCCTGAACCCTGAACCCCAAACCGCAAAGGAACCGTATTACAGAACTGCTCTTCTACCCTTAAAGGAACCTTATCATGGAACCCCAAACCCTAAACCCTAAACCCCATACCCTGTACTACCCTTAAAGGAACTCCAAACCCTAAACCCTTGCGATGGAACCCTAAACCCTCAACCCCAAACTACCCTTACAGGACCCCCCGGGCCCCTGGCTTCCGAGAGCCGCCGCGGCCGGATCGCAGAGCTCGGAAGTTGGCACGGGGCCTCGGGATGCTGTTGGGTTGAGAGGGGCTTAGGGTTTGGGGCTTAGGGCCTAAGGATTAGGGTTTAGGGCAAAAGGTTTAAGGGTTTGGGGGTTTGGGGTTTAGGGTGTAGGGTTCAAGGTTTAAGGCTCAGGGCTGTGGGTTTAGGGCTTTGGGGTTTCGGGCTGTCGCTAGGGTCGTTGAGATCTAGGGGTTGAGGGTTTGAAGTCCCGAACCCGGCAGTTGGGAGCCGAAGCAGCGTGAAGGAAAATACTCAACACCCCTATCCCTCAAACCCGACACCCAAAACCCTCTCCCCAACCTCGAGCCCGAAACCCTAACCTCATATGGCCTTGACCCAACACCCGCAACCCGAAGCCGTAATTCTAAACCCCCTTACCACCCAAAATTGCGGAACAAAAACCAGGCTTGGCCTGCAGAGCATCCGATCGTCAGCCCCACACCATCCAGAGCGGCCTGAACGCCAGGCTGCTTATGCACTCACAGGAGTTTTCTTCAAAAAAAGGCTTAGCAAAAATGGTACGGGAATTTTCGTGAAGATGCAGGCTTGGGTGAAAAGGTTCGGGTCGGTTCGGGGGTTTTGTCCAAAGCCTAACACCTAAGGCCCCGGATTTCGCGAGAACCCACTGCGCCTGCCCCGGGTACTTCCCGAAGTAGAGGCGCATGATCAGCTTACGAGCAACTTTTGCCCCGGAGATCGTGTACCTCCAAGTTCATGACGGTTTAGGGTTTAGGGTTTCGGCTTGAGATTTAGATTTCTTCCTCCGTTGTTTAGGGTGCAGGGTGACAGGTATAGGGCTTTAGGGATTTGGGCTTGGTGTGTATATATATATATACATAGATATATATATATATATATATATATATATATATACGGCTTTGGGTGTTTAGGGGCTCAGTTTTGTGGCGATAACTTGGGTTCGATGCATCCGGATGGTGACCTCCAACACTGATGCAGCTGAAGCGCTTGTTGATCGGTGCTGTCACGCTCAGCGACACCATCAGCGACACCATCTTCAACAGAACAAGCCCAAGCGCCATTTCTCTACACCGTCGTGTTGATGATGATGATGATGATGATGATGATGACGATGATGATGGTGATGCTGATAACGATGATGCTGATAACGATGATGCTGATAACGATGATGCTGATAACGATGATGCTGATAACTATGATGCTGATGCTGGTGCTGATGATGATGATGATGATGATGATGGGAGGAGGAGGAGGAGGCGGAGGAGGAGGAGGAGGAGGCGGAGGAGGCGGAGGAGGCGAAGCGGCGGTGCTGTTTCTGATGGTGACAACCCCGAGATCCAAATTCAGGATTCAAGGTTCATGTTTGGGCCTAAACCCTAAACCGGCATCCTTGCTAGGGGCACTGGATGGAGGAGACCGTCTCAGCCTTAAAGCTTTGACGCGAACGGGTCGCCTCGGTGATTAGATCGCAGGCTTCGGGCGTTTGGGATTCAAAGCTGGAGGATATTAAGGGTTTCAGCATTTAAGGGTTTCGTTTGCGGGGCTTTTGGAATCGGGTTCAGGGTTCTAAACATATGGATATAAGGTTGACAAAGCAGAAACATGGTGCCTGCCTGTACGGATTTAGGTATGTTTGAGTCGGAAGAGTTTACCGATGGCATATCCTGTGTAGTTCTTTAGATACTTGCAGTACTTTCTTATATGTAATTTAAGACCCTATTGTAGTTTGGGAAGCGCTGCAACACGCAGCTCGACGTTCCACTGAAAACATAAGACAAGACAAGATACATGACCCTAAACCCTAAACCCCACTCTAATGCTCAGGGCCCCTGTATAGAGCTTTGACCGAATCCGGCATGAACTGATCGACTCCGCAAGACCTTCCCAAACTCTACAGCTCTCCCTCCAGGGTTCACCGTCCCCCGGGAGGTTACGGTGATGTTGCTGCAAGAAGCATGAAATGCTGCAGACGAAAAGATACCTTCTTAAGGAGCAGCTCGAGGTTGTATCTAAGGCTTCAAGCCTCCGAAAGAAGAGCTCGAAATGTAGGGTGACGGGTTCATAACCCTAACTCCTAAACCCTAAGTGCTTCATGGTGGAGTCAACAGCTGACCGACGGGGGCCCCGCATAGTCAGCGGGCCAGTGCCTGAAAAATTTGCCAAGGCTTTGAGGGCTTAGGGTTTAGGCTGGGGGTGCAAACTTTACGGCTTGCGGGTTTAGGGTTTGGGAGTTTAGGGTTTGGAGGTTCAGGGGTTTGGGGTCTGGGTTTGAGTTTAGGGTTTGGGGGAACGCATGGGCTTCAAATTCCTTGACCCGAATCTACCCAAGACCTTAAACAAAACAGCCTAAACCTGTTCGGGATTCAGGGTTACATAGGGGTTCAGGGCCCAAACCACGTGAAATCTGAGCACCTGTTTCCGAGTTGGTCCGAAGATACTCCAGAAGTCCGACGCCTTAAAACCTTCTGCTTGTGTAGGCACTTTGATAATTGGAATAAGGATTTATTTATGGTCACTGTAAGGATTCCTTCAAGAAACCCATAAGGTTACTGTAAGGCTTCTGTGCTACAGGGCTGACAACGAAATCCGAACGATGCTGAGTCCATCCAGTATTCGATCAATCATTTTGGGTTTGGAATCTGCTGGAGGGGTTTCAACGCACTTGGAAAAGCACAGAGAAAGCTGTAAAGCCGGCATGCCAGCCTTAAACGGCTTTTGAATTTGGGCTCAAAAGTAACCCTAAACCCAATATCCGAAAACCCAAAACCTTAAACTGTATTCCAAATCTCTGCACAGGCCCGAGCGTGTAGAGCCAACACGCGGCTCCAATCAACAAGGATCCCTGGGAGGGAGCAGAATAAGATCAGGGTTTAGGGTATGGCGTTCAGAGTTTGGGGCGTAGGGTTTAAGTCCATAAATCGGCCGAGGCCAGAGGCCCAGGCGTCTTGGGGGTTACCTCAGGTCCCCTCCACCTCATCCTCCCCGAATGGTTGGTGATACCTGATTTGTCGGCCTCCCCCCCCCTCCCACGCCTCCCCCCCTCCCCCCCCCCCCCCCTGCCCCCCCCTCCCCCCCCCTCCACCCCCCTTGTACCCGTTCCTCGCACTTCGTATCAACAACCGTGTAAAGGTTGGGGTTTGACAGGCCGCCCCAGCATAAAAAAAACATCGACTGCCCCCTCGCCCTGCCGCTACACAGCCGAGGCGGGCGGCGTAGCGTTAAAATTAAGTTTGAAGTACCTTCTTGGTCGTCGCAGGCAGAACCAGAAGAAGAAAACCCTAAGCACTAAACCCTAAACCCTGAACCAGGATAATCTACTTAGTACAGTGGACTGGGCCCCTAACCCCAAGCAACCCTTTCAAGCAAGGACCTGAACCGAGCTGTCTCGTGTTTACCGCGGATCTCTTAAGCCCACAAGAACACGAAGATGCAGAATGGCAAGAAGAAGGAGAATGGTTTTGGGAACGGCAGAACGGCTTTCATGTTTTGGCTCCTGTTCTTGAGCCCTGCATCAGCTAAGTGCATCTAGCGATTCAGTGTGCAGGGCTGCTAAGGCCACTGTGTGACACCTGCAAGAAGAGTTGAAGATCAAGTCTTGCAAAAGACAGGCTCGAATCTGTATGACCATCACTGCGGCAGAGGGTTCAACAGGCTCCGTAAGCTGAAAAGATGCCGAGACCAGGCAAAGCGCACTTCGTCATGCGACCATGGTCTCTTCGTCATGTCATCGTTTAACACTTCCCGAAACCCGTATGCACCAGCAGGCTTCCGCACGAAGCCCGCCAACCCTAAACCCCACACTCCGAAAGCCCACCCCAAGACCCAAACCCTATAAACCCTGAACCAAACCCTAAACCCTGAACCAAACCCAAACCCTAAACCCGAAACCTAAACCAAACCCAGACCCTGACAAGCACCCTGGGCTCCCGGCACCTACCCCCATGAGCACGGCAGAATTCCGAGCAGCCTCGTCTCTTCATTGCGGTAAGGGGGGATAGGGATTTGGGCAGTTCTCCAAACCAGGGTTAAGGTTTAGGGACAATACGTATAAGGGTGGTTCTCGAAGTTAGGGCCCCTTTTACATCCCCAATTGGAGAATCACCCATGTCGGGTTTAAGACGTCGCGAGGGTTCGGAGTTCTGCGATTGGCAGCCTTTCTCATCCAAATCTGAAAAGGTTTATAGTTCAGGGTGAAAGGTGTAGGCATCTAGAGTATCCAGAGTTTGGGGTTTAGGGCTTGGGCTAGTTAGGGCTTAGGGTATAACGGGGGCTTAAGAACAACCCTACCACATCCGAAACGGAGCCTTGCCGTAGACTTTCTGGTCCAGCTCGAGTTCCTGCAGCATGTCTGTCTCGGATTAGGCTCAATCTTAAGGTGCAGGGTTTAGGGCTGAGGTTTTGGGATGAAGGTTTATCCACTCTGCTACTAGGCTTTGGGCTCGGGGCTTTGGGTCTCTGGCTCTGCTGCAGGGTTCAGTGTGTAAATACGGTTTGGAGTTTAGGGTGCCTCTTGGACACCTCAGAGAAGGCACCTGTCCCACCCGAAACCCTAAACGACAAACCATGAAAACATAGGACCACCCCAAAGTTCCAAGAACCCAGAAGCCCTCAAGAACCTCAAGCATAAAGACCAAACGCGTCCCAAACCGAAGCCTGAGAACCCAAACTCTACAGCCCAAAACCCTCAGGCACCCAGTCCTGAACCCTAGACCCCGTAGATTCGTTTCAGAAAACCTTACAGAACAAACCCTAAACCCTAAACCCTACACCCGAAAGCCCTAACCCAAAGCGAAAGAGCCGGCTCGCACCGTCTGGATGAAGTTGCCCTCGCCCTTGATATCAAAGCCGCCAGTGTCCATCTGGGAATTGCCGAAAATTGGGGGGAGGTACCTTATTTTGGGGTCCTTATTTTTTCGGATCCTACTATTTCTTAGGATGCTATATTAGGGTCCCCTGTTTTCGGAAACTCCCATCTGGGCAAATCAAACCAAACGGTTCTGCAAAGTCGGATCTGGGTTCGTTCTTGGGTGGTTCAGGGTGATTTTTTGTGGGCCCTTTTCGAACTGCAGTTAGAATTCCTGTACTAGGAGGAGCCGATGGTTGGGGCCTGGTTTGGGGTTTAGGGCTCAAGGTTTTGGAGTTTAGGGTGCAAGGCTTCAGGGTTTTGGGCTCAGGGTTTAGAGCTCAGCATATGGGGCTTGAGGTTCGGGCTTTCGGGCTTGGGGCTCAGGGTGTGGGGCTTAAGGGTTTGCGATTGTCGCTGCCAAGTTCTGAGTTTCGAGCTTCGGGGCCATGAGGGACACCCTGAACCCCTAAACCCCCGAACCCCAAACCGGGCTTCAGGATTTCGTGCTGTTCAACTTCAACCGTCTGCTTCCACAACATCCTGAGCTTCGAGTTTTGGGGTTCGCATTTGCGGCACTGGGTTGCAGCACTGGGGGCGAAAACATTCCGTAAGCCACGCTGTTCCTAAATCCAGAGAGACTGTCGTCACAAGCTGCAAGGTCTGCTAGGGTACACCGAGACCTCAACCCGTACCCAATAACCTAAGCTCGAAACAAGCCCCAAACCCTATAACATCCCAGTAAAGACCGTATGGACCCCTTCCTGGAACCCTCAAGGGAACGAACCCTCAAAGGAACCCTTCACTGAGAAGGAAACCCTTAAACCTTAAACGAACCCAAATCCTGTCCCGGGAGCCCTACGCCGCTGTAGCCAAAGGCCATGACTACAAAGGAGGGAGCAGTGACCTGCCCAGCAGTTCCCCGGAGGCTATTCGGATTCAGGGCAAAGGCTGGGTCTAGGCTTTAAGGTTCAGGGTTTAGGGCCTATACCCCTTGATTACTTGGGTTTAGGATTTGGGGTGTGGTTGGGTCAGAGCTTTGGGTTTGAGCTTCGGATGTCGGATTTATGCTTGGGGAGGTCAAGCTGGAGCTAATATATGCAGTGTACTCCTGAAGCTTGCTAGTTTACTGGGAACTGCTTGCAGCCAAAGCTGTCGACCATCATGACCCAAGCCCTGAAGCAACTTTCATGGTTGCGAGCTCGTGCCGCAAAGACCTGAACCCGACTGCTGACAGTCTGGGGCCATCGCAATGAGGATCATCACGAGAAGAAGCCTCAAAAAGGTCATCAAGGCCACCTGTGCCAGTGGGTTTAGGGTTTAGGGCTTAAGGTTTAGGGTTTAGGGTTTAAGGTCTAAGGTTTAGCGTTTAGGATTTAGGGTTTAGGGTTGAGGATTTAAAGGTTAAGGATTTAGGGTTTAGGGTTTTAAAGGGCGCTCCATGTGCGGAGAGATTCGAGAAACAGGAACCCTGCAGCATTTCACTCTGAAACTTTGGCTGAGCTTCCTATAACGGGGTCCCATCTCCCAGACAAAGAGATCGACCGAAAATCCCTGACCCTAGACCCCGATACCTAGACCCAAATCCCTACACAACAAAAACTAACTTAGTGGCCTTCATGAGTACAGCAGGGCATTGGGGTTCTGTTCTACTACAATCAAAAGTCAGATAACTTTACTGACTATTTCGGCTTCTAGATTATTGCTCTGAATATTGTTCTTCTTGTTCTTGTTGCCTTCATATTATGGGGAGGTTACTCTTAACATTTCTCTTCTTGTTCCTGTTACCTTCTTAGTTTTCTTGTTGTTGTTACTATTGAAATTCGGACCGAGAACGACCCCAGCCCTGGCCCTGGCCACACCTGCAGGTCAATGCCGAAGGCATTGGGTCGCTCCACCTGTCTCAGGCTCAGAAACCTAGCAGCTTCCCAGACTTTCGGGAGGATCCAAAAAGTAGATCCCTTAATGGTGGTTCCTATAAAGTACCCTTAGTAGTATAGGGCCCCAAATTGGGGGATCTCTGGGTTTAGGATTCCTTTAAAGGGGAGACCTAAGGCTTGGGTCGCTCCACCCGTCTGGGACGCCCCAGGAGGCGCAGAGACACAGTTTTAGGATCCTTTTGAAGGGGAAACCCAAAGAGTTTGCGGTTGAAAGGCGCTCAGAGTTTGGGGGAGAATGTACTAGAACATACGATGATATACTATAATATATGCTATAACATACCGGGGTTGAGGGTTTGGGGGGCTTAGGGTCTAGGAGCTTCGGGCTTAGCATGGAGAGCTAAGGGTCTAGAGATGGCTGATGAAGACCAGTGATAATCATAGCTAAAACGTTTAAAACTTTAAAACCCATCTCCTACAGAGGTATTAGTAAAAAAAACTCGGAGTCAGTAAGAAACATAATAGCAATACATCCCCGAAACCCTAGACCTCAAACCCCGCGATCGGTATCTTAGGGCTTGTCAAGAATGCCTTGAGCAGGTAAACGCGCCCACCCTCCGTGAGAACAAGGATGGTCTCGTCGTCCTGAGAGTCTGTACGGCATGCTGCTGACTGTCAGGGCTCGTATGAGGGATTCGACGAGTGACTCTACGAGGGTCACTGTACGGGTCACTGTAATGGTCACCTTAAAGGGTACTGTAACGGTTACTATGAAGGTTACAGTAAGGAGGCCTATGAAGGTTAGTAGGAGGGTCATGAGAAGGTTTCCAGGAATACAGCAGTGCTGGTTGGAATATGAGGAGGAAAACACCACGCTGAAGCACTGGGATGTCGAAGTTAGAATCTGTGCCGCTGCTGATGGCTCTTCTGATGGTAACTCTAGTAACTCTAGTATCATTCCCTAAACCCTAAACCCTAAATCCCCCACATCCTTGCTATTGCGAACGAGCACTTTGGCTCTTCATCCGAAGATCGCAACGCTGAAGCGAGGAAGCACCGAGGAAGCTGCAGATCGCTTCTTGCAAAGAACCTCCCACCCGACAAGCTCCTAAATCCGTGAAAAAACCCTTAACCCATAAAACCTGAGCCTTGAACCCCTAAATCCCTAAATCCCTTAAACCCTAAATCCATAAACCCTGAACCCTAAACCCCTAAATCCCCTAAATCCCCTAAATCCCATAAACCCTAAACACCTAAAACCCATAAACCCTGAACCTTAAACCCCTAAATCCCTAAATCCCCTAAACCCTAAACCCCTAAACCCTCAACCCTTAAACCCACAAACCCGAAACCCTAAACCCTTAAATAACCCTTAAACCCGCAAACCCTTAAAACCCTAAACCCTAAAGCTCGAGGCCTATAGTACCCTTATAGCGCCCTTTAAAGGAACCCTTAGAATCCCCTTTAAAGGAGCCCTTACTAAACCCTAAACCCTAAAGCTCGAGGCCTGAGGGCGGAAGACGGTGAAAAGCCCGAGGGTAATGATCTGCAGGAAGACCACCGTCACGGGATGGAACCTCAGGATAAGGGTTCTTTAGGGGGTTCTTAAGGGCTCTTTTAAGGGGATCTAGGACCCTCCTGAGGGCCTAAGGACTCACATATTAATGCTTTTGGAACCTCGGCTTCACATCGGGTGAGTTTAGGGTTTCGGGGCTTAGGGTTTAGGGTTTTGGGGTTTAGGGCTTAAGGTTCTGGGGTTTAGGGTTTTGGGCTTAAGGGTTAGGGATTTGGGAGTTTAGGGGTTTAGGGGATTAGGGTGGCATTACATGTTGAGGGCTCTTTCGCAGCACCTCCGTTATAAGATCTTTGCAAGGCCTGGAGGTCCAAAACTTGATGTCTGATTTGAGATTCTGGAGTTGGCTCTTCGGATTTACGGGCTAGGGTTAAGGGCCTTAGATTTCCAGAAAGCGCCTGATAGAACTCAGAGAATCCTTGGAGAAAACGTGCGGAGCAGCCATAACCCTTTGAATAACCCCGCTCGAAGCCAAGATTTTAGGGTTGAGAGGGCACCTCGTCGAGAGCAGATGTCCGAACTACCGGAAGCCGTGAAGGCTAAAGCCCTTAAGCCCCGGACTCCCTGAAGGCTCTCAATCCCCGAACCCAACACCCAAACCTTACACCCTTAACTCTGAAATCCTCGCCGCCGAAAACTCCACTGAAGTGATGTAGACCCGTGAGCAAGGAAACATTTCCGTTTTCAGGGGTCATCTCTCTGGGATCCCCCAGTAATTCTAATCCCAACACTACTGAGGGATGGAGTTTAGTTCATCAGGGGTCTACATTCCTCATAACCCCACGTACTACCTGCCTTGTCCGGGCACCTACACCATCTTCGAAGTTGTACACACACACACACACACACACACACACACACACACCAGCCCCACCGCTCCGTGGGAGCGATTTGAACTCAAGCCTCCATCGTAGGGCTCTCACTTGTTCGTCTTGATGACGATCGCGTTCTTGAGCTGCTCAGGTGGAATCTGCCGCGGAGGCTATGTTTGCTCTGCCCACCACCCTCTATCTCCAGACTCCGAAACTCCGAAGGCTATGCCCGCAACAGCCCCTGAACCCTTTTAAGGTCCCAGGGCCAGTGTTTTTGGCATTCGTATACTGGAACGCAGGAAAAAACATGCAATACATATATATATATATATATACATACATATACACACACTAGTAACACTAGTATTTTTACACATAATATTATGATTGCTATTGTTATCATTGTAATCCTGGGTACTGCTAGTAGTACTAGCACCGGTATTATTTGTAGTATTCATATCAGTCGGATCAAATTTAGTAGTAGCATTACTGCTAGCCTTATTTTGATGTTAATATTGCTATGGCTATTATTGTAGCTATTGTCGTTATTAGTATTATTGTTGCTATCGTTACTACTTCTGATTGAATATTATCCTTGCTCCTATCGCTATTCGTTTATACTATATTCTTTCTCTGTTATAGTATATATATATATATACATATGTACATATATATATATATATATGTGATCATCTTATCTTGGCTTATGTTGTAATACATTATGACAGAACATCGTATATTGTACTATGGTATATGTTACTATATTGTATCACACTTATACAGACCATGTGGTATTCTAATATGTCGTAATATATGTCATGATATATGGTGTTGCCTCATATTATACTGTATATATATATATATAGATATATAGAGATATATAGATATATTCATATCGAAGATTCTCAGTGCCTCCCCTGAAACACGGCCCTCCGGATCTTCCCCAGCGCGTTGGGGGCAGAGAGCCTCGGAGCCCATGTTCAAGTAGACCTTTTCGAAGGTCTGCCGGATGAGATCGTGCCGCATCTCCTGCAAGAAGAGCACAGATTCAGAATCCCAAGTCGCACCGTTCAAAAGCTTACTGTTCTACTATATTATGTTCTATGATATGATATGACTCGATATGATACGGTATGGTATGGTCGAATGTTATATGCTCTTGATGTCTATGAGTTTAGCACGAGATTTGATCTGGGATTGAGTCTTACAGGTGTTGCAAACGTTCTTGGTGTACATATCCGTTCGCCATATCACTCATACCGTTCATGCGCCTGTCAAGACTATGCCATGCCAATCTCTGCGATTGCAATAAGAACCCTGCAGTCATTCAAAAACCTACAAGGCCAAAAGCAAACAAAGCCCCCTTCAATCTCTGAACCCTAGCCCCTAAACCCCAAACTCTCAATCCCCAAACCCCAACCAAGAAAACAAGAAAGAATAAAAGCTAAATCCCAAACCCTAAATCCCCACAACCCCAACCAAGAAACAAGAAAGAAGAAGGAACAAGTTTGCTTCTCACCCGGCCTTGGTGATGCCCCCGGCTTCTTCACTCTCCAGGTGCTTCAGAGCATCGTCCATTTCTGCGGATGGTGGGGTGGTGGGGGGAGCTTTTTGTTTAGGGGCCAAGTGAATTTTTGGGCTTGGGGGGTTGGACCCTAAACCCTAAACCCTAAACCGAAACCCACTAGGGCCGTTAGGGGTTAGGGAGACTCCTGGGTTTAGTTTGGGAACTTGCACCGGATAAGAATGAAACTTGGGTTACGATCTGTTCTGGAACGCCTTTACTCTGGGGATCCTTCTAATAAGGATCCTACTATTTAGGGTACTATATTAGGGTCCCCTATTTCCGGAAACTACAAACCACGAAGTACGAATGAGTGTATGCGCGAATCTCGAACAAAAGAAGGAATCAATGATTGACTGGCTGGAGGCATGCATGCACGAAACGAACGCAGGCTTGCTTCGCCAACCGATTCTTTTAAGTACACCTGCATCTACCTATACTGGCAGCGCAAACTGGACCTATAGTCACATACATACATACCTACAGACGTGCAGGCGTAAAACTCCTCTGTGTGAAATGTATGCCTCTGCACATATATCTATACAGGAACAGGTAGGAACACATCCATCCATCCACCCATCCATGCAAACACCCAACCATAAATACATAGATACAGACAGACAGACAGACAGACAGACAGACAGACAGACAGACAGACAGGTAGACAAACAGACAGACAACATGACAGACAGACCGACATACCTATATAACTTACATAACTACACAGCTACATCCTCCATCCATGCATAGATACAAAACAACAAACATACGTACATGACACACATGCATACATGCATGCATACGCATAGCTACCTAAGGACATATCTCTGTGTACACCTATTTGGCACACATTGGGATGGAGAGAGAAGGCATCACAAATTCTGCAATCTGATAGTAGTAGTGGTAGTAGTAGTAGTAGTAGTAGTAGTAGAAGTATATAGAAGTAGGCATACATCATGGCAGAGCACCGTGCGCTAACATGATACCAGAAAGCACAGTATGACAGAAACGAATCTATCTCCGTGAAGCACCACTCCGACGTGCGCAAAGGGCTCTCTAAGGGCCCGACTTCTAGCGCAGACCGTGGTGGGAACCTTCTGGAAGTTTCCCTCCCCATCCTGCATCAGGATGAAACTTACCATTGGTTAGTAGGGAATGGAGGAATGGGGTATAATTATAACTGCTATTACTACTACCATTCTTCCATTCCCTACTAACCAAAGGTAAGGAAAGGGTTGGGGGCTTTTGGTTGAGGGTTTACGGCTTAGTGGGAGAGCCGGGGGGCTCTGGGGAGGGTAAAGGAGGCTGTCAGAAGAAGAATTGCCTGATGGGGGCCGTAGCATCTCCGGAGAAAGAGACAGAGGGAGAGTAGAAAAAAGAAAAAGCAGCATAGTAGCCTCCGTAGATACCGTAGACATACCCTTCTAGACCCCTTAACCCAAACCCTGAAACGTAACCGGTGGATTCCACTACGACCACTGAGCCCTCTGAGAGCGTGCCAGCTTCATCGCCGCATCGAGCCATGCTGCCTTTCCGCTGTAAAGCCTCGGTTAAGGTTTAGGGTTTAGGGTCTAGTAAATCTAGATAGGATGCGTGGTCTGCATTTAGAAGTCTTCTTTCTGTGTTTGGGATGCTTGCTTTGGGGAGGGCTGGTGTCGAAGGTTTCGCGTGCTCAAGGTCCCAAGGTTTTAGGTTGGGGTGAATAGGGCTTACAAAAAACCCTCCTGGTGACGGTGTCAGATGGACTATTATGGTTTAGGGTAGAAGCCTTATTGCAGTTTTAGGCAGGGGCCTTAACAGGATCTTCCGGTGATCTAAGACATGACATTTGCATTCAGGTCTCAGAGGGACCCAGCGTGCACTCTGAACGAACGCCCGCTTGGAGCACCACTCAGAGGGTTCACGGCATACTATCGAGTTTTGGGCTTGCGGCTTAGTGTCTCGAACTTAGGGCTTAGGGGCTAGTGAATTTGGTCAATTTTTTCTGACTCAGAAGCAGAGACACGGAGAGTAGCACACGCATGGCCAGCGAGGCTGAGGCATTCCGACGAAGAATACGATTTTCGCTTCAACAACAGAGTCGGACACTACCGTATTCTGCCCTGATCCAGATAATGTGACGTTTCGGGTGGACTGGCCGTCAAGCTCTCGATCCATGCAATCAAACTGATCCTAACACCCCTGCAAACCTGACATCTCATACTTGGCTCCATGCGCCGAGGTCTCTTCACCTCCCTGCCTAAGACTGCGCTTGAAGATATTGGATCGGATTGATCTTACGGGTCTGTGCATGTCGGAAACGGCGCTTCGGAGGCGCACAGCAGTTGGAATGTGTTCAACCAAGCCTTTCTTCGTGAGGCTCTGGCGCGGCGTGTTGTGCGAGTGGATTCGATGCACTGTGATGCCATACAAGATAGTATGCACTGACATATTCGAGAATGTTGCCGCTACAGAGTTGAGTTTAATACTTGAAAAGGGTAGTCTCAAAAAGATCTTTCCTCAAGGCTGTGGTTCTTTTGCCCAGTTGACTGGCGTTTGGGGTTATAGCTTACTCACTAAACTTACATAAGGACTATACAGGGGGCGGTACATTTACTTACCCTGAACCCTGCTGGTGCGAACAACCGCGTCTAATCAACGATAGGGCTGGGTTTCTGCAACACGTGTGTGATGATGGCGCGGCTTATGGCGACTTAAGGTTTAGGGCTTCTTATTTAGTTTAAGGATCAGAGTTTAATGCTTGTGGGATCTGGTTCGCAATGCTTGGTACGACAGTTTGGGTTCTTTCGGTATAACTTTGTGTCTAAGTAGCATTTGCGGATTGTCATCCATGCTGTTTTGTAGGTCCCTGCGCAAGTAAATCTAATGACTGTCCCGCGATGACTCTAGTGAAATGCAGGATCTTACTAGTACTGGGTCTGTCGTCGATAGCCACATCTGTGGCTCGCTTGTCATCCGTGCTGACTACAATGGTTCGGCATCGTGTTCCCATAAGCTGTACGACAAGAAACCCCAAACCCTATACCAATTGTTCAGGTCCCCGTATGAACCCGGATTAAGAGTCACGAGTCTCACGTAGACCTTCCGAGTGATCGTGCCTCCTTATGCTTACGAGTCTGCAAACCCACGACTTTCATACTACAACTCCTCATGCTGCTGCTGAGGCTCCTTCTACTACTACTTCTTCTACTCCACCCCACTGCTGCTGCTGCTGCCAGTGCTATTCGTTCTCATGCTACCTTTGTCGTCGTACCCTTGCTTATGCCGAACCATCGCCTTGAGTATTTGCGTTTGCAACAGGATGAAGCACTAACCTTTGTTGCTGCATGAGCTTGACAACTTCTGCGACTCAGCTGCGCAAAAGAACATTAAAAAAAACGCCCAGGGCCCGCACGGTTCTGATCGTTCCATGGATCTGGCAGGTTCAGGCGCAGCGTTGCCCATGCCTCAAAAAGAAAGCCGGAACCACGAAGCAAGCATGGCAGCTAAAATACTGCGAAGAGGTTCAGGTTCAACATTCAAGGCTACGGTGATGTGTCCGATTAGTCGCCACAGTCTACGAAGCAAAGTGAAGGCTGAAAGCCTGGGGAGCCACGAAACAGCAGCAACCTGTTGTCTGAAGACGCAAACAGCCCCCAAAACCCGAACTCTAAGGAAGGAAAAAGACGTGTTGAGATCAGAAAGTCGGCTGCTCTCTTGATGAGGGTCCCTCCTCGGGTCTCCAAAAAGTGCATCTTAACATAAGGCAAAAGCCCCAAACCCGTAAAAGCCCATGGCAACCCCAAACTCTGCCCTGGACCCTGGGATGCTGAGCTGGGGCCCAGGCCACGGGATCCCGACGACGTCCCCAAAAATTGCACCGCTATAGCCAAGGAAGGCGCCCCCACCAAAAGGTTCGAGCCAGGAGAGTGGTTGAGGGTTTAGGGTTTAGGGTTTACAGGGTTTAGGGTTTACAGGGTTTAGGGTTTAGGGCGATTTTGGGCTCCGGTGACCCTTCTGAAAAGGATGTCGGGACGACTCGAAGGCCTAGAAATCCCAACCCCCTATTCTATGAAGCCCGAAAGCCCCAATGCCAAAACCTGAAAGCTGAAGCGATCCCGACATCTCAGCATTTGAGGTTTGAGGACCCCCTCGTTTCGGGCATCCGGAGCCTTTAGGGGATGGATTTATGGCTTGCGCCGGGCTTCCAAACTGGTTGCGATGCAAAGGCTTCATGGGTGTTGCAGGGATCACGGACATAAAGCGTGTGGGTTTATGCAGGATTTAAGGATACTTCTCGGGAATCCTTGCCGTAGCAGTAGCAGCAGCGGCGGCGGCAGCAGCAGCAGGAGGAGGAGGAGGAGGAATATTCTTTTTGTAGCAGTGGCGGCACTAGTGAGTGTAGTGCGTAGGATAAGGACAGCGGAGTCGGGCAGCTGCCTCGTCGGGGTATTCGCCGCGTCCGGCCGTGAATGCAAATCTCGCTCCACTGCCCATCAGTATTCTCAAGGGGTGGGAATGATTAGCGATAGTCCTTAGAGTCCCTGTATAAGTATAGTAACTACAGTATACCCCAAAGCCCTCTTCCTGTAATCAAGACCCCTTGCCCTTCCTGCAAGGATGCCGGTATAGGGCCTGCAAGGCTTTCAGCGCCAACTGAACCGAGAGAGGATGATTCCTCGGCGGCGAACCCCGGGGGTTTTGGGCTTTGGGTTCACGGTTTAGGGTTTAAGGGTGAGGGTTCGTGTACCATAGCTTGGCCGTGATGGGGTGGCGAAAGATAACCATCCTCAACTCCAGGCTACTCCCCTTGAGAGTTCAGGGCATTGTTGTTGCTATCTACATGGGCATCTTTGCCTAGGGTTCAAGTTTGGGATGTGGTACTCGAGTGTTCAGGGTTCAGGGCTTGGTTTAGTGGTCGGGAGCCCTGAAACCTGAGATCCTAACTCCAAACCCTTACTCCTAAATCCTAAAGCTCCGTAAATCCTCAGCCTTACCCCTTAAGCCCTTGAACCGTACACTACCTATAAACCCAAAACCCTCAACCTTATTGGCTAAAAACCATTGACCCCTTGACCCTTGAATCAAACCCTTGAACCCTGAAATCCTTGAACAACTTGAACCCTCTAGCCCTTATAAGAACACCTGTAGAACCCTTATAAGAACCCTTCTAAGCACCCTAAAGCCACAAACCCTTAAACCCCTAAACCCTTGCACCCTTAGTCTAAGACCAGCGGCCACACACAGAAGCCTTGCGAGCTCACCTGGCTGGTGTAGGTCTCCCCTTCGGTCTGCAACGGAAGCGCACGGAAACTTCAAGGAAGAGTTTCGGCTTGGGAAGCTACGGATGTAGGGGGAACAGCGTGGGAGGAGTTTAAGGTGCATGTGCATGCCTTCCAACGTACCTTTGCGATCATGCCAACCTTCCAATAGCCCGCGAGTTAACTAGCAAAAGGACTTCTAGATGCAGCCGCACAACTTCAGCGGTCTTTCTATGCTGATCTTGACCGCTCAGCTTCTAAACCCAAAGCCCTCTGCACCTCAGAACACCTGAACAACCACTCCCCTGCATAAACCCCTGAGCCCCTTGGGTATTGCGGCTTGTTGGCTACGCAGGATATAAAACGTAAAACTTAAGCTTTCAGCTCTAAGCCTGAAACTGAATTGGAGAGCCTCGGGTTTAGAGTCAGTTCAACAGTTCTCGTGCTCAGCAGGCGCGATGATGACACTCCCGACACGGATGCTGATGATAATGACGAAGATGATTCGATCATAATGATGATGATGATGACGACGACGGCTACTACTGCTCCTACTGTTACTGCTGCTGCTACTGCTGCTGCTGCTAGTGCTACTACTCTACTGCGACTGCTACGACGACGACCGAACCCTGATTGGCCCTGCCTCGCCCTGGATTACAGAGAACTTCACCGGGTCGAAGACCAACTTCCAGCTGCAGTATAGCCTCCCATTATTTCAGTGCAACTTATGTAATAATTTACTATTGAAATTACTTTTGTTGTTATTAGTGCTATTCTCATTGTTATCGTTGTTATTGCTTTTGTTACCCCTGTTCTTACTATGGTCATTTTGTTAGTATTGCTAGTGGTATTCTAACTTCTTTACTGTTGCTTGTTCTCATGATAATTTCAATCGCTATGGTTATTATTGTTATGAATTAGTGTTAGTACTATTACTGTTTCTGTGATTATGATTATGAGTGGGCCGAAGCATGAGGCTTCAGGGTTTGTGGTTTCTTCGGGGGGTTCCTTTTAGGGCTCCTGTACGGGTTCTATCAGGGTTCAAAGTTTCTTTTTGAAGACCCTTCTCCTCTTTGCTACAAGGGTTTAAGGTGTATGTCTAGGGACAGGGTTCGGGGTTTAAGGTTCAGGTTGAGGATTAAGGGCAGCGGCTTGTTTGCTGCTTAATATGCGTCTTGGGTTTAGTTGGGGGTTTAGGGTCTCGGGATCAAACACCCTGCGTCCGAAGCCCTACCTTCAGACTTCTAAACCCTGAAACACCTCAAATGCATACCACACACAATGCCCTTCGTACGATGGTTACAGTGCAGAGTTCCCTATTCTCCCCGAGCTCGGTATTACCACGACCTAAGACATGTACGCATGACTGACAGGACAACGGCGTAAGGCATGTTCGGCATGCCCTCACCATGATAAGAGTGTGGAAACATACATGCTGTTGATTTGCACCTTTGTGTGGTCACGTTCACATGTGTCCTCCTCGACGACTACGCAGTAATCACGATCCCTACTCGTAGTCTTGCTAGTAGTATTGCTGCCACTCCTATGTTGTTGCGGTTTCTCCAGTCTAGAAGCCTCTCACTACTTCTCGCAATGTTAATATTATGATACTGCTCCTGTTCTTGTTACTGTAACTATTACCAGTACCATGATCACTACCATTGCCCTTCCCTGTTGCTACTACGGTCTTACTATCACCCGAAAAATACTACCCTAATACAATTACCCTATTACTATTACAATACTAGTGCTACCATATAACTATTGCCATATTACTGTTACAATACTACCATGACTATTACTATTTTTATGTGTCTTTCTGTTAGTGTTACGGTGTATTCTTTTTATTGATATTTCGACTAGGACGGTTCATGATATAAATCCTGCATTACCCATAATAAGGAATATACCATACTTCCCATAGTTTAGGGTCATTATGGTAATGCAGGATTTATGCCATCAACCGTATTTCTATTACTATTACAGTTACAATTCCCGTAGTATTATCTCTATCTGCATTTTTGTTATCTTTAATATTATCTTGAAACTATCTGCAAGTTGTTTGTTGCTTCTCTCTCGATTAAACTGTCTATTTTGACATCTTCGGAATCTCCATTCTCCAGCCTCACCAAGGGCCACGTGGGCACAGCACCCTCGATCTCTCCAAAGATGAACATCTGCAGGGCGGGGTGTCACTTGAGGGTTCACGGCTTCGGCTTCAAGGGTCCTCAAGGCAGAGGTCCTTTGGTTTAGAAGTTTAAGGTTTAAATTTTAGGGTTGAGGGGTTTCGGATTTAGGGGTTTAGGGGTTTAGGGTTTAGGGGTTTAGGGTTTAGGGTTTAAGGTTTAGGGGTTTAGGGTTTAGAAGTTGAGGGTTCAGGGTTTAGGGGTGTAGGGTTTAGAAGTTAAGGGTAGAGGGTTTAGGGTTTTGGAGTGCTTTTGGGAGAATGGTTTAGGCTCAGGGTTTGGGCCACTCCACGGCTATCTATCAGTGCAGTGCCTTGATTGCGTACGTGCACGGACATTGGTCTGGATTCCTATAGCCGAGACTCCCCCTCTTCCCGAACAGCACCCCGGGCAGCACCGGCCCAGAGACTCCAATATCCCTTAATCAAGGAATATTCCTTAAATTAGAGTAGGATCCCTTATATGATTTAAGGAATATTCCTTAGTTAAGGGATATTGGAGTCTCTGGGGGGGACTGAATGCCGAACAGTTGGAAACACCAAACGCTTCCGTAGAGCCCCAGAGCACAGGCAAACAGCAGCAGTGCTGCGAACTCCTCGCTAGTCCTCAACATGTTCAACTCTCCGTTTTTTGAGGTGAACATGAGAATATGAAGTAATCTGTAAAGTTTTATCCAACCCCGGACATTGTTCAAGAACTGATGCACTATACTGCAAGTGTCCGAAGCACTGCTTGACTACCAAGGGTTTGAAATTTGATCTTGCAGATTCAGATCTCTCGTGCAAGGTCGTCCTAAGAACTTCGCATGATGGCTCTCACGAGCGAAGTTGCAAGGTTCGCACATTTGAACAGTGTGAGCCTGATGAGTTCCTTTCAACCCCCCGAGACACGCCTGCGGACGTCCCGAGTCTTTCCTGCATGAATGCAGCGCTGAGGTCACACCATTGAGACAGTTCTTCGATGGCTAACTTCACATAGACAACTTTGACAGCAACACGTGGGCCCTAGACTTTGCCCCAAAACGTACAAAGCAGATGATGGGCCAAAGTATCTTCGACTCCTTGGATGCACAGGGTAAGGCCGTGGCTAGCGGGACAGATGCTCCACTTCTTATCTTTGCGATAGGAAGCTGAATATAGTATAGTGCTAGGCTTTCGGATGTAGGGTGTCGCTTTTCACTTGTGTTTATTTCTCTCTGCTCGTCACCACGGATTCCGCAAGTCCGAAAACTGACCCAGAACATTGAATGCTGCTGTTCGCAGTGCTCCAGCACCTCACCCGCGCCTCCCGCGCGTTTGCGCCATTGTCAGCGGCGCATGAGTCGAAGGAACCGTGCAGAAGAATCCGATGTGTCACAAGTTCCGGCTCTGGGACTTGAGAAGCTGCAGGTTGAGCTAGACTGAGATCGGGTTTAGGGTTTAGGGTTTAGGGGTTTAGGGTTTAGGGGTGGATCTGCTGAGATCGACATCAGCGTCTGCAAACAGGGGTGGCATACCGCGTTGCCACCGGACTCCGGAGAACACTTGGTCAGCTCAGCAGAATTAGGGCTGGCTCAAGTAAAGTGCGGGTTCCGGGCAAGTTCGGGTGCGAGTGCTGGTGAAGCGAGATCAAACCAAGCACTAATCAACCGTAGTTTCATTGGCTTTGACCGATGCCGAATGAATTGCAAATCCCAAACCGAAGAATTTGTTCAAAGTCCAGGGCCCGCTTTGGCAGCAGATGTGCAACAGCTGTGGAATCTGAAGTGCGCAGGCTGGCATAATCCGGACACAACATGCACGTCTTACAGCGACCGGCATGAAACAGAGATTGAGCCTGGCTCATCATGGACTGGCTTGCCGGTTGAGTTTCTGAAGCTCGTCGGCTGCAAAGGCTCAGGTTTAAGAAAGTGCCGACAGCCGGGAGCACAGAGAACTAAAAACATTTAAACTCCAAGCTAAACTGGCTTTAAACCCCTTAAACAAGAAACAAGTTGAAAGCACGAAAAAATCGGTGGAAGCAGCAAGTTAAATTGAACAACACGGGCAACTGCCATGTCCAGCAAACATAAAGGCCGTAGATGGCATTGTTTGTCGCAATCCTCAGCCCAATGCAAATGAACCAAAAAACGCGATTGTGTCAAAGGTGAAACACTACTGTCTTAAATCACAGGTAACAACAGAAAAAATTTAACGAAATCTTGGCAAAAAAACACAGCAATTGTTGCAAGGGTAACATACGAACGCCGCAAAATCGTCTCAAGTTAGCCAAACGTGAAACGTGTGCAGAGGGCAACTAATAAAGGTTTTTTGGACTGGGATGGTCGGTGGCGGCATCAGCCGAGCTCGGTCCGAGCCAAAACAAGCAACTAAGCAACGCAAAGAACGTCTGAAAAAACGAAACATCCGCTCAGAGTGCAACTAATAAAGGCCAAGCTGCAACCTTTACAGACTTGGCGTACCACGAAAACTGCAAGACACAGCAACGATCCCCACAGTAGCTCTCATCCGAGTGCCATGAATGTGTGCAAGCTGTGATGTTTATCATCCTACTGTGTGCTCGCAGCTGTGCTGAGCCTAGGCAATAGGTAGATGCATTTTTTTGGTGTGTAGTGGCCTCGGTGGCGACAGTAGCCGCACTCGGTCCAAGCTAAATGTGACATCTCGCAACTAATTCAAAAGCGTGAGACAACCTTAGCCAGGTCGAGACAAATGCAATCAGCCAGAAAAACGCTCAGCATCTCATCTTTGCCTGTGCAGAAGGCAACTACAAACTACGAGCGCTGAGCAGTTGCCAGTGACACATGCCCATCTATGCAGACTGCCTAGTTGCTGCAAGCTTGCAGGAGCTGTAGTAGATTATAGTCTACCTTAGCACCCCAAAACCTACCTTCTTAGGGCTCCTTATTAAAGTCCTTATATAAGTCCGTAGAAAGGTAGGATATTCAGGGCTCAGGTGTAGTACGCCGAAAACGGTACACCGTAGTGGTTAGTGGCCGCCTCTTGTCCGAGCCTTGGCAGAGAAGGGCCGAGTAAGCCCTGCTTATCAACAACAGGTAGAGGGCTCTGCAGCGGGTTGAGGGTAAGGGTCTAGGACCCTAAGCAGTAGGTTCTCCTAGACCCCCCAACTACCCTTTATTGAAGTCCCTAATTACCTCTGGATGAGAGATATTAGAGCCTGTCAAAGGGTACTTGGGGTCTCATGGTTGCAGCGGACCCTCAGCAACATGGCATGTTGTTCTAAACTAGACTCAAATACAGTCTGCTACCACAATAGAACTCAAAACACAAGACCAAAAACCCTGAACTCTGTCGTGCACTTGAATACACTGTTCGCTCAACAATGCGCTCTACTGCTACAGTCCGCTACTGGTATAGACGAGGTTTTGGGAATTCCCAACCATTTAATAGAAGGCCTGAACAGGGTTATAAAGGGTTCCTTTCAAAGGGGTCTATACGGGATCTATAATAAGTCGAGTTCTATAATATAGGGGCCTTACTGACTAGAAGAGGGTTTTGGGGCCCATAATGCTATACTTCCAATAAGGAACCCCTAAATAGTATAGGTAATTATTTAGGCCCCTGTATCAGTGTATAGGGTTCCAGAGCCCACGACTTGAAGCTCACTCTGCAAGTGCGAAGATACTGATGTTTACGTTCACTGAGCTGTGCTGTACTCCTAGAGCTCCAGTTACCTTTATAGTAGGTTACTTGGGTATATAATCTATGGTTAGTAAACTACTATTTGGGTAACTGGAGCTCTATGGGGTTCCATAGCGTGCTGTACCAGCACTGCACACGCACGGGAATTTGAGCACCCTGCCCGGTGCTGCAGCTGGGACGTCAGTGCAGGTGCCTGTCGTAGCGGCGGCATGGTACCCTTTAGCGTGGTATACACCCGTTTAGTGAAAGTCTACATCTTGAAAACCATAATATATAAACCCAAATGTCAAAACCAATAACCATAATATAGAAACTAATGCTTTAAGACCAATTTGTGACTATGAAAAAAAGACTACTGGAACATGCGCGAATGGTATATATGAGCCAGCCCCAGCGGGCCCAGCCCCACCCTGCCCCGCCATGGTCATATGGCCTACATTAACCCCAAACAACCTACCTTTTTCAGGACTTAGAAAAGGAAATCAAAATAGGAACCCTAAAAAGGTAGGTTATTTGGGGTCCAGCTATACGTTCACATATGCTACCACCACGGTATCCCCCGCCAGTTGTGGTGGCTTGGGTTTGGGGGGCGTGGTTACAAGCCAGCCTTGACCCTCAGAGCCAGCAACCATTGCGGGCTCCTTTTAAGGTTCCCTTTAAGGCTTCCGTTAGGGACCAGCAGTTCCTACTAGGGTTCCGTTGGGGATGGGGTGGTTTTCGGGGTTTAGAGTTGGTTGTTCAGGGTTTAGGGCCTGGCCGGCGCTGGAAACCTTCAGCCCGGCAGCCCGCCGACCACCGGTGGCAGCCTGTTTCAGGTTTAGGCGGCGTGCGGGGGGGACAGGGTCAGAGTGCTACCGAGGAGTTTGGGCTGTAGGCCTTTGGAGTTGTTCAGGTTTTGGCTGATGCTGAAGTTTTGGTTCTGGCTTTGAGGCCTGACATGGGGCTTGAGGCATGGAGCTTCCTCTTCGGCCTGGCCTCGGAGACCGGGCCCCCAACTCGAGGAGGACCCTCCAAAGACGCTTTGACTTACCTTTGGTTAGTAGGGAATGGAGGAATGGGGTACATTTATAACTACTACTACTTCCATTCTTCCATTCCCTACTAAGGTAAGTTGACTGATATGAGACGCCATCGCTAAGTGCTAAGCGGGCCCTGCATTCGCGGGTTTAGCACATCTGCTTGTTGGGATGGGCGGAGTGCTACGTAGCGCACACGCGGCTCAAGCCGTGATCTTTCCTTCTATTGCAGCCGTACACAACCCGAACCCCGAAAACCCTGCCCCAAAAAACAAAACAACAACACTCTCAAACTCGAAAGCCCCACCACACCAAAAGGCCCCATGTACTCCAAGCCCTATAAACCCCTGTAAACCCCAAAACAGCAGAGCTCGCAGAACCACAAGGGTTTAGGACTTAGGGTTCCTAGGGTTTCTTGCGGGACTCTTCCGTCCCTGCGACTTTGAGGTTGAGGGTTTGGGGCTTATAGGGGTACTTGGGGCTCAAGCCAGAGCCATACACAGAGCTCGGGCTCCACTCAGGCCTTCTCGGTCCCACATACGCACTCATGCTCGGATAAAAAGACTACAAGAAGGGACGGCACAGCCTTGTCCTCCAAACCCAGCTCCGGAACTCAGAACCCAAAGCCACAGAAACCCGAAGTCTCACACATCCTACCAAAACCCGTCCAGAAACACCTGACCGTCCAACAGTAAACGAACACCGTCGAAGCTGCGAAACCGTGAGTGCCGGAGCTCCCTCCTGATTCGCCAAAGCACCGAAGAATATCACCGCAGAAGCGCCAGAAGCTCAGAGCCTGAAGCAGGCACAGGTAAAGGATGCTTTTTCTGGTTTAACCACACGACGGGCATGTAGAGTACGACATAGAGGAGTCTAGCAGGATACAGTACTTGATACAGTATTCTACACTACACTTATGTACTGCGCTAGGCCAGATGACACGATACTCTACTGCCTAAACCCTCAAAGGTTACTAAACAATCGCCCAACACCTATAAAAGGCTATTAACTGTTATTCTACGTACTTTTGGGGTCCAGGTATAGCGGAGCTAGTTTCTAAGTCCCATGGTCCTTTGAGGACAGGCAGCTTGCAAAGTCCCAAACCTCCAAGTCATGGGGCCCAGCATCACGGACCTTTTAGGGGAGGGGTTGAGAGTTTAGGGCCCTAAACCCTAAACCCGAAAATCATCCCGAAAAACAGTTCGCAGCCACCCGCCACGAACCGGAAAGGAAGGTCGGACTTGCTCCCGGAGTGGATGCAGCGGTTTCATCTACTGGACATGGAGTCCTGTAGATGCACTGGGAATTGTCTCGAAGTAGATCGCGATTGAGTACTCCGATACCTTGCCACAGTCACATATCGCGAAAGTCTGCTCTACGAAACAGAAGAGCTCCAATCTCATAGGGTAACCCTGAAAGATCCCCTGAAGGAGCCCTTTCAAGAAACCCTAAACTTCCCCAAACACTAAGCCCTAAGCCCTAAACCCAAAGCCGTAAACCCTAAATCCTAAATCCTAAACCCCAATGCCCTAAAAGGCCCTAAGCCCTAAAAGGCCCTAAGCCCTAAAAGGCCCTAAGCCTTAAACCCCAAAGCTCAGGCGTCCGCAGAGGACATCAGCTCCTGCGCCTGGCTCGGGCCGTTCGAGGACATGACCTCGCTGTCGGCGGCTTTGGGTCGGCGTCTCTTGGGAGATCTCCGAAGTTGAGGGGTTCAGGGTTGATATCAGTCTTGTTGGAGATGGTTACAAGAAATGTCAGGATTTTTTAGTATTGATGTTGCTGGTAGTACTAGTCTTCTTGTTCTTGTTCTGATTCTTGTCGATAGTACTACGAATATTAGTTTGTTGTCGCGAATCACAGAATGCACACTCATGATCTTGAGGGCATTGAGGCCTGTCGTGTTTTAGAGCTGAGAGGCCTGAGAGGCTTTGAGGTTTTGGGTTTGGTATTTGGGAGGATTCTGGGGTGGGTTATGATTGGGGCTTCAAAGGTTCCGTGAGGGCTTCACATGGGCCTTGGCACACGTGGCCAGCTTGTTTCGGGGCTTGGTCACAAAATCCAGAGTTTGGCGCAGAGTTTAGGGCGAGAGGTTCTCGGTTCGGGGTTAAGGCATGAGGGTCGACCGTCAAGGTGGCAGGGTTTAGGGGTTTAGGTTTTCTGGCTTGAAGGCTTAGGGTTCAGGGATGTAGGATGTAGAGCTTCAAGGTTTGGGTGCAGGGACGCTGCTTCCGCTTAAGGGCTTCCAGGTGCCTGGAAACCCTGCGCCTAGACCTCAACACAAACCCTCCAAACCCCAAACTGGGGCTTAGGGGGCTTAGGGTTACGGCGACAGGAGGATCGAATCACCGGACTGCCCGTCGTGATCCAGGATCCCTTCACTAAACTCGCTGTGATGCCTTGTTGTGGGGGTGGGGACTGGGCACTGTCAGGTTTTACCGAAAATGGCCAGGCAGCCAGGTCCAGATGCGCGGTACTGTAGAAGCCTCAATAGCTACCAATATTATGGTTAGGGCTCCTTATTATATTTATAGTCTAGTGGGCCCCAAGACCCTGTTCTAATTGTCAAGGCCCCTACATTAGGCTCATCTTTTGGCTTCTGCTGTTCTCGATTCTGCTAGGCCTTCCAGCTAGAAAAAATCAGTCATTCAGCCAGCGACGTCTAAGCCGGAGCCGTTGATGAAGATAACGGAGATGTTGCCTGAGCCACAGCACCATCACGACACGCTCAACTGCCCCACCTCTCAGCCTAACTTGCAGCACAGCCTCTGGCTGTGTCTATAATCCCAGGGGCAGGGTCAATTCGTGAATCCAAAAGCTTTGCTCAGCCAGGTCACGCATCTCGTTGACGTACTGCAGGGTGCCGCACTCGATCTGCTTGAAGACGGCAGACGGGATGTACCGCCTGCACGCAGGACAACAGGCTGAGGCTTTGAATGTAAGCTTACAGGTCTACAGGTGTAAGGTTTAGGGGTACCGTCAGGTTTAGGATTTAGGGTTTAGGGTGTAGGGGTAAGTAGAAGTACGGTCCAGGTACAGGGTTCCGCATGGAAGAGCTCAGGTTCACAGACTACCAGAGGACTCGTCTTCAGGAAGGCGGCTCAAAAAGCTAAAAGCAACAAATTAAGCAACAAACAATCCTGAACCCTTGCACTAAACCCTAAAAACAAAAAATAAAATAGAAACCTAACCCCCCCCCCCCCCCCTGCCTCGTGATGTTCAGCTGGTCCAGCTTGAAACAGTTCTCGATGCGCGTGTCGTAGAGTTGAGTGGCATACTTGATGGTCGGGAAGGTGTACTTCGACTCATCCTAAGCAGCAAGGATTAATGTAGAAGCCTAAATAATTACCAATATTATGGTGAGGGTTCCTTATTGTAAATATACCATAATGGGACCCAAAACCCTTTTCTAATTATTAAGGCCCTTATATTAGATTAGAATACAGCCTAAAATGGGTTTCTGAATAGGTCATGAGAGAGGTTTATGGCAATTTATAGGGCAAAGGGCGTTCGTAGTAACTAGCACGGTGTAAAGGGCTTCAAAGGGTCTAGGATCCAGACTTGAGTCCCTCCACCCTAAACCCCTACACCCTGAAGCCCCCAGATCCTTCTAGACACCAGTGTTTCTGAGAATCCCTGTCTGCACCCTCATGCGCACCCTGCGAAATCCCCTAAACTCAACAACCCGAGACCACCGAATCATTAGTTCCGGACCATCCGGAGCAGCAGGTGGAAGTCCATTCGGTCCTGGCATTGTGGGGTGAGGGATGTTGTTTTAGGGTGTTGGGCTTGGGGCTTCAAGGGTGTGAGGCTTGTAAGGACTTAAGATGTTTAGGGCTTAGGGCCAAGGACTTTTATATTCTACGATATGTTTGTATGCATATACATATAGACATATGTACCACAAGAGAGAGGGAGAGAAAGAAAGAGAGAGAGAGAGAGAGATCCTACTATTTCGGGTTCTTTCAAGCGTTTCGACAGGGGGGGGGTTCAGGGTTCACCCCTCACGCATCAAACCTGGATCCATATAAACCCCTTTTGTCAAGCCCCGAAGCCATGGAAAAGCCAAGCGAAACCCTTCTTACCAAAACCCCGGAAAAAATGCCACCAGACCCTCGTGCAGGGTTTAGGGTTTAGGGTAATACTATTAACAACTATGACACTATTATGTTGTACTAATCTTTGTATTACTCATCTTGTTAATATTATTAGCATGATTAATAGCATTGGTATTATTAGTCTTTAGTACTAGCATTGTAATATTACATTGCTAGTCTCAGTAAACGGCTCGAAGGTTCGGGGCCTCCAGGGGGCGGCCCTCGATGACGCAGTCTTTCACCAACTCCCATGCCTGGCACACGACTGGGCTGGGAGCTTCCACAAGACAACACGGTTTAGGGTTTAGCGTTTAAGGTTCAGTTCTATTTTGATGGCCTTTTTTGGCGAAGGCTTCGTGTGGGTTTAGGGCGTCGTTTCAGGTGCTTCAATGGGGGCTCATGGGGGTTTAGGGCTTAGTCCCTTAGCGTGCCTGCTCGGTTTCATAAGGGTCTTCTACGGGTTTTGACCCTAAACCCTCAGCCCCAGTGCTTTATGAGGGTTTCACAGGTTTTGGAAGGTGCCGCTGGGCCGGTGGTCTTTCTCGGTTACCAGGATCTGCAAGGGTTTATTGTAAAGGATTTATGTGGTGAGGGTGTTTTAACGGGGACTTACCGGGATGTCATAAGGATGTATGCGGCTTCTAGACTTGCATAGGGTGCTCACACGGTTCGTAAACGGTTCTGCAGCGGCTTTACGCGGGTGTCTTTGGTTTGGGACGTGTAACGCCAGCGCGAACTTTATGAGGCGAGGGCCTTATTTTCAAGAGATTATACAATTTATGCTGCTTTGCAGCGTAGACAAGGGTTTTGGGGTTAGATGCAGGGTCTAGAGTTGCGTGTTCAGGGTTAGATGAAGCTGCAAGAGCGGTAGTTGCAGTTCAGGGTTCAGGGGCTGAAGGTCCTTGGCTTGGGTTCGGAGTTCTTCACACTTTGGGGCTAGGGCTGACTTGGAGCCACACGGATGCAGATGCAAGAGAGGCGCCAAACACTAAGTGACTTCGAGCGGGAGGCAGCAGCAGACATCGCCCTCAAGAGCTCTAAATCTAGACTCTAGAGTCCTAACTACACCCCCAAGGGAAAAAAAAAACGAATCCGGTTGCCCCGAAACCAAACGTCTGCTCAGATCCGAACGGCACTGAAACCGCTGAGCCCCAGAGTTGGGGCCTGCGGGCTCAGACACGTCTCGCCGTTCTTGGCAAGGGGCTCGGCCTGCAGATGCTGGCGTTTGTTTATGCTTTGTCGGGTCTACGGGCTCTTTTTATTCCGGGCTTGGGGTTTCGGGATATACTTGAAGCTTAGCAAGAGGGTAAGGTTTGGGATTCCCGAGCTTGACACCACATCCTTGGTAAACCCCGTTTGCTAGGCCTCCGATGATTGATTGAAGATTTAGCATTCCAAGCTGTCGCTTCTGGAATTTTTCGGCTCAACTGCTTGGGCCTTGGGCTGCGCATGACGAGCTTTGCCCGTCTTGCGCCGCTTTGCGCGTCCACCTTCAAGGGCCCCGGTGCCTAGGTCTGCGCCACCTCTTGGGGCCAAGAAAGGGCCTCCATCAAAATCGGCCAGAACTGAGCGGCGCGTGAACCCATCTCAGTTCCATGACAAGCTATACAGGGTGGCTGAATGGCATCCGCCTGCAATTTTGCAGTGATCCGACGCCTTTGGCACAACAGCTGGCATACAGAACCGCCGGTGTGGCAGAAGGAGCAGGGAATGAAGACCAGCTGTTCTGCCGCACAACTTTGACGACTCAAAACTCAAAAATCTCAGAATGGAAGTCGAAAGAGATGCCACTGTGAGAGTGCTTTAGACATGCCTGCTGTGTGGCCTCCACCAGACTGCTGGGGCCACAAACAAGCACAGCCACGCGCTTCTCCGAGGCCTTCTCACAGTGCTGTCGCATCTCATCGAAAGATGCGTTGAAATCGGGCCGTTTCCCGAGAACCACCTGCTGCATCACCTGCTCGCCGATCGCCACTCGCCGTGGGTCTTCGAGGGCTGCTTCTCGCGTTAGGAAGATCTCCACCTTGGCATCCAATGGCATCTCGCCGGCCTTTGGCCCTCTGACGCTCAGCCCCTCCAGCATCGCGGAATCTGAGACGGACCACAGGAGGTGAAGCTTGTTGAGAGTGCGGCCGCGAGCACCCTGGTCTAGCAACTCGCCCCAGATGCTCCGCAAGGGGGTGACGCCAATGCCACCAGCAACAAGCAGGAAGGACTTGTAGGCGGGCCCATCAATGTCCAGGCCCACGGAACCAAAGGGGCCGTCGACGTAGATCGGAAGAGGCACTTTGGAGCCGCTGACTTCCGTCTCTTTCAGGCTGCGGACAAGACTCGTTGTCCAGCCTCCTAGGGCACGGATGTGGAAGGTCACCTGGCGTCTGCTTCAAACAGGTTCTATCCTCCTTTTGTGGGTCGAGTCCCGATGACAACGCACTCGTCTTAAAGGGAGTACAGTATCCTCTTTGGGCCGCCCCGCCTCCTCGTCCTGCGGGCTGGAGCTCAGACTGAAGGGGTGCCACTGCAGCCCCAAGCCGGGGAGCCACACGTTGCACCACTGGCCGCCTTTGTACCTGAAGCCGCCCCTTGGGAAGGAGATCTCCACCACCTCCGAGGGAAGCACGCGAGCGAGCGCCTTCTGGGTCTGAGCCCGGTTCACCCTCCCCAGCGAGCTGAGAAGAGAGAGGATCTTGTCCAAGACCCACAAACCTCCACCCGCCAAAGTGGTCGTGGCACCGTGTTGAGCCGCAAAGACCAAGCCGACGATGGCCGCGACGATGTGCAAGCGGTTGAAGACCTCGAAAAGGTAGCGCCTGATCCAGACCAACGCCACCAGAGTCGCAGATACCCAACATGCGACCATCAGGACACCGCTGAAGTTCCTGCCTTCACCCAGCACAGTCAATGTGAACTGCTCTGTGCCAATGGCCGCATGGCCCACCTCTACTGGAAAGCTGAGCGCAACATAGGAATGGTAGCAGGCCGCAAAGATTGCCACGACCGCGATGCACTTGTGGTAGAAGAGGGCCCGCTCGAAGGGAACCCCAGTCAGCAGTGTCAGGATCGAGTTGCGGCAGGCCGTCGCATAGGTCAAGGCTCCTAGGAATGTGGCTGGGTATCCGCTCCTCTCCACGTCGCCCCACATCCTGGCACCGAACATGGTAGCAGCACCAACGATGACGGGCAGGAACATCGCCTCTCCGAAGGTCCAGCGAGTCCCAGGCACACGGCGGTGAAGAGGCCAGGCGGCACGCCAGCGCGCGGCCCACCAGAGCTCGGCAACGGGGTCCGCCAGCTTTGCCCCAGGGAGCAAGTTCAGCAAAGGGCACCCGGGGCGGCAGCCCTCGTAGGGCTTCCAGGGCGAGGAGCCCACGCTGACCGGAGCTGCTTTAGCATCCGACATCCACGCGGCTTGACGGAGATCGCACTGCTGGAAGGGCATGGAGAAAAGGGGCTGCGAAGGTGTGCCGATATGTACCCTCCCAAGTACGTTCCAAGCTCTAGCTGGCCATTCCGAGATGGCACACAGGAGACAGATGAATCGAACAATCCTGCGAGTTTGTTCTAGTTCATTGCAATTATCTGCACATTCATGCTCCAACACGGCGCAGGTCCCGAAGCATACGCATGCACAGCCACAGACTATTCTGCACGGAAAACACCAACAATCGAAGCTTGTCCAAGGAGTCCAGACTTTCGGGTTTAAGGCTTTTTGAGGATCCGCGCATTCGGTACATCGGATACGCGTCAATGAGATAAGTGCGCTTTACACACTACAATAACTGCTCTGATCCTCCAAGTAGGAGTCTTCGAAAGAGCAGTGCGAATCATGATGGCCTCCGTAAGGAAGCACCCCTCCTCTCTTCAGCAACACAACCTCCCAAGCCCAAGGATATCCGTCCCCCCCCCCCGGCCTTCGGGCTTTGCCGGTGCGCAACTTCCTTCCGAGAACAAGACACCAAAGGATTCAGAACCGCAGGCCTTCGCAATCTTGGAAGCCAGGTCGCCCTGTAGGGCCGACATCTCCTGTAGCGAGTGGAAGAGGTTCGGGGAGACATGTCCCACTACAGGAAGAACTGACGTGTTGGTGTATAGGGCATTCGGAGTTTAGGGCCGCTTGGCCACTTTAGTTTCGCCGGAATAACTTGCAAGGCCTTTGGCAGAGCAGACCCTGTTCCAAAAGACACTCCCCAAAGCCGTACCCATCCGATGCTGGCTTGCTCGACCGGCACATCCGTCGACACAAAGCCACCACGGGAGACCACGGGACATGGCCAGAATCGCCCAACAAGCCTGAAGCCAACCTGGGGGCCTCAAACGCCTCGGGCTGTAAACTGCTGGGGAGTTTCAGCCCCGTTTCGGTCCGGTTCCCGTGGTTGGGTCGGAGGCCGGCCCTCTGCACTCCCCTCTGCCCTTTGCTGGAGCCCTGAAGCTCCTTCCGCGGAACCCTCTCATCGGCTCCTGCTTCAGTGCCTCGTTGCGACGACGGAGGGACATCGGCCCTTCGTGGTTTGGGACCCGCTGGCGGAGCCACTGGAAGATGAAGTCCGCGGGGGCCTGGCAATGAATAGGGAGCCTACGACCGAAGCCTGAAAGTCCTCAGCTGCAGTGTCAGCTGCCAGAGGAGATGTCTGACACTGACAGGTGTTGAACAATAACGGCGCTTCGTCGGGTCGAAGACTGGTACGAAGACTGAAAACTCGACACCTCCCTTGAAAGAGCACTCTCCCAAGACGCTCTGCTGAACCTGCCTCCGGCATGGCATGGAGTGCATCCCTGGCCATGTCCGCGGTCAAGGGCTGCAGCGTCTCCCCGATGTAGGCGTCTGTGACGGATGCCATGGCAACGGCTCGAGGGCAGACGCTGGAAGGCAGGAGAATGGGAGGCAGTCGGCAGGCGAAGCTCTGGCGCGCTCGAGCCAAAAAGTTGGCACAGCAGAACAGTGGCAGTGTCACCTGGCACACTTCGAAGTCCGCAGTCTCGGGAAGGTGCAAGCTCTGGAGCGGGCGCTCGTCTGTGCAAGTCGCTGCGATTTCTCTTTTGGTCGGCCTGGGCTCTCTGAGAAGAGTGGAAAAAGAGCCGAGAGGTCCGGAGTGGCTCGGAGGAGTCTGAGGCGAGTTCTCGCTGGTTTGGGGTTTCGGTCTCAGGTGCTTTTGGCTTTCGGGTTGAAGAGATGTGGAGGGCGAAGTGCTTCCAGTTCGGGGGCTCTGCCTAAAGTGGGTTTAGTAAGATGGCTCAAGGTCTCTGCGGGTTGAAGGCTTCAGCGTGGAGGGGTCCACGAGATCCGGGTTCAAGTCTATGGGGCCTTCACGGAGGACTGAAGATGGAACATTGTGGAAGACCCGGAGCACAAAAAAGGTAGTCGTTGCCTCATGCAACAAGAGGCACCGACTATTCGGATGTCACAATAGCGCAGCAAAGGCTTTTAAGGCTGTCAGCTTTCAGGGCAGCGGCTTCACTACAAGGGACCAGCATACGGCCGTTGGGATCTTTGAGGCCCCTCTTCTTGCTCTTCTCCAGGCGCCTCCGGAGTTCATGATAGCCAGAACCGCGTGGTGCTGCAGCTGTCTCACAGCATCGCAGCGCAATCGAAAAAGTTGGAAAGCCTCCTTGCTGCTACCTGCTACCGGAAAGCTTCCTTGCTGCTACATGCTACCTTTCGCCCGGCGAGGTGCAGGGGGTCTGGGGATATCGGCTGCGCTCCTTTTCGGAGCTTCTCGCTCGGCCAAGGCTCGCTGCAGGCTCAAACCTCATACAGTCCTGCACAGATTTCGAAGAGCAGTGCAAGCGCAGCTGCGTTGCCACTCTACCCTTTAGAGAGCGCGGAACAGCACTTTTAGCAACACCCAATGGCCACTAGCACTGTACCGGCAGCTGCTGCGCTCGAAGATACAAGCCTGAAAGCTCTTGAAGAGCTCCGAGAAACCCTAAAACTTAAGCAAACCGCATCGGCGAAGCTACGTGGCTAACTCGCAAACCGAAGGAAGGCTCAGCTCGAGGTCAGACGAGCAATGGGAGCACCGAGAGGCTCGCATACCAAGACCTCCGGGAGGATCCAAAAAGGCGGATCCCTTCATCGGGCTCCTTTACGGGTTTCTTTAAGGGTTCCTTTCGGTGGGTTCCTAGCACGTACCCTTTACTGGCACAGGGTTCCAAGTAAAGGGCTCTACTCACCCCCCAAACCTGAAAGGAGGACCTTAAATCAAATTGCTGAAAAGTATATATTGCTTAGACTCCTTAGATATTCCCTCAATTAGGAGGCACGGAGACACTGGAAGATCTGGACTTCGGCCTTTTGAGGCTCGTTTGGGGGATTCCTTTGGTGGTGGGCCTTCCTCCTCCTCTTCTCCGCGGAGGCGGAGAGGCGTAGGAGTCACGGCGGCCCTTCACGGCAGCAGCGGGGGTAGTGCACCAAGGGGAGCTTCGGGGAGGCCTCTGTTTTGGGGAGGGAGGAGGGGGGGGGGGCCGAGGGATGCCCCTAACGCAAGACTTCTGGCAGACTGCAGGGCCCGAAAGCGTCCTTGTGTTACATGACACACCCTCCCAAGAAGATACTGCAGGCTTCACTTCGCTTTGGTTCGGGGTCGCTGGTAGCCATAAAACCCACACGCCCTAATTAAACCCTACCAAACTGCTCGTCTTGGTGAAAAACTCTGAGGATCGCCTCGCCGGCTCCTTGTGGACGTTGCGGAAGAACGCCGGTGCAGCGGGGCTGAAAGCCGCAAGACAAAGGCCCAGAGCTGCTAACCAGACCTCGGTTAGGATGGAGACTGAATGAGACTGAGAGAATCAACGAGGCTTCCGACCCCTCCCCGGCGGTCTCGGACTCAAGGCGACTCTCTCTCTCTCTGGATCTCGCTCCCTTTCTTTGTTTTTTGTCCATGGGATGTCATGCCTTCCCCAGCCACACCCAACCCCGAGGCACAAAGGCACACAGCTAAGCACCGGCAAGAGAAGTATATACTCGAAAGGGAGGCTGCGACATCCGAGCCCGCCCCGCGAATGCAGGGAAACGCCCAGCTTCGAGCTGCCTGGAGAAGCCTCCGAACTGAGGCAAATAAATGGCAACCCCAACTCCATGCAAGGGAGGCCCCCCAAGGTCTGAAGCCGCACCTCCCCGTCAGAGCCCTAAGCATCACAGCGTCTCCGAGCGGCTTTTGTGTCAGAGCTTGGGGATCGCGCGCTTCAAGCTTTCGGAGATTGTCGGGCACAACCTGAAGCCATCAAGGAGACAGAAAGTGCTCTTCCCGTCAAACCCCCTCTCCTCAACCCAGAGAAGACTGAGGGATTAAGCCGAAAGCGAAGTTGGTGATGGACACCCTAAACGTCCATTCGAAATGGAGCGGTGTTGCAGAGCTCCTCTTGAACTATCACAAGCCCAGGAGCATCTCATCCATACTCTGGGATATGCCGCAGCCCCGATGCTCGTGCGAAAAGCCTTCCGTGCTAAGCCGTCATTCAGAAACACTGTACTAGGACAGGTTTTGGCAAAACGAAAATTCTGAACCACAACTGCCGGGATCGGCGTCGAATAGCATTACCAAGCCGACGACTCTCCGGCGCCTTCTCTGTGGATCCCAAGCGGCCCCGGACGAGGCGGGAGCTCCTGAAGCCAGGCCGCCTGTTGCAAGCGAAGTTGGTTTGGGGCAGCCATGGGCAGCTCTAGAGGCTTCAAAGGGCTATAGCTACTTGAGTCGCTTGTTGGGGTTTCCATCAATGCTCAGGGAGGTTACGGCAGGGAACACGTTGCGGAGGATCCAAGAGGCGGCGGAAGATCCGGGACTTTAGGGGCATGCGGAGCTCCTCATATATTATATACATGAGACGAGCAAGGACACAGCACAAGGCGGTGGTGGTGCTTGCGGATACAGGCTACGCTGTGTACAGCGCTGTGCTTAGTTCAGAGTCTCTGTGCTCCCACAAGCCTCTTGCATAGCCAACAGATCGACAAGCCCTGGGGCATGCCGGGAGCTGCAATTTTCCCCCGCAAAGGCTAGAGGGAGATTCCTGCCGTAGTGCACAAACCTCTCTAGGCAGCCTGATGTCCGCAGCATGTTCCGTCAAGAAGCGACATGCGGAGACCCATGGTAGCCAGGGCTGGCTCTAGCCCAGAAAGATGAAGATAAAATTGATAAAAAGCGAAAACCTTCTTGTGTTAGTGAAGCATGCACACTTCAGCTGTGGTTCCGCTGCTGAACCTCCAGCCGGCACAGCTGCAAAGTTAAGATTCAGTGAATGCAGCACATGCTGACCACAAAACGAATCCGTGAGCTCTGTCAAACCTGCCGACCTCGATGAACCTGCGTGCTCATGTCAGCTACGCTGTTATCACTGAAGGCGCACTGCACAGCTCGCGTTTTGCATTGGCGAAGGTCCTGCCACCGCAGCTGCAGAACCGGCTGTTTGTGACAGCGTGCGGAGCTCGTTGAACCAAATGACTGTCATCCTGCAGCGAGATGTCGGCAGCCTTTCTTGGGTCTTGCAAGTCACTTTCAGGGAGCTTCGATGACGAAAGGAGCAGCCAGGCCTCTCACCAATACGTTTGGAGTGAGCGCATGAGACTCACCCCAAAAACTTGAGGGTCGCTATTTCGCCGGGTCTATCTAGTTCAGACGGAGGAGCCGTCTGGCGCTGGCTGCGTCCTTTTGAAGCAGATATGCAAGAGCTATGGAATCTGATGCGACAGTCACGGCTGATACTGAGATGGAGCTCTTTGGCACACGGCATTTTGTCGTGAGATGTCAGGCAGCATCAAGTTGGACTTGCAGGTAGCCTGGGTGAATTAAGCGAATATTCGGACGTCTCACGACTACGGATTGCACCGACGAAGATTTTGCAATCTGCTAGTTCGTTCAGGAGGCTCTGAGGCTCCGAGTTACTGCCAACTCTTCTACAGTTGCATCTGCAACTCCAATCTCCTCCTGCCTCAACAGCTAAGCAGAGGCCCGAAAATGTGTCAGGGTTGTGGGATCTCGTCGGATGCGATCCGTCGCGACTGATACTATAGAGACGGAGCTCGTTGGCACACGGATGCACGCGAGAGTTTGCCGTGAGATGTCGGCAGCCTCAACTTCCGCTTGAGTCTTAGAGAGATAACTTGCAGGTAGCCTCGGTGAGAAGCGCAAGTCGAACTTCTCACGACGATGTCGGGAATCGAGAGCATGAGACTCCAGGCTTGGAAAAATCCACACTCTTCCCTCGCCCAGTGCTCACAGGCTTGGGCAGGGCTTAGGCCGCTAGGCTTTCGCTCTTCAGAGACCATAAGCAGCAGCTCCCAGAGTCGGTCATGAGCTCCTGCTACGCGCTGCCTCCCTTTGGAAGCAGATATTTGCTCAAATTTGCAATCGCTATGTCTCTATGGGATCTTCTGATCTTGCGTAGGCAATGGTGGCCCGGGACACGGCATTGCGCGTCTCACATGATGAAGGGGAAGTGAAACATAGATGATGGATTCACGGATAGAGCCTGCATTTGTGCGGGCGGGATTTGGTTTAGCTTCGATCTAGGAGCTTGAGGAATCCAGTCCCATGGAAATCTCCAGAATTGAAGTTGAGGCTCGAATCATACCTGACGTGGTGGTTCCTGGGATTCCTTGCCGTCCAACCTCCAACTCCAGGCCGGAGCTCGGCCCCAAACTTTTTTCAAACGAAGCTCGAGAAGACGCCGACGACGCATCTCCCTAGAGATGTGCCGGAAGCCTCGTTGCACACGACCGTCTGCTCCCTTGAACCTGTAACTGTGACACCGATCCCTTGCCGCGAGCCCACCGCAACTGAAGGCCTTTCACCAAAGACATCCAAAGACCGAAACGACGCCGAAAAATCCGATGTGCCTCTGCCCTGCCGTCGCAGCGGCGGCTCAGGGCCTTGCCTTGCCAAGACCCAAAACTTCGGACGACGCGGGGGAGCTCGGGGGGGGGGATCGGGTCGCAGCTCACCCTCCAGGCCTGCAGCTGCCAGAGCTTCAGCGTCGAGTCAGTGCTGCCGCTGCACAGCACGGGCTCTCCCCGCACCTTCATCATCACCAGTGCTGGGATCTCTCTGGTGTGGGCCTTCTGGATATCGTGCAGCGGCTCGCCGCTCTGCACCGACCAGACGCGGAGTCGGCCACGGCTGTCGGCAGCTGCGAGGTGGTTGGGGGCCAGGAGGCACAGCGAGAAGACCCAGCCCGTGAGGCCTTCGAGAACCCGCACTGCTGCCCAGGTGCTGAGGCTCCACAACCGCACCGTTTGGTCGCTGCCGCCACTCGCCAGGAGCTCGGGCGAGGCTTGGCAGAGGTTTGCGTGGCCACGCAGCTCGTGCAGCTCCTCGCCGGTCTCAGGGTTCCACGCTCGGAGGGTCTTGTCACCGCTCCCACTCACGAGGCTGCCGGTGGTCGTGATGCAGAGGCAGAGCACCTCGCTGGTGTGCCCCTGGAGCACTCGGCACTCTTCCGGCTTGGCGAGGCTCCACAAGCGGACGGTCTTGTCATCGCTGGCGCTCGCGAGCTGCGTGTCACTGAGCCGCGCTAGGCCCAGCACCAAGTTCGTGTGTCCGCTGAGCACTTGCAGTGCCTCCTTGGTGCGCAGATTCCAGGTGCGCACCGTCTTGTCGCCGGACCCACTGGCGAGGATCTCGACAGACATCAGGCACAGGCTGTACACAGCCTTCTCGTGTCCCGCCAGCTTTGCGGTAGGCTCATCGCTCTCGAGGTCGTGCAAGAGGATAGTGCCGTCCGTGCAGCCCACCGCCAGCCTGCCCGCTCCGGTGGTGCAGGCGCAGAGCACCTCCGAGTCATGCGGGACGCTGCGCAGCTCAGCCATCTGGGAGAAGTCTACGTCCCTCCAGGTGCCCCATCGCGCCAAGGCCTCGGAAACTATACTGTCAGCATTCGAACTCTTTTCCCAGTGCATCGCCACACTCCTTCTCCCTGTTGCTTTGGCGAGCCTGTGTGGCCTGGAAGGCTACCGCCGAGTCGTTTTTGAGCTGGGCATCGAGCAGGTCCAGGGCGCAAAGTGCCTGCTGTGATGCAGAAGCGCCGCTTGCAAGCACTCTCTAGCTTAGCTCGAGACACCTGTACACCGCACCTCGTCTGAAACGCAGGTCGCAGCTTCAAGCCGACATCTCACAATGCCAAGCCCACCCCTGCAATGAGCCGGAGCCCCTCCCTAAACCCCAGCATTGCTCGGCAGCCCGCCCGTCAACTGCATTCCCTACCTTCAGGGAAAGCTCCTGTGGGCCGCCAGCGGACGTCATCAGCACCTCAGGCTTCACGAGCTTTGGGGGCGGAGGGGCCGTTTCTCCGGACACTGACTGCGCGGAGGCGGGCAACTTCGAGCCACTCCATGGCAAGAGCCAACCGCCTCTCCACAAAGCCTGCGTGGACCCCTTCGTCGCAGCCCAAAAACCTCTTTCCGAAAACCGGAGATGCAAAAAGCCCTCCGCTCAACACGTTTCAGTTAACCTGAAACCGCCCCCGCGCAAACGCGTGCAGCACCCTTTGAAGATTGTCCCAAGCACGGCCGTGTGGAGCCGTATCGAGTCTTCGACGAAGTCAGGGTCCTTGCGAGCTTAGTGGCTCAGATGCCCAACATCGCCTTGGGCCATGAATGGGGCTTTTCGGAATATCTCACTTCCCCCTCTGCGTCCTCCCGAAAGCCGCCCACGAACTCGAGGGCCCGGGGATGTCGCTGCACTGCATCCAGCAGGAAGGATCGGTCCGAGCGCAGGGCCTGCACCAGGCCCCTCTGAAAGCCCGCCAAAACTGCGATGCCCTAGAAACGAAGCACCGAAGCACAGCACTTTCGTCCGCCTCTGGTGCATCGGCCAAGCAGGCAGCATCGTGGCTGATGCAGGCCAGGACGACGTCGCGGTCGTTCCGAAGATCCGCCGGGGCCTTGCTCTAACTAGCGGACAATATGGAAGGTTGAAGGACTCTCTGACAACTGAGGGATCACTGCCCCCCCTCCCTCCGGCCTGCTGCAGGGCCTCTCTCACGGCATCGAAAGGTGGCATCGGAAGTGTGGGAGCCAGGAAGTGGGGGTCGTCCTGGAGCTTCTTTGCCAGCTCCTTGGCCCCCAAGCCCTTCAGCACGACCTGCTGTAGGAATTCGTCCGGCGTCTCCAGTGTCGTGTTCTTGCACAAGGCCTTGACCTGGCTAGGAGTGGCCCCCAGCTCCAACATCTCCCCCACAGACACCAGGGATTCGTCCAGCAAGTGCACCCGCCGCTCACCCATGGGTGCCAGCATCGACCAGACCGAGGGCTCTTCGCTTCGCAGTTCATCTGGATCGAGCACCTGGCTGAGCGGCTTCCCCTCGTGCCGGAGCCCTGCGGCCACGAGGATCTTCAGCGCCTTGCTACTCTTCGAGTGGAGTGCGCAGTGGAGCAACGTGAAGGTGCGAGGGGTTTCTCCGGCTGGCATTGCCGTGGTGACGCCAAGGTCGGCATCCATGTCCAGCAGAGCCTTCAGGATCTCGAAGTGCACTGGCTGGAGGCCTTGCGGTCGCAGCAGCACCGCATGAAGCGGGGGGTGACCGTCTTTCGCACTGCTGGTGGTGTTGGGGTCGGCCCACTCCGTCAGCAACTGCTTCACCTTGGCAAGATTCCCATCGGCGCCTCGGCATAGCAGGAAAAGGCTTGAAGGGGAAAATGCGCAGACTCGAGCACATCAGATCTCACAACCCTCTCTCGAAAGTCGAAGGATTCGGAGGAGCTGACGAGCCCAAACTAACAGAGGAAGCTGCTGCAAAAAAGCATTTGGATGGGCATGCTTCGGCCCTGGAGCATCAAAGCAAATTCATGAGGGCGGCCACTTCAAGAGGGAGCCGTGGGGGCTCATTTTCGAGCAGATCAGAGACATGATCTTTCCTAGTTCGGCCAGGGGGCTTGAGAACCCCCACCTGAGGGCCTGTGCGTTGAAGCCATCCATTTTCCTTTCACCTTTTCAACACCTGTTTCGGAGCTCACAAACGCTTACATCGCTTTTTTCTCCAACACCTGCTGTTCTTGCGGCGGCCCCTTTGCGGCTAAAGCGCCACAACGAGTGTCGGAGGGGGCTTCAAAGACCTGCCTCGATGACATGCTCGTGCCCCCTATTAAAACGTGTTGCAAAGGCAGCCAGCGGAGAGAGGGAGAGCGAGACACAGAGCCAGAGAGGCCGCGCAGGAGCACTCTCCGTTTATTAAGGCGGGCGCAGGATGCAATCAGTTCCTGGCTTGGGACCAGCCGGCGCTTCACGGCAGCACCCAGGTCATCCCTCGCCTCGCGCAGCCTCACACGTCTGAGATTCACTGAGTCAACTTCAGGATTCCGGTCGCCCCAAAAGCGGGGTCAAGTTTTGATTCTGCTTTTGTATCAATTCAGCTCAGTCGCTGGTCCAGGCCGCCGTCTGCATACTGGACGGCCACGGAGACGAGGCGCGCGACGCCTCCATCGAGGGTGCTACCATGATTATGCCCTTCTATCCACGACGAATAGCATGTAAGGAGGCGAAGGCAAACAAATAGGCAAGCAAATGCTGACAGCAGCTGCAGCGGCAATGGGCTGGCTGGATAAGATGGGGTCCAAAAGCAAAAGCAGTGCAACTCACGTGCGTGCGGCCTTCGTCGCCTCCCGATTGCCGAAGCTTCAACAGGCCATCCAGGAGGGGCACCTCAGGTGTGGACATCCGTACATGCCGAAGCATCTCTTCTTTTTCCTGTGATGGTTCTGAGCCCCTGATTCATGTCCCACCCTCCCTGCCTGGCCGTCCTGATCTAGAGCTTGGAGGTCGGCGCGAGCACAGAGAAGGGCCCACATGGCCCGCTCGTGGCCCTGCGCCATGGCTTCGTGCAGCGGCGTCCGCATCATCTTGGGATCCCTGTGGTTCACATCCGCGCGGAAGGCCAGGAAGATGCTCACGAGGTGGGCGTTGCCCGCTTTGGCCGCCTCGCAAGTCGCGTCCAAGGTGGCACACCACGGGGGGAGTAAAGTGGGCCCCCACCCCCTTTACTGTGTAGAGCAAGAGCAGGGCAGTCCTTGTGAAGGAGACCCTTCTTGTCGTCATTCAGCATCTCCTGGCTCGGAGGATGGCGTCCCTTTGAGTGGAATGGCTTGGCTCGGAAAGACATCTCGATGCCTGCAGTGCGCTCTCTCTGGTTGACATACACTCAGCACAAAAACACATCTGCATGGGAAGCCTCATCGGTGCCGAAAAGCTGTACCTTTTCCGTTTTCCTTCGAACCCTCAGCTAGAATCTAGAACCCCCCGCAACTCTCAGAAGTCTCGTCTCGCATGTTTCAGTCGACACCAACCCCCAACTCGACGAGCCAGAAAGAAGCACGATCCTGGAGTTCGGCGTCGGCGTTGGGGCCCAGGTTCTCCTTTGGAAGGAGCGGCTTTCGCGCGATTTGGAAAAGAGAGATGCTGGCACAAGAGGGCTTCGAGCTTCTCGGAGCTGCAAGTTCAAAGTGCCCCTGCCCCAAAACCCCGGTCCTTACCCCACTGCAGGATGTTGTGGCACCTCTCCACAGCATTCGGCTCTGCAACTGCTGCCATGACCTTGTTCGAGATGCAGAGCAGTTGTTCTCTAACGTGTCACTGCAAAAAAAACCTGGTAAGAGTAGGTGGCAGAAGCCCGAAACGACCGACATTCCCTTTTGGGAAAGCCGTGCTGCCACACGGTCAGAGGGAAGGCTCCGCCAATCCTCGCCGAGGCTCCTCGCGGGAGACCTCGAAGGCCCGGTGCCCCGCGTTCTCCTTCACGTGCAGCATCCACTTCGTGTTCAGCCTCAGCACGCACGGGGTTCAGTTCCAGTTCGAGACGGCTCAAGAACACTCAGGGTAAGCTTTAGAACGAACCCTTGGCTCTCTTGCGTTCAAGCAGGTTGGAAGCATGCGCTCTGCACAACTCACAAGGAGTCATACCCCGAATCTTTATGTGCGGATTTGCTCCAAACGCTCGCGGAGCTGAGAGCTGAACTTCGAAATTTCAAGCTAGAGCACAACAGCAAGAGAATCTGGAGGGCGACGGTCAATCATACCCCGCAGTGTTACGACAGCCCCGAGAACGCAACCGAGCGCCTTATGGCAGGCGAGAAACTGCAGCTCACAGACCATTCCTTCGATGCGGAGGCTCAGCTGAAGATCCTGGGATGGGGTTTCTTTTGGGCTCCGGGCGCCGGGCGGGTCTCCTTCTTCAACTGCTGACAATGAAAAAGAAATCTCCGAGACACATCCCCACAAGGGAGGAGCGAAGTTGAGCAGGTTTCCCGTCACTCAGGATGCCCCGCGCGCTTCAGCTGTGAAGTGGGACAGTGCAGGCCTTCTTCCAGTTAAGCCAAGCATCACGATACCCTCCGTCGAGCGGGTTCATGTAACGGTCGTTACACTCGATAATGTCGATCTCCTCGTCTTCGTGGATCGCTCGGAGACCTTTGTACCTGGAGGGGCTGCAAACATCCTACCTTCACCCTGGCAAACACCTTTTCGGCTGCAAGTGTCCGAGTTTTTCCCTTTTCCAGGGTCCCCACATGTCATCCAGATTCTTGTAAACGATGGTGTCCCTCACGATGTCGGTCAATCTGTGCCACGAAATGTCGCCGTTCTTGTCCTGCAAATGGAGCAGGGTGATGCAAGCTTCCTTTCATTCCTGTCTGTGCAAGATCTCTGAGAATCGTAAACACGGAAACTATGAAGAAGACCCTGGAGTCGAGGTGCTGTATTATGAGAACCCAGAGAACTTGCTGTCTTCCGAGGGCGTCCTTGTACTTGAACTGCGCCTTGTCCCGGGACCTTGGCATGCCCTTCAGGGGTGGCTCGACGTTCCGCCCGCCGGTGCGTTCTGCCACCGCCCGCACTTTGGCGAAGAACATGGGAGCTTTCTCCTCTTGCACTGCAGCGTCCGGAATGGAAGCAAACGGGTCCATGGGAAACAAACCCCACACCAGTCAGCGAGGGGCCAGCAGGCGAAGGCAAACTAAGTACAGCAAGCATGCTTGAGAGTTTGAGAAGCTGAAAGGAAGCCGATCTCTCTGTGCATGTGTCACAGTTGACCAGTATAGTCCTTGCAGAAGGTATAGAGCTCCTCCAAGGTGTTCTTGTACCTTACAAGGGAAATGCGCAGACTTTGCAGATTCAGCCTCAGCCAGGCCGGCTAATCTTACTGAAGCACCCTTGGACTGATCATTAGAGAGGAGGCTCGCAAGGGGAAGAATGCTCTCTGCGGACGGAGCTGCGGTTGATAATTCATCTTCGTGGAAAAGGAGCGCCGTTTCTGCCAGTCCTTCTCCATCATGTCCACGAGATCCTTCAGCTCGGGGTTGTAGCTGGGAGGCTAGGGAACCTCTTGAGCGGGCCAGAGTGGCACTGGCATATGCTTGTCTGGGAGGCTGCGGGTGTTTCGGGATGCATGGCATGGCCTTGTTGGGCTCGTACTTCTCCTTGAGCTCCCCGCTGAAGGCCTGGAGGCGGTCTGGAAGAGCGGCGATGCTCTGAGAAAGGTTTAGGGTTTGGGGCTTGGGCTTGGAAAGCGGACTCTATGAAGGCGCAGCTCCCAGCCACCACCCACCAGTCCGAACTCCAACCAACACCCCCTACCGCACCTCGACCCTCTGCCTTTCAATGTACATCGGTGGTGCCATAGTGATGCTGCGGGTGCTAAAGCCCCTTTACACAATACAAACTCCCCTACGGGCTGCACCCAGCAATCCTACCCCGTCCTTGTAGTTGTGCAGTCGCATCGCCCCACCGGATAGCTCCTAAGACTTGCAACGGATGGTCGGAGGCAAGGTGCACACGAGGATTTCAGGCCAATATAGGGTGTCAGTTCGCTTCGCCATGGTTCATCCCGCAGTGAAATTCCAGTTTGGCGCATCCCAGGTGCCCTCGACTAGGTCAGTAGTAGGGTTCTACCACACAGAGCCACACAAGCATGTAGACCCCCCTACAAACCACATCGATGTGCGAGTGTGTTCGCACTGGATCTGGCCAAGGCACCAGCGCCGAGTCGTACTTCGTGGGCATCGTGGCCGGGTCGACATCTTCTTCGTTATCGATGTCGGCACGAGCGCAGAGAAGGGCCCACATCGCCCGCTCGTGGCCCTGCGACATGGCTACGTGCAGCGGCGTCCGCATCATCTGATCCCTGTGGTTCACATCGGCGCGGAAGGCCAAGAAGATGCTCACGAGCTGCGCATTGCCCGCCTTGGCCGCCTCCAAGCCGGCTTACATCGAAGGCGCAGGCAGGACAGACACAACAAAGCGTAGATTCACACCCCATTCCGGCTCCGGAGGATTCCCCGTTGAGAGCACGAGCAGGGCAGTCCTGGTGGAGGAGGCCCTTCTTGTCGTCATTCAGCATCTCCTGGCTTTGGGAGCTTCGGGAGCTTCCGCCAGTCTCGGGTGGGTTGGAGGATGGGGTCGTCTCAGCTATGCAGATTGGCTCCGGTCGAAGAAGTCTGAGGCCTTCGACACTCCCGACTCGACTGGGCGTAAGAAAGCTGCACGATCCTGCAGTTCGGCGTCGGCATTGGCACCGAGGTTCTCCTCGCAGACTCGCAGAAGGCGCGGCTGTTGCATGATGGGGGGGAGAGGTGCTGGGACAAGAGGGCTTCGAGCTTCGCAGCCGGGTCCGGGAAACCGCCAATTCAATGCCTCAAGGCCGGCATCGCCCCGTCCTTGCCCCACTGCAGGATGTTGCGGCACCTCTCCACAGCATCCGGCTCCGCAGCAGCTGCCATGACCTTCTCTGAGACTGAGATGCGGCAGGCTTCTTCTCTCTAACTTTCCGTTCCGGAGAAGGCTAGAACTTGGGCAGCTTGCCCCTGTTTGGGCAGCTCTCAACTGCTCGGTTACTTCTTCCGCCCGGAACGCGGCAGGCTCCAGCAGAGTCACTGCTTTCCCTTCTGAAAGCTACAGTACCCGAAAAGAAGCAGCGAAGGAGCTGGAAGGAGCCACCAAAAGCAACCGGCTTCCCCCGATCCTGGCCGAGGCTCCTCGCGGGAGACCTCGAATGCCCTGTGCCCCGCGTTCTCTTTCACGTGCAGCATCCACTTCGTGTTCAGCCTCAGCGGACACCGGATTTGCTCCAAACGTTCGCTGAGCTGAGAGCTGAACTTCGAAATTTCAAGCCGGAGCACAACAGCAAGAGAATCTGGAGGGCGACGGTCAATCATACCCCGCAGTTCTGCGACACCCCCAAGAAAGCAACCGAGCGCCTTTTGGCAGGCGAGAAACTGCAGCTCGCAGACCATTCCTTCGATGCGGAGGTTCAGCTGAAGATCCTGGGATGGGGATTCTTTCGGGCTCCGGGCGCCGGACGGAAGGATCGTCAAGCAGAGGAGGGGCGGAGGTGAGTAGTTCGCCTATTTCTCGGGCTTCCCCCGTCGCACTGCAGCTGTGAAGTGGCACAGTGCAAGTCTTCTCCTGTTAACGCCAAGGATCACGATACCCTCCGTCGAGCGGGTTCATATAACGGTCGTTACACTCGATGATGTCGATCTCCTCGTCTTCGTGGATCGCTCGGAGACCTTTGTACCTGGAGAGGCTCCTAATCCCAGCACCGATCTTTACGGCTGCAGGTGTGCATGCTTCCCTTTTCCGGGGCCCCCACATGTCGTCCAGATTTTTATAAACGATGGTATCCCTCACGATGTCCGTCAATCTGTGCCACGAGACTTCGCCGTTCTTGTCCTGCAGAGGGAGCATGGTGATCTGGCTGCACCTGTCTGTCTCTCCCTCTGGGCGTTGCGCCTCTAAATCTCTACAGTGATCAAGACAGAAGTAGAAACCGCAAACAAAGCAGACCCCCACACCAGAACTTGCTCTCTTCTTTCGGCGTCCTTGTACTTGAACTGTGCTTTGTCTCGGCACCGCTCCATGCTTTTCAGGGGCGGCTCCACGTTCTCACCGCCCGTGCGTTCTGCCACAGCCCGAACTTTGGCGAAGAACATCGGTGCTTTGTCCTCTTGCACTGCAACATCGGCAACGGAAGCGAACGAGCACATCCATTCAGCTAGCGGCCTGGCCACACAAAGGAAACGACGACTAGCATGCCTTCAGAACCCGAATGAAGCTGAGTGTGCGTATGTGTGTAGTCCTTGCAGAATGCATAGAGCTCCTTCAACGTGTTTTTGTATCTCAGTGGACATGCGGAGTTCATGTACAACAACATCAACGACGCTTCCGGGAGTCAGGAAGGAGCTCTCTGCTGACGGAGCTGCGGCTGGTAGTTCATCTTCGTGGAAAGCGACCGCCGCGTCTGCCGATCTTTGCCCATCATGCCGACGAGATCCTATAGCACACCGCATCACTCGGTTAGACCATTGTAGCGCTGGGAACTGACGAACTCTATCAATGCAACATCCTTACACAAATCCACTCGAGTCATGTCAGCTGGCGAAGCTACACGGATTCATGTCAGAGTGACGCTGGCATGCGCTTCACAGCACGGGTGCATGGCATGGCCTTGCTGGGCTTATATGTCTCCTTCAACTCCTGGCTGAAGGCCTCGAGTCGCGGACGGAAGTTCCCTGCTCTTGGGGAGAGGCCGGATCGAGGTCCAAACATCTGAACAAAAACTGAGCGAAAGCTAGAGCTTGCACATGGCGACAAGGCAGACACAAAATGCATGTGGACGCAGCTAGCCTTCCCTACACGCACCCTACCACCCATCGGTCCGAACTCCTACCAACACTCACCCGGGCAGCTTGAGCTGCGCGTTTACCCACATTCGGGCTCGGAGAGCGGCCCCAGACGACCAGCTCAATTAAACTGACACGATGAAAGAGCGTTGCACGTCCAACCATGGCAATCCTCCAGCAAACCCGCGCCCGTCCTTGTACTCGCGCAGTCGTGTCTCCCCTCCAGATTCTTCCTGAGTCAACCAATGGGCTCAGAGCATCCATAGACCAGTCTGGCAAATTGAACCAGATTCAAACGTGGATGCCCTCGACTGTCGCATGCGCCTCATGAAAAACGCGACTGTATAGTGTCAAGGCGCCAACGCCGAGTCATAGTCCTTGGGCATCATCGCCGGATCAACTTCATCGTCCGCCCTGCAAGCATGGACACAGTTTTGGGAAAGAATCAAATCCCGCTGCTTGGTAGGTGACGTTCTCGCCCGGATCCTAGCTCTGTCTCATGGCTGTGTTGTCTGCTCTTTTGGCAAGTAGCAATGAATCTCCTGCACCAGGCGGGTGTCGGAAACATATCCGGAAATTCGACAGTAGGCTCCGCCTCCGACGCCGAAAACACCCCAAAACCCCCTATGACCCAAAGCTCCCCCAGGACCAATCCCGGCCTTTTCGGCTTCCTTGGCTCCTGGGCTTCTTCCGGCTGCACCTGCTGCTCGAGCCGCGACAGACGGCGCACCAACTGTGCCATCTCTTCGCCTTCCGCGAGCTTCGCTGCCCCGCTGTTCCAGAGAATTTGCTACACATCTGCAAATACTGATATACTCATATACTATCATATACTGTCATATACTGCAGGTACGGACAGCTTCCGTTTCGACAACCTGGTCTTGCTGATGTTGCGAAAGTACTTCGAGGATCCATGCACTTGGTACATCGGATACGCGTCAATACGATAAGTGCGCTTTACACACTACAATAACTGCTCTGATTTTTCAAGTAGGAATCCTCGGGAGAGCAGTGCGAATCATGATGGCCTCCGTATGGAAGCACCCCTCCTCTCTTCAGCAACACAACCTCCCACTTCCCCGGCCTTCGGGCTTTGCCGGTGCGAGGCCGGCGCCAGACTTCAGCCTCTGAAGCTCTGCGTAAAGCGTGGCGATAGTGGCCCCCATCTTGCAGAGCAGCATCGTGGTCTTAGTCGGCGACAAGAAGAGCCCCTCTTTAGAAACCCGATGAGCCAACATCTTGCTAAAACCGAACAGAACAGACTGATGTGTCTGGGGGGTGTGGTGTCTGGCAATTTGCAGCCGGGGTGCGTGGCCGTTGATGGCCAGGAGCCACTCTCGCCTCGCCTCCTCCGTTGGTGCCGCCAGGCACAGGTGCGTCAACGCCGGCTCCGCCTGCACCAAATTCGACACTTCGATGGCGTAGCCCTCGAACTCCGGCGGGAGCTTCTCGTGCTCGATCTTGGCGGAGCCGGTGGCTCCCAGCATCAGCCGGGCTAGTCGCTCGCCAGATGCGTCGCTGAAGGTCTCAAGGATGCCGGGGCCGAGGAGAACGAGGACCTTCTCCCAGGTGTCCGTGCGGGGCTGGTACTGCAACAGCTGGCCCCGCTTGAAGGGAGTTTGCATCTGCGGCAGGCCCTGAAACGCGAAAGGCATGTCCATGTCGCAGTCCTGACGGGCGGTGAACCCTCGAAGCGATCCACTTTCCTACAGCGGACCCTTCCAGAGCAGCGTCTTCATGCGCGTCGCGCGAACTTCAACTCTGACTATGCGGAACTGCTCCCTCCTCGGTGCAGTCCGCGAGCCCGGCAGGTTTCTCCTGGCGCTTGCAGAAGGAAAGCGAGGACAGGATCCTGCACTCATAAGAGCAACCTGGGAAGCTTCCGTCGCAACCTCCGAGAACATGACACCAAAGGATTCAGAACCGCGCGCCTTCGTGATCTTGGAAGCCAGGTCGCCCTGTAAGGCAGACATCTCCTGTAGCGAGTGGAAGAGGTTCGGCGAGACATGTCCCACTACAGGAAGAACTGACGTGTTGGTGTAGAGGGCTTTCGGAGTTTAGGGCCGCTTGGCCGCTTTAGTTTCGCCGGAATCCGTGCACTTAACTTGCAAGGAGCCTTTGGCAGACACTCCCCAAAGCCGGACCCATCCGATGCTTGCTAGGAGACCACGGGAAATCGCCCAACAAGCCTGAAGCCAACCTGGGGGCCTCAAACGCCTCGGGCTCTAGACTGCTGGGGAGTTTCAACCTCGTTTGGGTAAGGTGCCCGTGGTTGGGTCGGAGGCCTGCCCTCTGGACTCCCCTTGTTGCCCTTTGCTGGAGCCCTGAAGAGGCTTCCACCGAACCCTCGCATCGGCTCCTGCTTCAAAGCCTCGTTGCGACGGCGGAGGGACATCGGCCCTTCGTGGTTTGGGACCCGCTGGCGGAGCCACTGGACGATGAAGCCTGTCGGAGCCTGGCAATGAATAGGGAGCCTACGACCGAAGCCCGAAAGTCCTCAGCTGCAGTGTTCTTGCCAGAGGCAAGAGGAGATGTCTGACAGGTGTTGAACAATGAACGCGCTTCGTCGGGTCGAAGACTGAAAACTCGACACCTCCCCTTGAAAGAGCACTCGCCGAAGACGCTCTCCTGAACCCGCCTCCGGCATCGCATGGAGTGCATCCCTGGCCAGGTCGGCGGTCAAGGGCTGCAGCGTCTCGCCGATGTAGGCGTCCCTGAGGGATGCCATGGCAAAGGGAGGACAAAAGCAGTGGCAGTCGGCAGGCGAAGCTCTGGCGCGCTCGAGCCAAAAAGTGGTCGCAGCAGAACCGCATGTCGCCTGGCACACTTCGAAGTCCGCAGTGTCGGGAAGGCGCAAGCTCTGGAGCGGGCGCTCGTCTGTGCAAAGTCGCTGCGATTTCTTCTTTGGTCGGCCCAGGCTCTTCGAGAAAAGTGAAAAAAGAGCCGAGAGGTCCGGAGTGGCTCCGAGGAGTCTGAGGCGAGGTCTCTCCCTGGTTTGGGGTTTCAGTCTCAGGTGCTGTTGGCTTATAGGGTTGAAGGGTCTCCGTGTGGTTGGATGGCGAAGTGCTTCCAGTTCAGGGGCTCCGGTTGCAGGGTTTAAAGTTGCTCAAGGGCTGTAAGGGTTGAAGGCTTCAGCGTGGAGGGGTCCACGAGATCCGGGTTCAAGTCTATAGGGCCTTCACGGAGGACAAAAAAGGTAGTCGTGGCCTCATGCAACAAGAGGCACCGACTTCGGATGTCACAATAGTGCAGCAAGGGCCTTTAATTTGTCAGCTTTCAGGGCAGCGGCTTCGCCACAAGGGACCAGCGTACGGCCGTTGGGATCTTTGAGGCCCCTCTTCTTGGGTGGATGCTCTTCTCCACGCGCCTCCGGAGTTCATGATAGCCAGAACCGCGTGGTGCTGCAGCTGTCTCACAGCATCGCAGCGCAATCGAAAAAATTGGAAAGCTTCCTTGCTGCTACCTGCTACCTTTCGCCCGGCGAGGTGCAGGGGATCTCGGCTGCGCTCCTTTTCGGAGCTTCTCGTTCGGCCAAGGCTCGTTGCAGGCAGATTTCGAAGAGCAGTGCAAGCGCAGCTGCTTTTTTTCTGCTCTACCCTTTAAAGATGTAAGTCTGCGACCCACAAAAGCAGAAAGCGCGCAACAGCGCTTTTAGCAACACCCAATGGCCACTACTTGTAGCACCGGTAGCTGCGCTCGAAGATACAAGCCTGAAAGCTCTTGAAGAGCTCCGAGAAACCCTAAACCTTAAACAAACTGCATCGCCGAAGCTACATGGCTAACTCGCGGGCCGAAAGGAAGGCTCAGCTCGAAGTCAGCCGAGCAATGGGAGCACCGAGAGATCTCATGCCCAGACCTCCGGGAGGATCCAAAAAGCAGATCCCTTAAAGTGGATTCCTAGCACGTACCCTTAAGTAGCATAGGGTTCCAAGTAAAGGGCTCTATTTTCTAGATGCTCTCGGGGGTCTGGGTATGCCTGCCACCGGAAACTCAGTGAATCCCCTGCCCCCCCCCCTTCAAACCTGAAAGGAGGACCTTAAATCATACCGGTGGATTGGTATATTGTTTAAAGTATAATATATTCCTTATACTCTTTAGAATTAGGAGACACTGGAAGATCTGGACTTCGGCCTTTTGACTGCTCGTCTATGTGACTAACTCTGAGGATCGCCTCGCCGGCTCCTCGAGGACGTTGCGGAAGAACGCCGGTGTAGCGTGGCAGCTGAGAGGCGAAAGACAGAGGCCCAGAGCTGCTAACCAGACCTCGGCTAGATGCAGGCTGCGATATCAAAGATGCTTCCGACGAGTTCTCATGGCGAGGCGAAGCTTCAGGGCACAAGTACAAGCTGCGAGGGCTGCGACATCGGCCCGCTCGAGACCCTGCACAGAAAGACCCACCCTTGCCCCCCTCAAGCTTCTCCAGGACTAAGGCAAATGGCAACCCCAACTCGACGCAAGGGAGGCCACAAGGTCTCAAGCCGCACTTCCCCTCGGAGCCCTCAGCGTCACAGCATCTCCGAGCCCGGGGCCCCGGCTTTGGTGTCAGAGCTTGGGGATTGCGCGCTTCATCGCAACCTGAAGCCATCAAGGAGACAGAAAGTGCTCTGCCTTGTCAAACCCGCTCTCCTCGACCCAGAGAAGACTGAGGGATTTAGCCGCAAGCGAAGTTTGTGATGGACACCCTATAAACGTCCATTCAAAATAGAGCGGTGTTGCAGAGCTCCTCTTGAACTGTCACAAGCCCAGGAGCATCTCATCCATCCTCTGGGATATGCCGCAGCCCCGATGCTCGTGCGAAAAGCCTTCCGTGCTAAGCCGTCATTCAGAAACACTGTACTACGACAAGTTTTGGCAAAACGAAAATTCTGAACCACAACTGCCGGGATCGGCGTCGAATAGCATTACCAAGCCGACGACTCTCCGGCGCCTTCGCTGTGGATCCCAAGCGCCCCCCGACGAGGCGGGAGCTCCTGAAGCCAGGCCGCCTGTTGCAAGCGAAGTTGGTTTGGGGCAGCCATGGGCAGCTGTAGAGGCTTCAAAGGGCTTTAGCTACTTGAGTCGGTTGTTGGGGTTTCCATCAATGCTCAGGGAGGTTACGGCAGGGAACACGTTGCGGAGGATCCACGAGGGAGGCGGCGGAAGATCCGGGACTTCAGGAGCATGCGGAGCGCCTCATATATTATATACATGAGACAAGCAGTGACAAGCAAGGACACAGCACAAGGCGGTGGTGGTGCTTGCGGATACAGGCTACGCTGTGTACAGCGCTGTGCTTAGTTCAGAGTCTCTGTGCTCCCACAAGCCTCTTGCATAGCCAACAGATCGACAAGCCCTGGGGCATGCCGGGAGCTGCAACAACCCCGCAAAGGATAGAAGGAGCTTCCTTCCATAGTGCACAAACTTCTCTAGGCAGCCTGATGTCCGCAGCATGTTCCGTAACAACCCCGCAAAGGTTAGAAGGAGCTTCCTGCCATAGTGCACAAACTTCTTTCTCAAGGCAGCCTGATGTCCGCAGCCCGTTCTGTCAAGAAGCGACATGCGGAGATCCATGGTAGCCAGGGCTGGCTCCAGCCCAGAAAGATGGAGATAAAATTGATGAAATGCGAAAACCTTCTTGTGTTAATGAAGCATACACACTTCAGCTGTGGTTCCGTTGCTGAACCTCCAGCCGGCACAGCTGCAAAGTTCAGATTCAGTGAATGCAGCACATGCTGACCACAAAACGAATCCGTGAGCTCTTTGTCAAACCTGCCGACCTCGATGAACCTGCGTGCTCATCGCTGTTGTCACTGAAGGTGCACTGCACAGCTCGCATTTTGCATTGGCGAAGGTCCTTCCACCGCAGCTGCAGAACCGGCTGTTTGTCACAGTGTGCGGAGCTCGTTGAACCAAATGACTGTCATCCTGCAGCGAGATGTCGGCAGCCTTTCTTGGGTCTTGCAAGTCACTTGCAGGGAGCTTCGATGACAAAAGGAGCAGCCAGGCCTCTCACCATGACGTTTGGAGTGAGCGCATGAGACTCACCCCAAAAACTTGAGGGTCCCTATTTCGCCGGGTCTATGTAGTTCAGACGGAGGAGCCGTCTGGCGCTGGCTGCGTCCTTTTGAAGCAGTATGCAAGAGCTATGGAATCTGATGCGACAGTCGCGGCTGATACTGAGATGGAGCTCTTTGGCACACGGCATTTTGTCGTGAGATGTCAGGCAGCATCAAGTTGGACTTGCAAGTAGCATGGGTGAATTAAGCGAATATTCGGACGTCTCACGACTACGGATTGCACCGACGAAGATTTTGCAATCTGCTAGTTCGTTCAGGAGGCTCTGAGGTTCCGTCTTCTACAGTTGCATCCGCAACTCCAATCTCCTCTTGCCTCAACAGCGAAGCAGAGGCCCGAAAATAATGTCAGGGTTGTGGGATCTCGTCGGATGCGATCCGTCGCGACTGACACTATAGAGACGGAGCTCGTTGGCCCACAGATGCACACGAGAGTTTGCCGTGAGATGTCGGCAGCCTCAACTTCCGCTTGAGTCTTAGAAAGATAACTTGCAGGTAGCCTCGTTGAGTTAAGCAACAAGAAAGCTCGAACTTCTCACGACGATGTCGGGAATCGAGAGCATGAGACTCCAGGCTTAGAAGATCCACACTCTTCCCTCGCCCAGTGCTCACAGGCTCAGGCATTTCTTAGACCCCTAGGCTTTCGATCTTCAGAGAACATAAACAGCAGCTCCCAGAGTCGGTCATGAGCTCCTGCTACGCGCTGCCTCCCTTTGGAAGCAGATATTTGTTCAACATTTGCAATCGCTATGTCTCTACGGGATCTGATCTTGCGTAGGCAATGGTGGCCCGGGTCACGGCCTTGCGCGTCTCACATGATCAGGGGCAGTGAAACATATAGATGATGGATTCACGGATAGAGCCTGCACTTGTGTGGGGGCGGGATTTGGCTTAGCTTCGATTTAAGGGCTTGGGGAATCCAGTCCTATGGAAATCTCCAGAATTTAAGTTGAGGCGCGAATCATACATGACGTGGTGGTTCCTGGGATTCCTTGCCGTCCAACCTCCAAGTCGCACAATGGCTCCCCAGGCCGGAGCTCGGCCCCAAACTTTTTTCAAACGAAGCTCGAGAAGACGCCCACGACGCATCTCCGTAGAGATGCGCCGGAAGCACTGTTACACGACCGTCTGCTCCCTTGAACCTGTAACTGTGACACCGATCCCCTGCTGCGAGCTCACCGCAACTGAAGGCCTTTCACCAAAGACATCCAAAGACCGAAAAGACACCGAAAAATCCGATGTGCCTCCGCCCTGCCATCGCAGCGGCGGCTCAGGGCCTTGCCTTGCCAAGACCCAAAACTGCGGACCAGGCGGGGGAGCTCGTGGGGGGGGATCAAGTCGCAGCTCACCCTCCAGGCCTGCAGCTGCCAAAGCTTCAGCTTCGAGTCAAAGCTGCCGCTGCACAGAATCCGCTCTCCACGCACCTTCGCCATCACCAGTGCTGGGATCGCTTTGCTGTGGGCCTGCTTGATATCGTGCAGCGGCTCGCCGCTCTGCACCGACCAGACGCGGAGTTGGCCAACGCCATCGGCAGCTGCGAGGTGGTTGGGCGCCAGGAGGCACAGCGAGTAGACGAAGAAAGTGAGGCCTTCGAGGACCCGCACCGCTGTCCATGCTGAGGCTCCACAACCGCACCGTTTGGTCGATGCTGCCACTCGCCAGGAGCTCCGGCGAGGCCTGGCAGAGGCAGAAGACAGAGCCTTGGTGGCTGAGCAGCTCGTGCTGCTCCTCCCCGGTCTCTGGGTTCCACACTCGCAGGGTCCTGTCCTCGCTCCCGCTGACGAGGCTGCCAGTGGTCGTGAGGCAGACACAGCGCACCCAGTCGGTGTGACCCTGGAGCACTCGGCACTCTTCCGGCTTCGCAAGGCTCCACAGGCGGACGGTCTTATCCTTGCTTGCGCTCGCGAGCTGAGTGTCATTGAGCCGCGCCAGGCCCTGCACATCGTTCGTGTGTCCGCTGAGGACTTGCAGCGCTTCCTTGCTGTGCAGGTTCCACAGGCGCACCGTCTTGTCTTCGGACCCACTGGCCAGGACATCATCAGACATCAGGCACAGGCACGTCACAGCCTTCTCATGTCCCACCAGTTTCGTTCGATGCACGTTACGGGTAGCCGGAGTCAGTAAGCTTCGCCAGTGTACAGCATGTCTGTAACTGTAACCTTGCTCCACAGGCGGCTCACGGGTGCCACTGAGGTCGTGGAGCTTGATAGTGCCGTCCTCGCAGCCCACCGCCAGCCTGCTCGCTCCCGTATCGCAGGCGCAGCACACCTGCGAGTCATGCGTGGCACATTGCACTTCGGTGGGATCCTTCGAGAAGCCGCGCACGCCCCAGGCCTGCAACAAGACAAAAGTGCGCATGCTCTGGCTTGGCTTTCGCAACCGGGGGTGCGGCTCTTGCAAACTACACAGCACAATACCTTTCAGTAGGAACGGCCGCTCAGTGCGCCACAAGGTCTTGTGCGCAGCGTTCTCGCCGGGCTGTTTCCACCCCTGCGCTCTGAACCTCCGTTAAGGTCCTCTTTCGTTGTTGGGGAAATCCCATCTCTCAAGCCTCGCATGCGTCGATGGGGACGCATGGCTCGACTTCGAGGGTCGACGCTGGGTTCGAAGAGGCGTATCTAACTCCACAGCACAGCGGTGGTACGCTTTCCGGGCAAAACCAGATACGCTGCGGGGTTGCTACAATGCTACAAAGTGCTAGCTGCTCGCTTATGCTTCATCCGACTTGGACTCCTCCCCAAGAACCGCAATACCGCCTGCCGAGTCACCTGCTGATGAACTTCGTTGAAACTGTTTGCACACATGAGCCGGAATCAAAGCCAACCTTAACCTCAAACAGTCTGGCTACAGGTTAGGGCGGCCTATGGCGGCCTCACAACGGAAGCATCAACTCTACCATCTGGCGTGGGACTGCGATGTCAAAATGATTCCACGCACGACCTGCCTAAAGATAGTGGCGTGTTGCACTCATAGCTCTTGGTCTTGGCCGCACGTGTCTGAGCCGGTTCGTCGCAGTAGGTTGTCAGCGGTTTGCAAAGTGTTCACTTAAAGACAAGAACGATCGACTGGAAATGAAAGCCCAGCAAAAATTGCAACAAAGAAGATCTTCAAACAACGTCAGCATGAGCTTGGAAAAAGGATCCATTCGCCGTTGGAAGTCACCTGAAACATCCCTGCTACCAGCAGGGTACGCCGGGACAGCCGTCGCCTTAGAAACAAGCTCTCCGCAAGTCGAACGACGATTTCCGCGTGGTTATTTGCAACATGGTGCAACACAGCGTCGCCAAAATATAATGTTTCTGAGACCGATGTCACGCCGTTTAAATTTTTCTGGGTCTCACCCGGAGTCCTTGCAAAGCATGCCGAACAGGCGTGTGTCCCGTCCCCGTCCGAGGCCTAAGTCTTTTGTCTTTGCCTTCAATCGATACAAACTCCGAAAGGTGCGAACCTGGCCACCTGGTCTCTATGTTGGGCTCGTCGGCAGACGACAAAGCAAAATTGAAATGAGCATCAGTTTAGCCAACACGCTGACCAGCAGAAAGACTCCCAGCCCTGTGCCCCGGGCCTGCAGCTGCCAAAGCTTCAGGGTCGAGTCAACGCTGCCGCTGCACAGCACGTGCTCTCCCTGCACCTTCGCCATCACCAGTGCTCCGATCTCTTTGGTGTGCGCCTTCTTGATATCGTGCAGCGGCTCGCCGCTCTGCACCGACCAGACATGGAGGCGGCCATCCATGTCGGCAGCTGCGAGGTGGTTGGGTGCCAGGAGGCACAGCGAGGAGACACTGGCCGCTGAGGCTCCACAACCGCACCGTTTGGTCGTAGCTGCCACTTGCCAGGAGCTCGGCAGATGCCTGGCAGAGGCGGAGGACAACGTGTTCGTGGCCCCGCAGCTCGTGCTGCTCCTCGCCGGTCTCAGGGCTCCACACTCGGAGAGTCTTGTCAAAGCTCCCGCTCACGAGGCTGCCGGTGTTCGTGAGGCAGAGGCAGAGCACAGAGCTGCTGTGGCCCTGGAGCACTCGGCACTCTTCCGGCTCCGCAAGACTCCACAGGCGCACGGTCTTGTCAGCGCTTGCGCTCGCGAGCCGAGTGTCATTGAGCCGCGCCAGGCCCTCCACCGAGTTCGTGTGTCCGCTGAGGACTTTCAGCGCTTCCTTGCTGTGCAGGTTCCAGGTGCGCACCGTGCTGTCCGCGGACCCACTGGCCAGGACCTCCACGGACATCAGGCAGAGGCAGCGCACAGCCCTCTCGTGGCCCACCAGTTTTGAGGCAGGCTCATCGCTCTGCCCGAGATTATGGAGCTGGATAGTGCCGTCCGAACAGCCCACCGCCAGCCTGCTCGCTCCCGTATCGCAGATGCAGCACACCCTCGAGTCATGCGGGACGCTGCGCAGCTCCGCCATCTGGGAGAAGTCCACGTCCCGAGTGCCCAATCCGGCCAAGGCCTCGGAAGCCGTCATAGTCATTGCAAACTGAGCATGCGGACTCTGTTCCAGTGCATCGGCAAACTTTGACCTGAGTCCCAAAAGCCTCCTTCCCCCCCCTCCGCTGCGTCGCGCCTGCGTGGCTTGGAAGGCCAACGCCACGTCGTTTTGGAGCTGGGCATCGACCAGGTCCAGCGCCCAAGGTGCCTGCCGGACGACCTGCCATAAAGAAAGAGTTCAAGCGCTCGACACCTCCTGACGCCAGCACCTCTGCACGGCTTCGAGCCGACATCTCACAAGGCTTAAGCCCCCAGCCGGTGGACCTCCAGGGCCAGCTCCCGGTCGCGGCGCAGGCCGCCAGCGAACTCCAGCACCTCGGCAGGCTTCCCAAAACTGGGCGAAGGGCCGGGGCTGGCGGAAAGACTCCATGTCAAGAGCCACAAAGCCTAGGCGCGGCCTCTCGACATGGCCCACACATGCCCACAACATACCTCAAGCTGTGTAGCCTCAAGATGCTGACCGCGAAAGCCCGCGAACGAAACCCACAGCAAAGAGCCATCCGCTCAAGACGCTTCAATCTCAAGCTGCTCCGACGAAAAACTTGCATCACCCTGTAACGATTCTTCCCAAGCACGGCCGGTTGGAGCCGCATTGCGTCCGCGACGAAGTCGCGGTCCTCGCGAGCGATGCTACCATGGCTCTTGGGTTTTGGCAAAGTCCGCCTACAGTGCTCTCGAGCTACAGTGCAGATTTGCAGGCTTCGATGACAAGTATCGATCTCAGATTACTTCAGATCGCTTCCTACTCTACTCTGCGTCCTCGCGAAAGCCCGCGGCGAACTCGAGGGCTCGGGGATGCCGCTGCACTGCTTCCAGCAGGAGGGATCGATCCGAGCGCAGGGCCTCCACCAAGCTTTGCAGCGACACAGCCCTTCCAAACAAATGCTCTTGGCTCAACGCTTCTATACCCCCTTCTGAAAGCCCGCCAAAACTGCGATGCCATAAAAGCACACAGCACTTTCGTCCGCCTCTGGCGCATCGGCCAAGCAGGCAGCATCGTGGCCGATGCAAGCAAGGAGGACGTCCTGGTCGTTGAGAAGATCCGCTGGGGCCTGGCTCCGGGCAGCGGGCCATGGAAGCCTGAAACCTCACGCTTACAACTAATGGGGATCAAACACTGCCCCCCCTCCGGCCTGCTGCAGTGCCTCTCTCACGGCTTCGAAAGGTGGCATCGGAAGTGCGGGAGCCAGGAAGCGGGGGTCTTCCCGGAGTTTCTCTGCCAGGTCCTTAGGCCCGAAGCCCTTCAGCACCACCTGCCGGAGGAATTTCTCCGGGGTCTGCAGGCCTGCTCGCTTGTGCAACCCCTTGACCTGGCCAGGAGTGGCCCCCAGCTCCAACATCTCCCCCACAGAGACCAGGGACGCATCCAGCAACTGCACCCGCTGCTCCTCCAGGGGTGCCAGCATCGACCAGACCGAGGGCTCTTCGCTTCGCAGTTCATCTGGATCGAGCACCTGGCTGAGCGGCTTCCCCTCGTGCCGGAGCCCGGCGGCGGCCAGCATCTTCAGCGCCTTGCCACTCTTCGAGTGGAGCGCACTGTGGAGCAACGCGAAGGTGCAAGGGGTTTCTCCAGCTGCCATTTCCGTGGTGAGGCCAAGGTCGGCATCCATGTCGACCAGAGCCCTCAGGATCTCGAAGTGCACTGGCTGGAGGCCTTGCGGTCGCAGCAGCACCGCATGCAGCGGGGGGTGACCGTCTTTAGCACTGCTGGGGGTGTTGGGGTCGGCCCACTCAGCCAGCAGCTGCTTCACCTTGGCAAGATTCCCATCGGCGCCTCGGCACAGAAGGAAAAGGCTTAAAGGGGACAGACAATGCGCAGACTCGAGCACATCAGATCTCACAACCCTCTCTCGAAAGTCGAAGGATTCGGACGAGCTGACGAGCTCGAACTGAAAGAGGAAGGCTTTGCTGCTGCAAAAAAAGCACTTGGCCGGGCGGGCTTCCCTGGAGCATCAAAGCGATTCCAGGAGGGCGGCAGCCCCCCCTCAAAAAGGAGCCGTTTGTGCTTCTTCTCTGTCGCTGACATCACTTCTTTCTCGAACACCTGCTGTTCTTGGGGCGGCCCCTTTGTGGCTAAAGTTTCCACAACGACTGTCGGATGGGGCCTCAAAAACCTGCCTCGAGGAATGTTTGTCAGCGAAGAGGCAACACTCAAGTGCGGCACAACCTCTTCTTCAAAAAGTCTTAGGTGTCTTCGTTCGAATGCCGTGTAGTGATGACATGCTCGTGCCCCCTATTCAACGAGGGGCATGCCGGAAGGAGACAAAGCAGCGAGGGCAGCGAGAGAAAGAGACAGATAGAGACAGAGAGCCAGAGAGGCCGCGCACGAGCACTCTCCGTTAAGGCCGGCGCAGGATGCAATCAGTTCCTGGCTTTGGACCAGCCGGCGCTTCACGGCAGCACCCAGGTCATCCTTCGCCTTGCGCAGCCTCACACGTCTGAGATTCACTGTGTCAACTTCAGGATTCCAGCCGCCCCAAAAGCGGTGTCAAGTTTCGATTCTGCTTTTCGTAGCAATTCAGCTCAGTCGCTGGTCCAGACCAGCGTCTCCACACTGGACGGCCACGGAGACGAGGCGCGCGACGCCTCCATGGAGGGTGCTAGCACGGTTACCCTTCTATCCACGACGAATAGCATGTAAGGAGGCGAAGGCAAACAAACAGGCAAGCAAATGCATACAGCAGCGGCGGTAGGCATAAGAAAGGGTCCGAAATCAAAAGCTTTGCAACTCACGTGCATGGGGCCTTCGTCGCCTCCCGATTGGCGAAGCTTCAACAGGCCATCCAGGAGGGGCACCTCAGGTGTGGACATCCGCACATGCTGAAGAGTCTTGATTCTTGTCGTGTCCTCCCCGCCTGGCCGTCGTTATCTCGAGCTTGGAGGTCGGCTCGTGCGCAGAGAAGGGCCCACATCGCCCTCTCGTGGCCCTGCGCCATGGCTTCGTGCAGCGGCGTCCGCATCATCTTGGGATCCCTGTGGTTCACGTCCGCGCGGAAGGCCAAGAAGATGCTCACGAGCTGTGCGTTGCCCGCCTTCGCCGCCTCGCAAGTCGCATCCAAGGTGGCACACCACGGGGAAAGTAAAGTGGGCCCTCACCCCCTTAGTGTTTAGAGCAAGAGCAGGGCAGTCCTTGTGCAGGAGGCCCTTCTTGTCGTCATTCAGCATCTCCTGGCTTTGGGATCCAGCTTCGGGAGCTTCGTTGGCCGGAGGGTGGGGTCCCTTTGAGTGGAATGGCTTGGCTCGGAAAGATATCTCGATGCCTGGCGCTCTCTCTTGTTGACACACGGTCAGCACAAAAACACATCTGCAAGGGAAGCCTCATCGGTGCCGAAAAGCTGTACCTTTTCCTTCGAACCCTCAGCTAGAATCTAGAACCCCCCGCAACTCTCAGAAGTCTCGTCTCGCATGTTTCAGTCGACACCAACCCCCCACTCGACGAGCCAGAAAGAAGCACGATCCTGGAGTTCGGCGTCGGCGTTGGGGCCCAGGTTCTCCTTTGGAAGGAGCGGCTTTCGCGCGATTTGGAAAAGAGAGATGCTGGCACAAGAGGGCTTCGAGCTTCTCGGAGCTGCAAGTTCAAAGCGCATAGCCCCTGCCCAAAAACCGCGGTCCTTGCCCCAGCGCAGGATGTTGTGGCACCTCTCCACAGCATTCGGCTCTGCAACTGCTGCCATGACCTTGTTCGAGATGCAGAGCAGTTGTTCTCTAACTTTTCACTGCAAAAAAAACCTGGTAAGAGTAGGTGGCAGAGCCCGAGATGTGCGACTTTCCCTTTTGGGAGAGCGCTGCTGCCACACTGTCAGAGGGGAGGCTCCGCCAATCCTTGCCGAGGCTCCTCGCGGGAGACCTCGAAGGCCCGGTGCCCCGCGTTCTCTTTCACGTGCAGCATCCACTTCGTGTTCAGCCTCAGCGGACACGGGGTTCAGTTCGAGACGGCTCAAGAACACTCAGGGTAAGCTTTAGAACCAACCCTTGGCTCTCTTGCATTCAAGCAGGTTCTGAAGCATGCGCTCTGCGCAGCTCACAAGGAATCATACCCCGAATCTTTACGTGCGGAGTTGCTCCAAACGCTCCCTGAGCTGAGAGCTGAACTTCGAAATTTCAAGCTAGAGCACAACAGCAAGAGAATCTGGAGGGCGACGGTCAATCATACCCCACAGTTCTAAAACGGCCCCGAGAAAGCAACCGAGCGCCTTATGGCAGGCGAGAAGCTGCAGCTCGCAGACCATCCCGTCGATGCGGAGGCTCAGCTGAAGATCCTGGGATGGGGATTCTTTCGGGCTCCGGGCGCCGGACCGGGTCTCCTTCTTCAACTGCTGACACTGACAACGGAAGGAAATCTCCCAGAAACATCCCTACAAGGGAGGAGCGAAGTTGAGTAGGTTGTCTGTCTCTCAGGATGCCCCTCGCGTTTCAGCTGCGAAGTGGGACGGTGCAGGTCGTCTGCCTTCTTCCAGTTAAGCCAAGGATCACGATACCCTCCGTCGAGCGGGTTCATGTAACGGTCGTTGCACTCGATAATGTCGATCTCCTCGTCTTCGTGGATCGCTCGGAGACCTTTGTACCTGGAGGGGCTGCAAACATCCGACCTTCACCCTGGCAAACACCTTTTCGGCTGCAAGTGTCTGAGTTTTCCCTTTTCCAGGGTCCCAACATGTCATCCAGATTCTTGTAAACGATGGTGTCCCTCACGATGTCGGTCAATCTGTGCCACGAAATGTCGCCGTTCTTGTCCTGCAAATGGAGCAGGGTGATGCAAGCTTCCTTTCATTCCTGTCTGTGCAAGAGCTCTGAGAATCGCAAACACGCAAACTACGAAGAAGACCCCGGAGTCAAGGTGCTGTAATATGAGAACCCACGGCGTCCTTGTACTTGAACTGCGCCTTGTCCCGGCACCTTGGCATGCCCTTCAGGGGTGGCTCGACGTTCCGCCCGCCGGTGCGTTCTGCCACCTCCCGCACTTTGGCGAAGAAGATGGGAGCCTTCTCCTCTTGTACTGCAGCATTGGGAATGGAAGCAAACGGGCCCATGAGAGACAAACCCACACCAGTCCACGAGGGGCCAGCAGGCGAAGGCAAACTAACTACAGCAAGCATGCTTGAGAGTTTGAGAAGCTGAAAGGTAGCCGATCTCTCTGTGCATGTGTCACAGTTCACCAGTATAGTCCTTGCAGAAGGCATAGAGCTCCTCCAAGGTGTTCTTGTACCTTACAAGGGAAATGCGCAGACTTTGCAGATTCAGCCTCAGCCAGCCCGGCCAGTCTTACTGAAGCACCCTTGGACTGATCATTAGAGAGGAGGCTCGCAAGGGGGAAGAAGGCTCTCTGCGGACGGAGCTGCGGCTGATAATTCATCTTCGTGGAAAAGGAGCGCCGTTTCTGCCAGTCCTTCCCCATCATCTTCACGAGATCCTTCCGCTCGGGGTTGCAGCTGGGAGGCTAGGGAGCCTCTTGAGTCATCAGAGCACTGAAATCATGTCAGCTGCCCAACATGCAGGGATTGGGGCCAGAGTGGCACCGGCATATGCTTGTCCGGGAGGCTGCGGGTGTTTCGGGATGCATGGCATGGCCTTGTTGGGCTCGTACTTCTCCTTGAGCTCCCCGCTGAAGGCCTGGAGGCGGTCTGGAAGAGCGGCGATGCTCTGAGAAAGGCTTAGGGTTTGGGGTTTACGGTTGGAGAGCGGACACAAAGTCTATGAAGGCGCAGCGCCCAGCTGCCCAGCTACCACCCACCAGTCTGTCCGAACTCCAACCAACCCTCACTACAGCACCTCAAGCCATCGGCGGTGCCATAGTACCATAATGATGCTGTGGGTGCGAAGGCCCCTTTACACAAGACAGACTCCCACACAGGGAGACCGAAGCAATCCTAAACCCCCGTCCTCGTAGTCGTGCAGTCGCGTCGCCCCACCAGATAGCTCCTCAGACTTGCGTGTCAATTCGTTTCGCCACGCAAAAAACCCGCAGACAGTCAGATCCCGGTTTGCCCCGTCCCCCGGTGCCCTCGACTGGCCCAGCGGGGTTGTCTGAGTAAGATACCTGTTTTACCCCACACACACACATCCAAACACAGCCACACAGGTGTATATACCCCCTAAAAAGCCGCATGGATACGCGAGACGCGCGTGCAACTCTCTTCTCCAGCACCGGATCCGGCCAAGGCACCAGCGCTGCGTCGTAGGTCGTGGGCATCGTGGCCGGGTCGACTTCTTCTTCGTCCTCCCTGCGAGCGTGGACAAGCGTGAGAACCTCCTTTAGAACCCTTCGGGGGCCGACCCCTCCGACCCAGAACTCCCCGAGCAGCCGCCGGCCTTTTCGGCTTCCTTGGCTCCTGGGCGTCTTCTGGCTGCACCCGCTGCTCCAGCCGCGACAAGCGGCGCTCCAGCTGGGCCATGTCTTCGCCTTCCGTGAGCTTTATAGTTACAATTGACATAGAGTTTCTGGAGAGTGGCCCTTCCTCTGCAACTTGATTTGGCGGAGCCGGAGCAAAACTGGAAGGATGCATGGACTTGCGAAATGACCGGGAAAGCTCCACGTAAACATACATGGCTTCACAACATGGTCATGAGATTAAAGAATTGAATACTTTGGTGCTGGACATGACCCCGATTACACCATATACTGCAGTCTCCTGCGCTGAGCATACTTTGAAATTGAAACTTCTCCGATGCTCCACGGAAGGCTGGAAACCTCCAACCGACCATCATGGCAAGTCTGCCTTAAGGCAAAGGCTGGCCGGGCCAGAGCCCACTTCTGGCTCCAGAAACTCCAAGAGCATGCCCTTCTACAGGAAGCTTCAGGAACTCTTCAAGTTTCAACCCCAGAGATTCCACTGGCATCCCCCTTTGCAAGCAGGAACTTCTCTCTCGAGTTTCACTGCCCGCCTCCTTCGCGCTTTGCGGCTGGGGTGCCGGCGTCTTCTGACTTCAGCCTCTGAAGCTCCGCGGAGAGCACGGCGAGGGCGGCCCCCATCTTGCAGAACAGCGCTGTGACCTCAGTCAGCGAAGCAGGTTCCAATTCTGAAACACTCTAAAACCAGGGCCAGCGAGGCAAACATCTTGCTCAACCAAAACAGAATGAAACTGTGCAGCCCGGCTGCGTGGCCGTTGATGGCCAGGAGCCACTCCCGCCTCTCCTCCTCCGTCGCCGCCGCTAGGCGCAGGTGCGTCAATGCTGGCTCCGCCTGCACGAAGTTCGAGACTTCGAACGCGTAGCCCTCAATTTCCGGCGGGAGCTTCTCGTGCTCGGGCTTGGCGGAGCCGGTGGCTCCCAGCATCAACCGGGCTTGGCGCTTCCCAGTGGTTTCGGCGAAGGTCTCCAGGACGCCGGGGCCGAGGAGAACGAGCACCTTCTCCCAGGTGTCCGTGCGGGGCTGGTACTGCCACAGCCGGCCGCGCTTGAAGGGCGCCTGCATCTGTGGCAGGCCGGTCATTGCGAAGGACAAGTCGAAGTCCTGTCGGTCGCAAACCCTGAGACCCTAACCGGTCAACTGGAAGATCTTGGGTTACACGCGTCACGGCATGACACCCATGCACCAATCACCAAGTAATCGCGAGCTTTCCGCCGTCCGTCCTGCATACCGTTGCCGCCGCAGTCCTGCAGAGGCTCCCAAGCTCCAGTATACTTCCAAGACCCACCCCGAAACACCTCAAAAGAATGCCAGAAGAAGCAACGCAGGCACTGCAAGAGAGAAATGAAAACCGTGGCTTCAAAACGCGCCTCGGCCCTTGCACCGCCGTGGGAATCCAGCAGGTCCTGCACCATAGTTCAAGGAGGCTTCCGATGGCTTCGGCTTGAAGGCTGCTGTTCTGCCCTAAGACCTAAGCGACCCCAAAACAATCAAACAAAAGCCCGAGGCTTCCATCCGACGTGCGGCGCTGCCCGTGCCCCAGGCGCCCCACCCGCGGGGCTCCCCGCCTTGGTGCTGCCGCCGCCGTGCGAAGCCGCAGAGAGCTCGCCTTCCAGGGCCGAGAGCTCCTGCACAAGAAGAGCCCGAAATCTTCCGAGAAACGGACCTCTGCGAAAGCTTTTGGCTCTCCAGCGAAAAGCAACGCAAACTGCTGCAAAACCTGTCTTAGTAGAGGCCCTCCCTATAAAGCGAAGGGCCTAATCTGGCCGAACCCAGAAAAAGAACACAATCGAAGCGGTGAAGAAGGAGTCCCCGAAAGCCAGCTCCTGCTTCAGGGCTTCGTTGCGGCGGCGGAGGGACATCGGTGCTTGGTGGTGCGGGGCGCGCTGGCGGAGCCAGCCGGTGATGAAGCTTTCCGGGTCCTTGCGGAAGCTAGCGATTTCAGCAGTTGCGTTTGACATGTGCGAGGGACTCGCGATGTTCGGCCTCGGGAATCTGTGTGCGGGAAGCTCAACCCGCCTGCGGCGTGAGCGGCAACATGTCCGTTGCGAGGTCCGTCGTCAACGGCTGTATCACCGATTTCAGGTAGGACTCGATGGACTCCGACGACATGGCCATGGCTGCCAAAGGCTCGAAGGCGAGAGGCGGAGATGCGGAGAGGTGCGGGAGGCGGAAGTGCCGGGGGAGCTCTCGAGCAAGCAAGCACGGGCACAAAGCTGTGCGCCGGCTCCAATCGAAACACTCAGGAAATCTCGTGAAGGAGTCAGAGCGGCCTTTGCAAAGCCTTTTTCGAGGCGGACGCGGGACTCGGTGTTGGGTGGTCTGCGCTTCGGACCGAAGCTTCAGCCGGTGATGCGCCACAGATATACTGTGCACTGCTGCTCTTTCTCACCAAGACGCTTCAGGATCTTGCTCAAAAGATGCTGGCACTAACATCACAAACCCATAGAAGCAGCCAGAGCTCATGCGCACCGGTAAGTCAGTAGAATCAGCCACCGCTCTTCTCACGAGGAGCAGCCGTCGCTCAGAGCTGCAGCCTGCAGCGGATGCGGGAAGATTCGGAGGCTCCCAACTTCGCTCCGACCTGATCACGGCAACCTGCCCACACAACTCACCCTACCACTCGAGAGCGCCCTCTTTGAGGCTTATTAGCTGTATGCCATTCTGAAGCTAGGCAAACATGGGAAACGTTCTAGGACCAGGATCTAGGTGCGCTTTGGCTGCATCTGAAACCACGACAAAGACCCGCACGCCTGCAAGAAGAGGCAGCCTGCATCTCCTTAACTCCGCCCAGCTCCGCCATCTCCACCTTGCCGGGCCCGGGAAAAGTCCTTTGCAATAAAACCCGAAAGCTCGGAAGCTATAGAACATAGAAACCCATTGGAAACCCCAAGCTCCACGAAACCCCATAGGCTCTTCGGCTCTTTGCTGTTTCGCCTGTTCGGCTCGGATCAAAGAAGAAATCCGCCTGAGCCCCGGGGGCCTGCGCCGCAGGGCTCCGAGCTCCGATGGCCCAACGACCCAAGCGCCGCTGGAGCACCGAGAGAAGGCGCATCCCACGTTGCCACCTTTTCTGCACGCAGCGAGACTGAGTGACCAAACCTGAAGGAAGGACCTCGGCCCCTGATTGAATCTTTTTTGAACTTCTTCTTGGCCCACCTCCGAAGCGATGGTAGTCGCGGCTATGGCAGGAGCTCTGCAAGGGCGGTTCGTTCACGGCATCCGGCGGAGCAACCTGAAAGCTGCGGAGGCCTTTCGTCTAGGAGGCGGCGGGCCGATAATGCAAGGCCAGTCCTCTTGCCCTGCAAGACACAGTGCCAAGAGCATACTGCAAGCTCCAATTCGTTTTTGATGCCAACCCCACAAACTCCAAACTGCTCGAACTCCGAATCATCCAACTCCTGGGGATCGCCTCCCCCAGCGCCGGCGTTCGACGGCAGCGGAAGCACGAAAAGTCAGGCCTGGGGTTGATTGGAGGTGTAGACAAGTACCACTTGGAGGGTCGGGGACTTACTAAGTAGTTATTTTGTAGAGTTATAAGTACCATAACCCCAATTAGGATCCCTTTTAGGGTACTTACTACCCAGTTACTAAGTCCCCCGACCCTCCAAGTGGAGGTGTAGACAAGCACCAAGCTTCCGACAATGGCTCACTGCGATGCTTCATGTAGATTCAATACAGCGGAAGATGCAGCAGCCAAGCCCGCTGGAGACCCTGAATCCTAAACGCACAGAATCATCGTCCAGACTGGCCCACCTCAAGCTGCATGGAGAAGTGGCTCAAGCTGCAGTGCCCTCAACAAAAACCGAAGCAAGCCAGGACTTTGGGCACCGGCTTTGTGTCAGTGCTCGGGGTTCTCGTGCTTCAAGGTGACGGAGGTTCCCCCGCGAAACCTGATGCCACCAAGGACAAATAACATGCTCTGCTCTGCCTGTCAAAAACCCTCTCCTGCACGCAAAGAAGGCTGACAAGGCTAAAGGCTTCCACTTCGAAGCATTGAATAAAGCTTCCGATGGGCACCTTATACTCTCTTCTTCAACAACCGGGCCGGAAAAAGTTCAAACTTTCTAAGATAGAGCTAATATATAATGCCAAAAAAGCTTAAAGTTCCCCCGTTCACTATCTATGTAAAAGCTTCCATTCAACATGAGCCCAGGAGCATCTCATCGACCCTCCGGCTCTGTCCCGATGCTCGCCCGAAGAGCCTCCGGTGCTGAAACGTCATTCAGACACAGTGGCCGTCACTGACAGGAGTGCTTCCGTCATCTTCAGAAGGGGTGACTACGAGAGGTTTTGGGGATACTTGTGGGGAAAACTCAATGCCAATGAGCCAAATCTGAGAGCCCTAGACGAAACCCGACAATTCTGAACCACAACTTGTGCGACAGGCGTCGAACAACGTTACGAAGCCAACTCCTTCCAGCGAAGTCAAATTGGAGGATGCGTGGCAGTAGAATCCAAAAGTGGGATCTCCAGTGCTTAGGTTTGGGACTTGACAGAACTTGGAGCGCCCAGCAGGCCTGCAAGACCACCTCAGAGCAACTGTGTCCTTTTGGGGTCCCTCATCCTCCTTTATACAGCTTTTGTGTTTAGGAGGGCCCTCTCATCCGCTGTTTTTTAGGGTTTAGGGTTGGGATTTGACAGTTGCCGCATGCTAAGCGTATGCATCAGCCTGAGTCGAGCACACCAATGAGCCAACCAACCAGCCAACCGATCGACCAACCAACCGACCAAGCCACATCTCAGCCCAGACCATCCCTTTAATGTGCTCAGTCCTCACCGTGATGAAGATTCTAATTTATTGTATGCTTGACATATGCTAAGAGGCAGGGTCGATTGCTCTATGCAGGGTTTCGGTGTTGTGTGGAGATCCCACACCGAAGAGCTTCAATACTATGAGCCCGGATGCTCAAACTCCGAGTCAGAAGCAGTACAAAAAAATGCCTCCGAGCAACTTGCTGGAGATGCCCCCAAGCTCTGCCAGAGGCTGTTGAGCCGAAGGTTGATAGGGTTTGGGGTTTAGGGCTCAGCATCAGCAGCCATGGCGACGACATGTCACGAAGGAAGCACTGGACACCGACGGAGGAACCGAGAGGCTACCTAATAGCAACGGTGTACCATTTGGGCTCAGCCACCCATTTAAGGTTTCAGGGTTTGGCGTTTCACAGAACTATGTACTACTAGGGGCCCTCGTCCGCTTATTTGAGGTTTTAGCGCTTGGGATGACCTTGGTGCGCCCACCGCGACTGTGTGAAGTGTTCAGGTTTGGGATTTGACAGAACTAAGAGCACCCACAGCCTCACCGCGACTGTGTAGTTACACCGTAGACTCAAGGGCACTGACAGCACCGATATGGACAACTGTAGCATCTGTAGCTCATGAACCAGGCTGAAAAGACTGTACGGGCATGACAGTTTCAGATAACGCAGAAAATGGCAACCATATCCATTCAGCCAGCCAGTTCATCATGGCAATATGCGGGGACAGCTGGACACGTGCACCTTCCATAGCTCCTCCCAGAAAACGGTGTTTTTCTGTCTTGCAAACGAGTTTGGTATATGCATTTCAGCATATGCACAACCGTTGTCGCAAGGGTTCTACTTCTGCTGCCCTGCCCAAAGAACATCGAATGCCTAAGCGGGCCTATGGCCGCATCTGCAAGAAATGAGTCTTGCTCAGTTGGAATGCACGCGTGCTGGGGGCCGTGGCACATGGATGCAAAAGTACAAACTTGCAGCACTTCCCGGCGCTGCAGACGAGGGCAGTGTCGGAGACCTCCCACAGTGCTGCCCGACTGCAACACAACGGGCCGAGCACAGAGAAGGAATTGCGCCTAGCCACACACCGGCAAGGAAGTAAGCTTTAGCGTCCACAGGTCCTCGCCACAAGGGCGGGAGGACAACCGAGGACTGAGAGCCTTCGGTGCCCTCATGAAGCACGGAGATGTCCGAGTCGGGTGGCTGCAGCCTGCAGCGGCGAATCCAAGAAGCCGGTCGAAAGCCAGGCCCGCCAGCCGAGGCCAGACATAAGCGATTTCGCCTAGGTCTGAAGCTTTGGGCATCTTGCGGGCATGGGCTGCGTGGCCCGCGGATGCCAGGGACCCAAAGATGGCATCTCCGAAGAAGGGCTGAGATCAAGTGCCCATCTCTCCTTGCACTCAGCAAGTTCGCAAGGCCCCGGGCTGAGGTGGTCCAAAAACCGATCAACCTTGATCCCTGTCGCTCCAGCCTCTCTGCAAAGGGTCCGCTGTAGAGCGCTGGACATCTTCTGTCCTGAGACTCAGCTTCGTCAGTTCACCCAATGTCTTCGACGAGCTATTTTCCCCCATGATGACACGACTTCCACCGCCGGGTCACAACACCGAGAATCCACGCAGCCGCAGTGCCCACACCGGGCCACCACACGTGTTCCACCTGTCACTACCACCACCACTAGAACCTGGCATCGGTGCTCGACTTCTGACACCACGACGAGAAGACCAACCCCACCCCTCGACGCCGTGCCCACGACACACCCGGATCCTACCCGACGCCCTGATGTTCTTCGGTTATATTATACGTTCAAGTCTACACCGTCTGCTTATGTCCTACCATCTCCGACGTCCAGTACCTGCAGATCAACATCTGAGCCCACGGGCTGGGCCAGAGACGCTGACGCTGACTTGGACACTCTCTACACGATCATCCAGAAGCACCTGCCTCCAATCAACGACTCTCGCCTTCGATCCTGGCTTCTCGATCGATACAGCCTCACCAACATCCACATCAGCCACACTCTGCAAACACCACAGCTTCGTCTTCTTTTCTGCTGCGAGATCTTGAGCTTCGACCAATTTTCGGAGGACACTATCGGTGACGAGGACGAAGAGGAGAATCACACTCCAACCATGCCACGGTCGCGTCGCACTCTGCCCCCTCATCTACACCAGCTTCTCCTTCATTTCCTCGACTATTACGTTGCCACACTACCTATCGCTCGTGATGCTCTACCTCATCATGTGTTTGCCAGACTCTCTTGGGCGCGCGCGTTGTGGTTCTTGCAACTACACCGCTTACGGCCTCCATCTACCACCAATCACTGCGGCCTGACCGATATCTTCCATGCCTCTGACATTCAAGCCGGCTACACACGTCGACGTCATCTCCAACACAAGGTCGTCTACATCAACGTCTCACACAAACATCCGAGCTGGTACATCGGCTCCACTATCCACACTATCGTGGAACGGTTTTTTCGAACCTGCACTTCGCATATGGCAAGCCGCCGGCACCTACAACGATTACCTTGCAACATCGGCCCACTAAAGCTCAGGTTCGCGCCGGAGCAAGCCCTCATCGCCGTACCACGCATTTAACTGCACTCTTCGTTTATTTCCTCCACAAGCCGTGCCGATTGGCCTCACTTTTCTGGAAGGCAATCGCGGCTCCCGACTTCTCCGAGCACATCGATACACTTACTTCCGGGACCTGCCCGAAATGGTAAACCGCTCTCTAATCGAGGAACGGGAGACCTTGGCCAATATCATCCAGTACGTCGGCGTAACGGCATCTCCATGCTCTTTGCACAACGAGGACGACGACGCCACAGTACACCGATCTAACCTGCACTTGGTCCTTCGGTTCTGCTTCGTAGGATGAACCTCATCAAAGGCTCTAGGTACAAAGGCGCGGAGACGTCGCACCGACTTCCTTTGCCACAGCTTGCATGACTTCTTGTCACATGCTCAAACGTGGATTGACGGCCACATACTTCTTCGGGAATGGTTCCCGCCTCATCATCCACCCAAGCACACAGTCTTCAAGCGAAAGTTCCATGCGAGAACGCGAACTTGCAGTCCAATTTTATTGCTCAGTTGGAGACCGCTCAAGGTTCTTTTGCGGGTTTGTCCTGCGCTTCCTGGAAACTCCAAATCCTTTTAATTGAGGGTACGGATCAAACCAGAAGCCTCTGTACGCTTCTTGAAGTTCTAAATGGGGTGCAAAGCACTCTGTAGCAGATTTATTGGGGGAAAAGCGGAGGTGCAACTCCGACTGCTAATGAGGTTCGTCGGCGGCCAAGTTTTTGTTTTTGGCGTGGGCGGGCCTCAACAGCAAGTTGCTGCACTCGGTTCCAGCAAGAACTACAAGAAAGCCAAAACTAAAGAAACTGCACAATCAAGCAAACACCGGTGAAACAGGCACTAGCACACTTAGCCTGCAGACGTCGTTCGGCAATATGCACAAGGCAAGCTACCCCCACTCAGGCCCCGCTCTTTTTTTTTGGCGTGGGCGGCCAAAGACAGCATGTCGCTGCGCTCGGTCCCTGCAAGAACTACAACAAGACAAAAAGCGAAGCAACTGTACAAAGAAACCCGAAAAGAAAGAACAAAATACCAGGTGAAACGGGCTGCGAGCAGCAGCAGACTACGCCGGCAGAGATCGTTCAGCCCAACCTAAGCTTCAACTGCCAAAGCCGCTCAGTTGCCCCGCTTTCCAGCAAGACTGGGTAGCATGGCGTGCACAAGTTGAAACCACTGGCAAGCAAGGTTTATCTCCATGCCAGCCACACGGCAAGTGCTCTTTTTGCGCTGTCCCAGTCCCTGTCCACCAATCGTGCCTGCAGCACGTGTTATGAAGAGCAGCAGCAAGTCACAGTCAAAGTGTTTTTGCGAGGACAACACAGTCCATCAGCAGCCCAGGTCCCAAGGTGGGTCTCGCAAGGGCGAGGCAGCGCAGACGGTAGTGATACCACGAGCACAGGCAAGGTGCTAACAGAAAAGATGGCCGACAGCCACCACATTGCACGCAAAAGCCAGCTTCCCATGAGTGGGCATCGCAAGGGCTATCACAGGCAGTAGGTCCTTTGGCATGGCACCACAGGCTGGAAGGACGCTATCCTGAAATCCTACGACGGAATTTCGCCGACGTGCCGGAGGGCCATGCCGACTTTGACCCGTTTACTCTTAGCGAGGGTTTCAGTTTCGACGACTGGGTCGAGGCGGCCCGACTTCCGTGAGCAGGACGAGCCCATGGCTTGCGACGTGAAAAACTTAAGGTCCCTCCTAGACCTTTTCCCTTGGAAACAAGTCCCTACGGGCACAGCGGACAGCTGCAAGTCTTTTTCACTCAGCTTGAGCCAAACGTCACGGAGTGCGTCAGAGTTCACACGTAAGTGTGGAAACGAATTCAAACAAACGAATTATAGCGTATTGGGCTCTAACCACACAGAGATTTACGGAGTAAATCTTGTGGGATATAAACATACCACTGAGGATCCATCAAGGAGTCCTCAACAGCACCAAAGGTACACTTTGAGATCGAAGATTCTCAAATGTACCCGGAAGGTTTCGACAAACCATGGGATCATCAAGATTCCCATCCAAACCTTGAAACCGTTCCCGAAGCAAAACACTTCACAAAACACTTCACTAGCAGAAGTACTTTTCACAAGCGTCTAGCGCTCATGATCTTACACCCCCCGCATTTTGCTGAGGGCTTCCTCAAAGATCTTCGCAGAAGACAACAAAGCACCAACGATGGCACTTCAGCACTAAGGGGATGCCCAGGCCGCATTCCCTTGGTGCGTATTCGCCACACACACAAAACAAACACACACACACACACACAGGCGATCTTTGCTCAAAGAGGCTTGCAAACCTGTACCGTTCGCACAGGAGTGTCTTGGACCAGCTAGGGACCAAGAGTTCGTGGTGACAAACACGTATCAAACTACTTAGAGCGGGCCGTTCAGAAACACTCAGTTCCTCTTCTCGACCACGTCTCAGTAAACCAAGTCGGGGCAGAAAAACCGCCAGGTCACCCGAGTCAAAGTAGGGGTCCGATGGGACCACGAAGATCGTCCTGCAAGGTTCCACTCTTCACCAAAGGTGGCTTCACCAGAGGCAGCGGGTAGCTTCTGCAGAGAAAAACTTCCAGCACCAGCGTCGAGTGACAACTGCTCCAGAACCAAAAGGGCTTCAGGGCCTTAGGCAGACCTTTCCAGAAAACTCATGCACTGATTGCAAAGGCAAGGGCTCGCAAAAGGAGTTAGGCCATGGCGGCGCAGGGGCCATGGCGCATCTACACTACAAGCAGCTACGCTACCCAACGAGGTTATCAAGCACCTCACTTCTGGTCAGCTGCACCCTTTGCCTCATCGGCTTTCTCAGAGGCCTTTTCAACCACCTGGGATCGACGATCCTTCGCCGCATCCCTCATCTGCCCCAACTCAGCAACCCTTTGGCCCATCTGCTGATCCTGCTGAGCAGCACTGGACTCAGATCCCTGAGCACTGCCAGACGCAGATGCCTTCTTTTTCTCATCCAAAAGCTTCTCCAGGTCACCCACACTGAGGCTTGTCTTCACCATCTCAGCGATCTGTGCGATCATCGCACCATCAAACACCGGAGGAGCATGCGGGGAAGTTGGAGATGGTTGCTCCAACCTAGCCTTCTTTGCAGCTTCTTCCTCAGCCGCATCCAGTTCCTCGCGCCTCTTCCTCTTCCTCTCAGCGTCAAGCTCCAGGTCGCGAGCAGCTACAGCCGCCAACACGGCTTGCTCCACACTGAGCTGAACATCCACCAGCTTCTGAGTGTTCCCACCCAAAAACTTCCAGATGTGCTCCCACAGGATGCACGGTAGGTTCGTATTGAACCGGCTGGCGTAGTCCGAGGCAACATGCCACGCGCAGTCACACTGCCAGATCACAGGCTCCCGGATGCTCTCAAGCAGCCCAGTTGGAAGCTTCACCGCCATGTGGTCGCAATCCACACTCAAACTTTCCTTCACCACATCATTGTTGGTGTAGGCAAAGTAGGCCCACAAAGGCAACGGCTTCCCGAGGTCTTTCACCTTCGGGTCAAAAACCTTAATGGTTTGGCATGTCAAATCAGACATCCAACACACCTTGGCCAACATAGTAGTAAACACCACGTTGCCTTTCTGAGCATACTCTTTCCATCGGCACACAGGGAGGATGGGAAGTGGTCTCCAGATCATCCTTCGTGCATCTCTCCACTCCCAAAAATGGGCAGTGCGTAAAGCAGATCCAACATGCGCAATATCCCTTGGTCCTGGCGCCCACTCAAAAGGATAAGCACCAAGAACCCTTTGCTCTTCAGGTACTGCACAAACATGAGCACTGCCAAACCACTCAATCCAGGGCTCATCTCAACGTAGATGCAACCTCCATTCATGGCAGTCTCCCAGATGACAGACTTTCCACCATACTGGGACCTCATATCCAGGACAACCATCACTTTGCCAGGCAGTGGCACCCCATGCTCATACACATCATAGTTCGGGTGGCTGAGCTTCTCAAAGCTCTTCTTGTCAAACTCCACATCATCACCCGACAAGGATTCCACCAGAGGTTGGAGATCCATCTGGTCCAGAGGGGCACCTCGAACACCCATCTTCTCCCAGAGCTCTGTGTACCAAGCTGGCACCTCACTCCCATTGAGCTCCGGAAACAGCGTCACAACGCTTGGTGGCCCTTCAGGCCTTGGCACAGCCTTCGCCATCGGGTTCTCACCCTGATTGGCGCCTTCACCTTTTCCACCATCGCCTTGCACCCACTGGGAGGATTTTCCTTCCCCTTTATTGCCTTTCGAAAACCGTTCTTCCTTTTCTCCCTCTCGGAGATGAAAGGCGTGGGAGGCGTTTGACCCCCAAACACTTATCTCACCCTTGCACTTCTCGCACAGGGGCTTGTAGTCAGCCGTCCATCCCAGTCCGCGGGAATGGTCGTCCTTAAACAGCCATTTGCACTGCTTGCACCAGTACGGTGCCTCCATGGATCCCCTAGGGGTATCCGTCTGAGAATCCGTCATGTCGTCCTTCAACAAAGGTACGACAGCAGCAGAGCTATCTCCCGTGGTGCTTGAACCAGAGTCGCTGCGCGTAAACCGTATTCCGCAAATCCTCCAAACTTGCTGCACAT